CAATTTTAAATGGGACAAATATATCGAAACTTTGACAAATAGAAGTATAAAAGCTTGTAACATAATAAAATCATTAGCAGGCACATATTGGGGATCTGATCCCAAATTACTACTAATTTTATATAAAAGCTTAGTTAGGAGTCATTTTGAATACGGTTTTTTCTGTTTTGCACATAAGCCTCAACTAGTTGAAAGACTAAATAAGATTCAAAACAGATGTCTGCGCATTATTATGGGAGCTATGATGTCAACCCCTATTATTTCAATGCAAGTTGAAGCAAACATCCTGCCCTTAAATTTACGGTTTAAATATCTACACTATAAATTTCTATTAAAACTTTCATCATTCATCAGGCATCCTCTACTTTTAAAATTAATGCAAGCTGCTAATAGAAACAGTTCTACATTTTTAACTCATGGCTTAAATGAAATCAAAGTTTTGGCATCCAATAACAACATCTATCAGAGCTTGAGCCTACCTTGCTACAGTGATTCATATCTAAGTAAATTTTCATCAATAAATGTAGTCATAGACCACAAATTAAAATATAAAGAAGATGTTTACACAAGTTTGCAGAGTTTCATAGGGTATAGCCAAATCTACACTGATGGTGCAAAGAGCAATGAAAGAGTTTCTTTGGCCTTCTATGATTTAGGAGCAGAGAGAGGTTTAGGTTACATGTTATCAGATAAAGCCAGTATTTATACAGCAGAGTCTTCAGCCATTTTGGAGGCTCTTCATTACATTGAACATCAAAATCATCCTAAATGGATAATAATCACTGACAGTATGAGTGTTTTAAAAGCTTTAGACAGTCCCAAATTCAATGCTAAAACTAATTATTTAATTTACCAAATCAGGGAAAAACATTATCAATTAACACACTCAAATATTGTAAGGGATATTGTCTTTTTCTGGACCCTCTCCCATATTGGTGTTGTTGGAAACGAAAAAGCAGATTTTATAGCCACTTCTATTACAAACGATATCCATAGTAATATTATCAGCTCTGTATTTAAGGCCATTCTAATACCTGAAACGGATCTTTTACACTACATAAAGAATAATATAATAGATACCTTCAAAAGACTTTGGTCCAGAATTACTGAGACGAAAGGCAAATGGTATGTTGAAATCAACAATGAAATCAGTATTCCATGGTTCTGCAAAGGAAAGGATTATAATGGTCGAAAGTTTTTTACAACCATCTGTCGCTTGCGTTTAGGACACTGTCGTTTTAATGCTCATCTACACAGGTTGAACTTAACCTTTTAAGTGCGGCTGTCGAACCAGTCCGACAAAAAAATATCTCTCTCAACGCCGGCTACCGCACCAGTACGACAAGACTAGTTGTACTAGTTTAGACCTTATAATTGAAACAAATAATATCAGAATGGTTTGTGTCGTATGTCAAATGAATGAGAAAGAACCAACCTATTCATTCAAAGATTTACAGTCTACAAGAACAATACTCATTCATGTGACCACCATTTAAAAATATTCGTGCTCCTCCTCTCCTGTGCTGTTGACGTACGAGTACTTTTCAGTGTGTTTTGTTTGTGAAATCCTACAAAGAAGTTAAAAAATGGGTAAGTTATCAATTCTTTATACATTTTTTTTATATTTAAAAAAAACCGTGTACTAATCCATGCTTTAGTTTTTGAATAAATCGAAGACAAACAAAAACAACCTAAAATTTTTTCCTACTATCCATTTTTCATGATTTTTTTTCTATTTTATTAGTTTATTATTTTATCCTAGTTTTAATTCAAACTTACAGCAAATTTACGAAAAAGGTTAGATTTTACAAAACATTTGTACTTATAAAGATACTTTCACAATAAAATTCAAATATTATAGGCAAACCGCAAAATGTTTGCAAGACGCACGCACACATGCATAACATGACGTTTAGGTGTGTGCGTGAATTGCTCCGGCTATTGAACAAGGGTGTTCTTTTTATCTACTGTTTTGAAGGAAGTGTTTGTTCTGATTTGAAGATAATTATTTATTGAGATTTTATGTTCAACTATGAACGTACTTAGTTACCTATATTTTTTAGCATATGTTAGGTGATTAGATTTGTCCAGTAGTGATGCTGTAGCATCGATAGGTATTAATTTTTTCTGAGTGTCGTTCTTACAATTATGAATCTGTTTTTCAATTCTTTTTTTTTTATATAAAAGGTAGATTCCGGCAAGTTAAAATCACTCATAATTGCGTTTCTCGGCTTGGTTTACAATTTTAAGTTTATCATTCAACAAAATCACTTTAATTTTTCGTTTTAACATTTTGAGGGAACAACGTAAACCGCAGGTAGGGACAAGCGCACATGTGCGCTGCAGCCATTGTCGTTTTAGATGGAATTACAAACAATTCCATCGAAAACAATGACGCTTTGGCTTTCTTTGTTTACAAAAAAGGATATGGTTTGGCTTGAACTTTGAGTTGCGAGTTTTGAGATGTGTATTGAAATATTATTGTAAATAGTCTCGATGGCGCAAGTGTTATTTAGCGCGTTCGGCTGCGATCGTTAAAGTTAAACAACTTTCGCAGTGGTCGGTCATTGGATGGGTGACCACAAAATTATTTATATTATAATTTAAGTTGTTGTTTTTATATTTTTATAAGTTGAAATATATAATTATGTTTATTATTATTCAGATAAGTACATACATACCTAACACTAGAAGAAAATTTAATATAATAAGTACGTTAACATTAATTATGAATATATTATTATTTTGTAAACCTCAGTTTTATTTTTAAACTTCACTAATCTTACTTTGGAACCCGCTGTATACGCTCTTGTACGTACACAGCGGAAGGTTGACTTTAGACGTAAAACTTGAGTAATAAGTAGCCACTTAGAGAATTTTTATTTATTGATTTTGTTTGATAAAACATAATGAAACGCATATAAATAGAATGCTCATTTATAGAAGTTTTTTTAACTGTAAATAAAAAGGCATTGTATAGTAATTTTAGAAAAAACTGTGCACAAAACAATGCTCATAACTTTTTGCGTGAGTTTGATATATGATCTTGAAAACTTGGTAATTACTGTTATATTATTTGCTAATACGATACAGTTTGGCCGTGATATTCAATATATGTAAATTACTGATATTTCAAACGAAAATTTGCTAAGTTATACCTTATAATTATGACACAGTATAATTTCGAAAAACCGGGATCAACCCGCGCGAATTGCTTCCGTGGTGAAATTTTAGCGCTTTTTCAAACTCCAAAAAGTTGTAGTTTTATATTCACAACATTTATAAAAATTACCAATTTGTTTAGGGAATTTTATGTTTAATCTTATAAAAATATGTTTTTTTGGTAAAATTGACATTTGGTAGCTAATATATTCCATCTTTACTACAAAGTAGTTAATTTTTCAATTCTTCTAAGAACAAGCTCATGTTTCCGCTCCAAATATAAACAAAACGTGTTTATTTTGTGTTAGTCAGCTAGTTCATTTCATTATCTTTCTGATAATATAAGCATTGCCGAGCTTTGTTAAGTCTAAGTCGTAAAAAATACGATAAGATCAAGTCGAGTGTCCAATGGCGCGCTCAAATCTTAAGTGCGCCGGCCTCTACGGTATCGTATGCGCGAGGCCGCGCGGGCCCTCATAGGTTAATCTCGTCTTCTGATTGTAATTATTGTCGTCTACCAATTAGCCAAACTCTTCATCATCTGTTTTTTGATTGTAGTGCCTTTTCGTTACAAAGAATGATTTTTATAGATCAACTCTTAGATATTTATAAAATATCTGCAAATATCCCGCGCTCTCTACCTCAGCTCTTATCAAACAAGAGTTGTTTTAAACCTATTTATCAATATATCAATACGACCGTTATTGATATTTAAATTTTGATTGTTTCATATTACAATCACATCTTCATACCTCTATCTTGACTAAAGACCTTGCTTTACGAACTCACAATTATGACTTGAAAATAACCCACGAATTGGACATTTTTTAAAAGACTCTGAACTTGACATGACTTGAAAATATTTCAAAATATTCTTGACATTTCTACCAATGACAATGACTTATCTTGACATATACACAAACGACTTGGCTTCGGCCTTACTGAAAAAACACAAAAGAAGACAATATTATAAAAAGAAAAACGCTAAGAAAGAAGTAGAAGTACTTTGAAGACAAGATACCTAAAATAAGACTTCGCTCTGGCTACAAAAAAGAAGAAATACAACTTATTACTGCTTAAATATTATATACAGCATATATTATTCTGAAATATTAAACTTAAGAATTGGCTGTATGGGCACAGTACCCTTTGCCTTCCCAGAATGGGAAAAGGAAAAAAAAAAAAAAAAAAAAAAAAAAGCAAGAAGCTTACTTATTTGGTGATGAGGAGTGGGGCTTTTTTTTAAAGTTTTACGGTCGTGCATATCTCTATTTCGGCCAAAGTCTATTTGTTCGTTTTTTTAGGGATATCCGATATTTGCAATGAATACCTAGATGTTTTATATCGTTATGAATCGTAACCCCGCGAGTCTTCTGTGAATTGACAAGATCTGAATCGTATGTCATTGAATTCTCATTGAACTCATCTTTATTCGATTCTGGAAAATCGTTGATTAATTCAAATAATAAAAAGGCATAATTTGCCTGCAACATTATTAATTTAACTCACTTTAAACAATGAAACCTATAATAACCCCTTTTCTTCACACAAGTAAACTTATTAAACAGAAAAAATGTCGTTTTCTTTTTCAAGTGAAAACTTCTTTAGCACCGTTGTGATTTGAAACTCGATGAAACGAAAATGTGTACTACAATTTATTCATAGCATTTTGATTATGACATATTTGTTCACCGCTAGCGACATCTCCACCGGTAACAAAAACTAGATGGCATCGGCATCCAATAACGGCATCCAGTCGCATCGCATATCCAAACCTGGCATCGTTATCGCGCATTGTTATTATGAAAACGCTCACCCCTAATTTTTAATGTCAAAATGATGATTGCAAATGGCCGTTCGATTCGTTTTGTTCCAATTTTTATCGCCGAATGGACGCTACTGTGATGTGATTATTCTTAGCTAAAGGAGATACATAGTATTCTATTAAAGAAGAGGTGTTAAGTGTAAGTTATTTGATGTATTACCATTAAAATATAAATTTGCAACCGGTCAAATTACCATGCATGTGTTGTTCAAAATGCCTGGTGGAATACTTGCGCGTTGATTTAGTGTTTTGTTGATTGTAGAAGGCGTGCAGCCATGTCGCTGCCGCCGTACTTGCTTGGGCCCAACCCATGGGCCACCATGATGGCACAGCAGCAGTTGGCGGCGGCGCAGCAAGCAGCTTTGCAAGCGCACGCCGCCGCTGCTGCAGCTGCGCCACCGGTGCCTCCCTCACAGCCGCCCAAACCACACCATATACCAGAAGAAAAGATCAAAGAAAAAGGTTGGTTAGTTATAGTTATTTTAGTGCACTATAAACCAAAATTCGTTGTGATTTGCTGTGATGTAGGTAAACAAAAAGGCGACATTTTGATCACGAAATCTCATAAAGCATTACTTCCCGAGATATGATACGGATCTGTGAAGTATTTGCAATGAAGTTATTGATAACTTTGGGAGCTCTTGAAATATTTATAAGATGGTATAATATAAAGATAGAAATTTTATAGGTTATATTATATTTTATTTGTATAGTATGATATTTAACTTTTTTTGAAATCATGGTAAAACTGTACTTCCAGTACCCAAGAGGTGACTTTTTTTGTAGAAAAGGTCTCTTTTATTAATTTTTTTCTGGCGCTTCGCCAGTCGCTGCCGCTGCATGCTCGCTCGGCTCGTGAGTTATGGTCTCAACCCTAACCTAACCTAGTGTGAAGTATTACCGCTTGGGCCCTGGAAGTACTAGTTTAGCCAAAATCATTCTTATTTGTTTTTGTATTTTCCCTTAAAATCCCAGAGTTTCTCCATAAAGCATTATGTTGAGACTATTTCCTAAAGGGTATATTATATCTACAATTAGATATGTCTTTCTATCAAGAGCTATTATAGAAAATGCTTATATTGTTGAACAAAACAAATGACTGCTGCACTATACATCACTTGTCTAATAAAGGAATAGGTGAATTATTTATTAACTTCATTTGTATGATTCAGATGTAAGTAAAGGGAAAATTTGATAAATTTTCAAAGGTCTTTTATATTAATATATTGATAAGTAATTTCAATTGACATAAAGCACAAAGACCGTGTACACGAGACCCAAAATAAGTTTTTTTAAATTACTGAAATTCATTATGCTTGTGTTTTTGTTGTTGTTGCTGTTGTTAAAAAGTTGACAAAATATTTCTAAAATCTTGAGATGCAGATGATGAAATATTAAATTTTTAGTCTAGTTTGTTATTTTAGAAAATAGATGTGCCTTACATCTAAAAGAACTAATTAAAATGTTTACATCAACTTTTACTATGATATTCAGATGCATTTTGGGAGTAAAGCTCAATTTAAAAAACAATATGCTCTTCACCCCAAAAATAAATGTTTATTAGTGTTTATATGGCATAGTATGCAAGTGTAAAGCTAATAGAAAGAATATGTAATCTTATATTTTGAATTAATGAATTAACTTTATTTGTTGATTAGATTAGTTATTAGGGGTGATACAGCATACTTAGCCTACAAGTTATTTTAAATAATGTGTGTTGTCAAGGGCTTACTATGGATATCTGACAAATAATAGTCTAAAGAAAGAATTGCACTTTTTTCAAGTTTAAAATGTCTTTAACATAGTATAATAGGCAACCATCATCATAGCACTAGGTTACTTTGGTCATAGTCAGTTAGTTGTATTTACTTTGGTCAAATCGCCCGGAGATAGCCCGACTATATAGACAATGTTGTTATCAAAAAGTAAATGGTAAAAGTGGAAGAGGCAATTCACCTGTCCATTGGTTAGACCAAATAAAAGACAACTGGATTCAATCTATCGACTTCCCTAAGACGAAAGTCGAAGATAGAGTGGAGTAGAGAGACTGGCACTGTCCTGGTAAAGGCATTACCTTCAGGAATCAAACCTTCAATGAAGAAGAAGTCAATATTGAACAAAATAAAAAGGTTTTTCATGTTTTAATACCTAAACTGGTCAATTAATTCAGTAGGGAACTGAGGAACCTTTAATATTTAAGAATTTACCTAAATGATGTTTTTTTGGCAAAGCGTCTGAAATATACCACCACTTTCAGTAAAATAATGTTACAACATTTTACAGTCTAAGATCCCAAGAGAGGTTGTCCTTTACGAATATTTTGTTTACTAGATGAAAAGAATCAAGTTTTTTTTTTTAAAGAAAACAAATCGCAAATTTCTTTGCCTATTAAAATTGTTCATGACATTAATTAAAAAAACTTCTTACACACAATTAATTTTGTTAAAAACAATTATGTGTAAAAAGTGCTAAAGTGTAAAAAGTTCATAAAGTATTCTAAAACTATAGACGTAAAGCGTCCTATGCCAATTTTCTAACAGAACATGTTAGATGTATTATATTTGTTGTTATTTTTTTATAAATTATATTGTTGTTATTTTTTTAATAGCTTAGACAACAAAGTCGATGTTGGTACCTAAGGAACAAAATAATATTATTTGTCTCATGTATACATTAATAAGGTGCCCATTGTATTGAGATTAACACTTAAACAGGTAACACAAAATACTTAGAAAAGATATTTGTGCCCCCAAAATTTAAGCAAAGTAAAGCAATTAATTTGAAATATAGACTGAGAAAATACTATACTCTGTCTGCGCGTCACGCATCGCGCTCTTGCATTGCGCACTCGGGTAAAAAGTATGCTTTACGCCTTATTATGTTTTGACAGTGATTAAAAACATCAAATTTATCTTTATTAATAGCTAAATTTAATTAAATATTCCCAACACTCACACCAATTAGCCTAGCCCCAAAGTAAGCACTGTAAGGCTTGTGTTATGGGATATTAGGGTAATGGATAGAATGCATATACTGTACATATCGCCTCTTTGCGATGACAACGTGACATGTCATTAAAAACGTTTTTTTTATTATTTGATAATCAAAACCGCGGTATCGAATTTTATTTTCCATAAAAACGTGGTATTTTAAACGAGAGTGGTGGAGGAATTATGAGTGAAAGAGACAGTACTACCGTGTCAAATAGCGTTATCACGTTTTCTCATTTGGTGTGTGTCGTTTACTTCGACAACGCGACAAGTCAGTTGACTCCGCACGCGCCGCGAGTGAAGTTTCACAAAAAACGTGACATTACGATCATACCACGTTTTTATTGCAAAGGTATGCTTTTTGTTTTTATTAGATTTTTATTATACAGTGTGATATTGTTAATTAACTTATTATTATTGTAAAACTTGTGTGTGTCCAGACTGAAATAAATAAGTTTGTCACATTATTGATGACAACGTTACTATTTTTCTTTGTGATATCTTATAATACAACGATGTTGTTGATGAATTGTTTATTAATATATAAAAATCGTATTGGTTATTTCCTTATGATTCACTTTTTTTGAAATCCTTTTCTTTTTAACGTTGAATATTCTAAAATATTACATTGTACATACTAAAATAAAATCACTGTTATGAACTTTTTTTTTCAGATGGGATCGCGATCTAGGAAACTAGTTGAATTAGCGACTAGAGTTGAAAATAATGAAAATGCATCGAAGACATTATCAGAAGGTTGGTAATTTTTTACGTTCTGAATATGATTTTTTTGTTAGGTGTATAATTTAATTGTTTTAATTATTATCTTTGTAGATAAGGACAACGATACCATTCGGCCCCGTTCTGATTCGCGAAGTAGCAGCAGTTCCTTGAGTTCAACAATTCTTCCTGTTCGAGCAGTTCTTCCAGTAGTGGTCCATCTAAATATCAAGGTAGTTTTATTGTAAATAGAATAAAATATATATTGATAATAAAACTAGCAGCGCTCTATTGATTTAACCCTTAAATTTCGTATTCGAATATTTCCCAAAAGCATTATGACGTACGTTACACTTACTTATCAATGTATTTATTAATAAGCCTTTTTTTTAGATAACGACAACTCAGTTAAGGATCCAGATTATGAAATCAACCAAACAAAACGTGTTGAGTATTCTTCTGATTTTGACGTGGAACCAGGTGACACTACCAACTGTAATAACCTCTCAGTTGACCTAGATTTAGTAGCACCTAATGGCTTCGTTACAAGAAAACAATCATGATACATTTATTGAGAGCAATGCAGTTATGGCTACAAACGACCATGAGATGGTATCCAACGATCCCGGTGTGACAACAGACACCATTGAAAGTATTGGCAGTAATCAAACGGTTCTTACAGAAAGCCAAACTAAATCTGGTAAAAAAAGAAGAAAGAATGAAGCAAACTGGAAGGCAAATGTAGCAAAACGACTGAGAAATTGTGGAAAGTCTTATCAATCTTATAAAACAAAAAGAAATATACCAAATCGTACATTGAAACCTGTTTGCAAAGATAAATGTAAATTCCAATGTGGGTCTAAGTTTACAGAGGAGCAAAGACAGAAAATTTTAAATGAGTACTGGAACTTAGGAGAAATAGAAAAGCAATGAACGTTTATAGAAAATAGTGTAGATATAGTCACCCCAAGACATCGTTACGTTGTAGATTCTGATGGAAATATTGCAACTACTCGGAACAACAATAACGCTTTCTTTTTGACTATTTCTGGCACAAAAACTAGAGTATGTAAATTGTTCTTCAAAAACACTCTGGGAATTAATAACCGACCAATAGAAACAGCTCTCAAGAAAAAAAATAACGACACTAATATTTCTTCAATCAAAGATAACCGAGGTAGTCATCAGAATCATAACAAAGTGGATGAAGGCATAAAAAATGGCATCAAAATGTTTATTGAGTCTATACCAAAGATCGAGTCTCATTACATTCGGGCTAACTCAAAAAGACTTTATATTGATGGTAGAAAAGCTGTCACAGATCTTCATAGAGATTATGTGGAAAGATGCAAATCTCAGAACCTCCCCTATGGAACATACATGATGTTTTATCGTATTTTCACGCAAGATTTCAACATGTCCTTTTTCACTCCTAAAAAAGATTTATGCAACGTATGCGAAGCCTATAAAAAAAAATCCTAATTTGGATATGAAATAGGCATATCTTCGAAAACCTGGAATAGCCGAAAGAAAAAAAGCTGATCTCATGGATTTGGTCAATAAGAAACTCATCCCCAGATACCATAAGCCATTTTACGAATCGTTGTAATTCCAGGTTTTTGAAGATATGCCTTTTTCATATCCAAATTAAAGGTTTCGTTATTGTGACTTTTCTTTTTTCTTTTAACTATTGCTTTCTTGAAGAGTTCGTCAGTGTACAATTCTTTGAAAAATATATAATCAGGACAATTAAAGACTGATTAAATATAAATGTTTTTAGACTTATATTTTTTAAAAGTATTTAACTGCGCTATTTTGACTGACATTATTTTTACTAGTATTAAGGTAATTTGTGATACTACGTTTATGTAAGGCAAACATGTTCCTATTTTGAATAAGTCCTAATTATAAAAGAATCGGTGCCGTAATTATGCGTAAGACGTTAATTTCTTTTAGACTGCACTAGAATATAATTCTTTTGTTTATTTGTTATTTGTATGTTTTTTTTTTATTTGTATGTAAGGGTAATTTTCAGTTACTTAATAATTTTAAGGGAAGTACTTAGTTCCTATAATGCTACTGATCTCTTGTTAATTAATTATCTGTCTTATTCCAATTTTATGTATTGGATGGTGGAAATAAACCATCATTTTGGTAAAATTATTATCTTTGGAATTACAATATTTTTATGTTAACAATGTATTTTCTTAACTTATCACACTGCCTAACACGCGAATTAACACCTTCAATGTGCTATGTCAATATGTTACAAGCATTTTTTCACATATTTTCATAGAAAACGTGACATATGTTGCTGTTTTTTTTAACATCAAAATTTTATACTAATAAGTTATTGAACTGTGATTTATTTGCTTATTTTCATAAAGTTCATTAACTTGTTTAACAAATTAATCATAATCCGACAGTAAAAATAACAATATTTTAGATTATATTTAAATTTTAATGTAAAAAATTCGCCTCCCGAAAAATTGCAGTTTTAAAAATGTCACGTTGACATCGCAAAGAGGCGATATATAAGTATATTTATATAGAAATACATTAAACATTCATGACAGGAGTACAAATGCTTGTATTCATCACACAAACCTGGTTCTTACCGATAACCGGGCGCAAGCATTTCTATGGACCATAGCCGATAAGCGCCGACCAGCGCTTGTCAGCGCTGGCACCTCCCTTTGAAATTAATGAACAACTAGACTTCAATCTGCTTCCTTTATGTAACTGTTACCAGGGCTGACAAGCGCTGGTCGGCTTCCAGCTTTCTTTCTGTTTACGGCCTTAGATAAGGCCTCATTTATGTTTTATTTTACAGCTCAAAAATGGCTACAATTGCAATCAAAAAGATTTGCAGAAAAACGCAAGTTTGGTTTTGTGGATGCACAGAAAGAAGACATGCCTCCAGAACATATCAGGAAGATCATAAGAGATCATGGCGACATGACCAGTCGCAAATATCGCCATGACAAGAGAGTCTATCTGGGGGCTCTTAAATACATGCCTCATGCAGTTATGAAACTGCTTGAAAACATGCCAATGCCTTGGGAACAGATCAGAGATGTCAAAGTATTGTATCATATCACTGGAGCAATCACTTTTGTTAATGAAATTCCCTGGGTAATTGAGCCAATATATATTGCACAATGGGGCACAATGTGGATTATGATGAGAAGAGAGAAGCGTGATCGCAGACACTTTAAACGTATGAGGTTCCCTCCATTTGATGATGAAGAACCTCCTTTGGACTATGCTGACAATATTCTGGATGTTGAACCATTAGAACCCATTCAGATTGAGTTAGATCCTGATGAAGATGGAGCAGTTGCCTCCTGGTTTTATGATCACAAGCCATTGCTTGGCACAAAGCATGTCAATGGATCTACATACAGAAAATGGAATTTGACCTTACCACAGATGGCAACATTATACCGTCTTGCTAATCAGCTCTTGACTGACTTAGTTGATGATAACTATTTCTACCTTTTTGATTCAAAAAGCTTCTTCACAGCTAAAGCTCTTAACATGGCCATACCTGGAGGACCAAAGTTTGAGCCCTTGGTAAAAGATAATTCGGCTGGTGATGAAGATTGGAATGAATTTAATGATATCAATAAAATTATCATTAGACAACCTATCAGAACAGAGTACAGAATTGCATTCCCATATTTATACAATAACTTGCCGCACTTTGTTCAATTATCTTGGTAAGTTTAATGTTGGATAATTTCAAATTCTGGTTTTGTCTTTTAGTAAATTCCACTGAATTATTATTATTTTTTCTCATCTTAGGTATCATACACCAAATGTGGTTTACATCAAGACAGAGGACCCTGACTTGCCTGCATTTTACTTTGATCCTTTGATCAATCCAATATCTCATCGACATTCAGTCAAATCACTGGACCCTGTCCCTGATGATGAAGAATTTATTCTACCTGAGGAAGTCTCTCCATTCTTACAAGAGACTGCTTTGTACACTGATAATACAGCAAATGGCATTGCATTGCTGTGGGCACCAAGGCCATTCTGCATGAGATCTGGTTAGGAACAATGATTTTCTTATTGTTTTTATTATGTTTTTTTAAGAATTGGAATTAAATGTTGTATTGTTTAATAGGTCGATCTCGCCGTGCTATCGATGTACCTCTTGTGAAGACCTGGTATAAAGAGCATTGTCCACCTGGTCAGCCTGTAAAAGTTAGGGTCTCCTATCAAAAGCTGCTGAAGTACTATGTACTGAATGCTTTGAAGCACAGACCACCTAAACCACAGAAAAAAAGGTAAGTTTCTACACTAAAGAAACTATTTGATTACATTAAAATAAACAATAGTAATCAAAATTATTTCTATCTCCTGTAGATACCTATTCCGGTCATTTAAATCTACCAAGTTTTTCCAAACCACTACTCTGGATTGGGTTGAGGCTGGTTTGCAAGTGTGCCGCCAAGGTTACAATATGCTCAACTTGCTTATTCACCGTAAAAACCTTAATTACCTGCACTTGGACTACAATTTCAACTTGAAGCCTGTCAAAACCTTGACCACTAAGGAGAGAAAGAAGTCACGGTTTGGTAATGGTGAGTAAATATATGTGTTCTTATTTAAACATACAAAACTACAAAATACTGTCATATTGTCAATATGTCATTGATTGTTTATAAATTCACAACCCATATATTCTTTTTATTGTGTCTCAAAGCTGTAATTGGATTATTGTAACTGAGTTGCATAAACAAGCTTTTAAATTGAAAACAAGAGTATTAGTATAGTATATAGTATTATGATAAGAGTTCAAAATCAAAAGATTTTTCATGCCCAGACTAACAGTGCTGCTGCGGCTTGTGAAAACTGCTGTAGCAGCTTATGCTGAGACAGAAACCTCTATTGGTCCTTTTCAACCATTCTTGTGTTAGATATGTTGTGTCTTGATTGTTTTCTTTCCATCTCCTACCAGCATTCCACTTATGCCGAGAAATCCTCCGACTGACCAAACTGATAGTGGACTCCCACGTTCAGTATCGACTCAACAACGTAGACTCGTTTCAACTGGCCGACGGCCTGCAGTACATCTTTGCCCACGTCGGTCAACTCACAGGCATGTACCGATACAAGTACAAACTCATGCGGCAGATACGCATGTGCAAGGACCTGAAGCATCTGATTTACTACAGATTCAATACGGTGAGATTATGTTAATAAAATTGTTACTAAAAATTTGTATTCTAAGGTGCCCTTTGCAGCAATTTTGTTAAATCTCGATTCACCAAAAGGTAATTTTATCCCATAGGAAAATGTCACAACGTCAATGTCAATTTGACATTATTTTATGGGCTAAATGTAGTATTACATAGGTTAATTGAGATTTAGAAAATTTTTGAAAGTGGATCTAAATAAAACAAACATAATTATTGGATTTTAAGTTGTCAACATTTTTTTAGTTTTCTATTTTTATATTACTTGCGCGTCCCCGCGATTTAGTTTGCGTGGTTATATTGGATTCCAACAAAAACACTCTGTTCACCCCCTTAAAAGAGGCATAAAACTTTGTCCTTTCCCGGGACTCAAAACTCTATACTAAATTTCATAAAAACGCTCAACATGAAGAGGTAATAGCTACTTTCCTAGTTATAATATTAGTATCTGGATATTAAATAAATTACCTTGATAACAACGTCATTTTAAATTCAAATCTATTATTTTTTTGTAATTATGAAGAATATACTCTGGATTTTAGAGCTCCTTATTCATCCCCAGGGTCCTGTTTCAAAAGGTCCAGGGTGCGGATTCTGGGCGCCCGGATGGCGCGTATGGCTTTTCTTCATGCGCGGCATCACACCACTATTAGAACGATGGCTGGGCAACTTACTGTCTAGACAGTTTGAAGGCCGTCATTCGAAGGGTAAGTTGTAAATCTGTTTTCTGATCAAAATTTCACTCAATTTATAGTGGCTCATTTGTGTGAGTAACAATGAGTTACATTATTTGACATAAGGCTAAATTTCATAATGTTTTATTAACCCTGTGTGTGGCACAGCAAACCCAGAGGAGTATGTTTTCACAATCCATTGTTTTTATATATTTTATTACTAGTTATATAATTCGCAGGCAATTGTATAATTATTATATTATATAATTATAGAAAATATGGCTTTGATAAGCTCAACCTGTAAAAGTCATGGTTGTTTATTTGTATATAGTGAACGCAATTTATCCATTAAAATCATCGAAAGTTCCTTGTTATATATGTAACATAAATAATCATAATATATATACAAGAAGAGTTCACAAAATGTAACAAGACTAAGTCATCCTAAAATTACTCAATAAAACCTTTCCATAACAAATTAATTATCAAGCCAAATATTTATCATTCTCATCTATTATTTACTTTGAACAGGTGTGGCTAAGACGGTAACCAAGCAGCGCGTCGAGTCCCACTTCGACCTTGAACTACGCGCGTCTGTGATGCACGACATTGTGGATATGATGCCCGAAGGTATCAAACAGAACAAGGCCAGAACTATACTGCAGCATCTTTCCGAAGCTTGGAGGTGCTGGAAAGCCAACATTCCATGGAAGGTTCGTCACAGCACTCTAAAACACATTGATTTTAAAACAAAAACATAATGAGGATCATTACTAGATCAGCAAATAAACTCAAAATCAACAGCATAATGATCTAATAAGCTTTTTAATTAATAAACATTTTAAATAATCGAAATCGGTTCATTTGTTGCGATTTTATAACTAATTTTATGATAGCCAATATTCACCGGCCGCCGAAACGTGCGACGTCGCAGAGCTCGATCGTGGTTGACTGCGGTCGAACTTTGTAGCGTCTCTACGCACGCTAGAGCGCACTAGAGTCACCACGCGGCCAGCCAAAAATTCATTTAGTAATTTGGTCATAACTTCGTCAATATTTGTCGTAGAACATAACTTTAACCACTGTATTTTATGGAATCCTTAGCTCTATAAATCTACATTCTCAGCTGAAATCGTTACGGATCCCAACTAAATAAGTTAGGATTTAATAATTGTGCTCTCACAATTTTGTTTCAAATAGAACAACTTATAATATTTATATACACACAAGAAGCAATGACTTGCAACAGTAGTATCGGAAAAATATGAACCCAGACAGATTATAAAAACAAAACTGTTTATCCAAGTCAAAAAAAAATTCAATGAAATTTTTTTAACAAAATCTACAATTCGCCAATTTAAAAATTATCCTCTATTTATTTTCTCTTAATGACACTTATTTCTAGTATCTTACAATGCAATTTATTATACCAGGTGCCAGGCCTTCCCACGCCCATAGAGAACATGATCCTCCGCTACGTAAAGATGAAAGCGGATTGGTGGACGAACACCGCTCATTATAACAGAGAGCGTATACGACGCGGAGCCACTGTCGATAAGACTGTGTGCAAGAAGAACCTGGGCAGATTGACCAGGTTGTACCTGAAGGCGGAGCAAGAGAGACAGCATAACTATTTGAAGGTAACGAGAAGATAGTGGCGAAAAGTGGTATTTTTAAAGAAATTTCGTTCTCACACAGGGATTTACGGCCGCAACCAGACGCAATAATTGACGCTTAAGTCATGCAGGCCGACAGGGTGAGGATGGCTGGTGTGGCAAGTAGAACTGCTGCATCAGCTATCTTCGCGTCTGGACTTCACCGTCACTTAACATCAGGTCGGGTGGAGTCATTTGTCGGATCTATCTATATAAAAAAAAAAGTGGAATGAAATTAGAATGGATACCATGTATGTGTCTTTAAATTCATTTGACATCTCTGAATACAGCTCCTTCCTTATACAGTTTATTAGTCATTTCAAAGATTTTTTATAGGGATGATTACTCTAGCCCAGAGGAAACGCAATTCTATTAAGTCCGTGAGTTAGAATATCAAAAACTAATGGACACTTATTTTTTCTTTTGCCAGTCAAGCGATTGTACCAAGACGTGACATCATGTGACACTTCATATCAATATATCTCTGCAATATTTTGATTATGTGAAAAACCAAAAAAATACGTTTCCAATATTTTTGATCATCTACCTGATAAACAAAGAAAAATTTTGTATTTTGCTGTAATCTATATCTATACTTATAATAAATCTGTAGAGATGTCAATTCTGTACATGAAATATATTTTTAAAATAACTATCAGGGGGTGATTAGTGATCGATACTGATGCCAAAAATGCAATCAGTAAAATTTTTGTCTGTCTGTGTGTATGTTCCTTATAGAAACAAAAACTACTCAACGGATTTTAACGAAACTTGGTACAATTATTCTTCATACTCCTGGGCAGGTTATAGTATACTTTTCATCACGCTACAATCAATAGCAGCAGAGTAGTGAAGGGAAATGTTGGGAAAACGGGAGAAGTTACTCCATTTTTTAAGCTTCCGTCGCGGGTGCAGCCTTAATGGTTAAAGTTACATAGAAATCATGTATGACGGAAATATTCTACATAAAATTGTCTAACAAATATCACGCAGCATATATCTATCTTTTATGGTTGACTCACAATAACACGTGTAATTATATAAATAAAGTCATTCTTTATAGCACAAGCCTGAGAACAAAAACTATAGTTTACACTACAGCTCTACACCGAAGCGAAGCGAGGGCGGGCCACTAGTATGAAATAAAAAACGACGGGTTGCACTCCGGGAGTGCCGGCAGAAGTGAATACTTGAATATGAACGTTGTGTATTTTTGATATTTTGGAATGGTTAGGGAATAATTTAGCACGAATTGCTTTAATTATCAGTAACACTATATACACTAATTTTACGAATACACAGCAGTGTGGCCACTACAAAGGCGGTCAAGCCATCAGCTGTCATCATCCATAGATGCGCGTGGCACGCTATAACATAAACACACACGAACATTCGCGCAAGCGCCCTGTGCCGCCTAAACAAAACAGCAGGCGCAGGCATACATTTTCGCCGCGCCGTAGAGAGGGAGATACATCCTCTCCTATGCCGCGCCGGCTGTCTACTCTCCATCAGTCTTACGAATTTTCGATTAGGTCATGTGTCCTGACGCGAGTTTATCATTTTTTACCAAAAAAGTGTACAACGCCCTTAAAGAAGTTTTCACTTCAAAAAATGTAGTCAACTCTATTGTGAAATGTACAGGATTTAAAAATTCTCGTTTATTTTAGGACGGTCCCTACATTTCGCCAGAAGAAGCCGTCGCGATCTACACAACCACAGTCCACTGGCTGGAGTCCCGTCGGTTTGCCCCCATACCGTTCCCACCTCTTTCCTACAAACACGACACCAAACTGTTGATTCTAGCGCTCGAAAGGCTGAAGGAAGCCTACAGCGTGAAGTCTAGACTGAACCAGAGTCAGAGAGAGGAATTAGGTCTCATTGAACAGGCTTATGATAATCCTCACGAAGCGCTGTCCAGAATCAAGCGTCATTTGCTTACACAGAGGACTTTCAGAGAGGTATTTTATAGCAATATAGTTATCATTCCATAATAAAGAAAAAGTTTGTTTATAGAATTGATTACATTAATGCTGGCACTTCACTTGGCTATTAGTGTTTGCTGTTAGTAAACTTTACACCAGTCTGCCCTTTTCATTCCTTATAAAGCATGTTAAGGACAGATTGTTGTCAAGTTTACAAATAGCGAATACGAATAGCCAAATGAAGTACTGGCATTATATTTTTATTTGAGCTTTAAGTTATTTATACTTTAATCCCCCCCCCCCCCCCCCAGCATGCGTGACCGTTAAAACAATTTATCGACGAATTGTAAAACTTCAATAGAGTTTGACAGTTGAATGCCGATAAAAAGCCTTATCATATCACGTAGCTCATGCTAAAGGGGCGTTATTTCAGTAAAAAAATAAGATTATCATTCAACTTCAGATTATTCTGTGGTTAATTGACTAATTTCTTTGTCAGGTGGGTATAGAGTTCATGGATCTATACTCGCATCTTGTGCCAGTGTACGATGTGGAACCATTAGAGAAAATCACAGACGCATACTTGGACCAATACTTATGGTACGAAGCGGACAAGAGACGGCTGTTACCGCCATGGGTTAAACCAGCCGATACTGAACCGTCACCATTATTAGTGTACAAGTGGTGCCAGGGTAAGTACTATATTTACTAAAGTGCGGCTAACGAAAGAATTGGGATCCTGACAGATCATGTCAGTTCCTTATGGCAATAAAATAAAGTCCACTTTTGATCTAGTAAAAAAGAGGTCCGTAAATGAACTCTAATCCGGTCGCCATAAGAAACTGATATACCATTTTATCTTCTTTTTCCAAATTTATTTTATTAAGGATCCCTGACGTGTAGTGGCAGAATTTATGTGAAATGCACAGATTAGCCATAAAAAGGGAGAAGAAAATAAAGGAACTGACTCGACCCCTAACGGTCGTATTCTTTCGTTGGCCGCTTCTTATAAGATTTATATCTGTATGTATGTTAGACTATAAGGTATTAATCTATGGGCTTATGTAGCCTGATCATAAATAAATAAAATAAATTGTTAAATTTCGTTTCTTTCATACAAGCTTGAAACTTATTATATTGTTTATAAAAATGTCATCTGTTAATGCAATTGTATTTTTTTATGCTATTGTTTGTGTATTTATTTGTCAGGGCTTGCGCACATACGATGTAATGCTGCCCAGTTCTTGCCCGCGACGTGTTATTATTAAAATTAAGTTATGTATCTACTTAAAATGAGCAATTGTCCACCTTACACTCTTATAAAGGAATATTTTCTACAAATAAATAAAGGACAATGTTAGAATTGGCCTAAGAACCAACACCATTTTGGCATTGATGATAATTCTTAGTATATATTTTGCGATAATTATCAGTATTTAGATTGTGACGGACACTTCCAGTTAAGTAAGCTATATTAAAAAGTTCAAAAAAATCTGAGACAATAACTACCATTTTATGTGTATAATCTATGACAGAGCTGCAAACAAAACACTCTTTCTTCCTAATGCCGGCACTTCGCTTGGCTATTCGTGTTTGCTATTTGAAAACTTGATATCAGTCTGTCCTTTTCATTCTTTATTAAGCATGACAAGGACAGACTGTTGTCAAGTGAAGGGCCGGCATAAAACTCGATACTCTGTGGTTGTGGTGCAGGCAGTTTGCATTCATAGTGATCTGTGCATTCTCGTTTCGGATTACCTGTTGTGTGTGTTTATTTGCCATTGTTTTTCCTTTAATTTATCTATTTAGGCTTTCCAACGGTATAGCGATTACCCGGCTCTAAATCACAGACTTTGTACCTTGCTTTAAAGATAAATGGAAATGGAAGGGAAACAATAAAAAATACTGTTGTAATTGTGTTGTTGGGCGCAGAACTATAGGTTGCTAGTTCCCATGTAATGACTATAATTTGGTATTTAAGTTGGGCTAGATACCAAGAAAATGTCAACCCTGCTGCTCAATTCTTAGATGATATTTTAGTACAACATATAGATGATATTGCATAAAGAAACACCTATATTATGTGACAACTCGACAATTTCATACTAAATCATAGGTTGACCTATGTTTCATTTAATATTAAACATAACCTCGAAATATATTTAGATTTCCTGATAAATTTAAGTTCTCAGAAGTGTCCCTCAAATAATCTTTGTTTATACAGTCATTTACTTGCAATTTAGAACCTAGAAAATAATATTTCATGGTTGTTGGTTCTTAAGCTAACAATGTATGGACGCAGAACAATGTCCTTTCAATTCAATTAAGTATCTGATTTCTATTTTGTTCATCAAATTAGCATGTTAAACCAAACGAACATTTCAGCATTATAATATGAGAATAGATTGTTGTGTGAGAAAATTAGGCTGCTATTATATCAAAATGCGGACACCTACATAATGTACTAGAAGAAAGAAGAAGACTTACGACTGCCCATAGTGTGTGTTGTGGCAAAGGAGATCTGTATGGTCATACCATCCCCTTGTTACAAACCTCACTTTGGTTGGTTGTACTTATCATCACTGAAGAATCAGCACCAATAATTGTTCTGAATTTTACTTTCTTTAGTCTGCCTTCAACAAGTAACTTCCAAAATAATATTTATTTCTAAGTATCAGTTCATACCTAGACAGTTTAGTTATTAACTCATTCCAATGTTATTTTCATTTTATTATTTTTTTTATCAAGGAGCTCATTAGCGCAGTAGTTAGCGCTTGCTTTAGGCGTTCATGTAGCGTTTTTTGCAATGGACGGTCACAGAATTGGTAACCGATATACATTTTATATTCATCATGCTTCGTAACGTTAAGCCTTTGGTCCCGGCTGCATCTACAGATGTTAACATCCACCATGCCGCACTTGTACGTTATGGCTCATTATCCCTATTCCATCTTAGCACGTTAGCACTCGCTAATCCGCGCTGATGGGTCTCCCTTTCCAATATTTACAGAAGATATGTACCCCAGCAGTGGGGACATTTATAAGCTGACGAAATGAACATAAATTATACTTTATTCAAATGGACTTAATGAAATCTCTTTTGAATGATCCAATATTTTTCGTTTCACTTGATCGATTTTTTAGTCGATAAGAAGAGTAGGCATTAGGAACTCATTGCCATTTAAATGATGTATCGGACTTTAAATGATAACATGTAATCTAACTTTTCACTTCTTCAAAATAAGATCACATTTCCAATGTCAACGTATACAGGTATAAATAACCTGCAAGACGTGTGGGAGGTCGGCGAAGGAGAATGCAACGTGCTATTAGAGTCGCGCTTTGAGAAGCTCTATGAAAAGATCGATCTGACGCTCCTGAACAGGCTGCTGCGTCTGATTGTAGACCACAACATCGCTGACTACATGACGGCAAAAAACAACGTCGTTATCAACTATAAGGTATTTATATTATACCTGTTTGAATGATAGAAAGATTTTCTCAGTATTAAAGCAACCTTTCATTACCAAGTGTTTTTTTTTCTAAAAATTTTTTTCTTGAAACGTCTTAATTACGTTCTTGTAAAATATTCTGTGTAGCACACAGCACGATGCTCAAATCAACACAGTGATTCATAGCCGCCATCTTGCCTTCTACAGACGTGCAAATTAAGATGGAGGCTGCATCACCATCGTAAAATTGTTATGTAAAAAAATTAACGACTGTTTGTGATGATACAAGTAAACTACTAAATCCCCAGTATGTATGTCGATTCATATTATAAGTCTTATCTTATTCCCACAGGACATGAACCACACCAACTCGTACGGTATAATACGCGGTCTCCAATTCGCCTCTTTCGTCGTCCAATACTACGGCCTAGTGCTAGACTTGCTAGTGCTCGGGCTGCAGCGTGCTAGTGAGATGGCGGGACCGCCTCAACTGCCCAACGACTTCCTCTCCTACCAAGATAGGCAAACGGAGACTGCTCATCCTATCCGTCTTTATTGCAGATATGTCGACCGCATACACATATTCTTCAGGTACTGGCATAGTATTATTTATGTACTTAGATTAAAACAAAAAGGGAAGATACGGCACTCGTGTCTCGAAAGTGATCTGCTTAAATTGTGGTGCATGACCACAATTCGCTTTAGTCACAATTGGACATTCAAACACGCTACATGTGCACTTAATATAACAATTTTCCGTATATTCTGTGTTATAAAGATAAACCAATGCCTTCGATGCTTTTATAAAGAACACAAATAGTTCAAGATCAAATAACAAATGTCACAGCAACACTTTTCATTCGTAAAACTATTTAAAAAATAAACTTAAAAAAAATATGGTTTGTCATGAATGTATTTTCGAATACTTTTTCGCCATTTGTTATGAAGAAAAAGACAGCAATACAGCTCAGCCGTTTGTAGAGAGAGAGAAAAGAAAACGCACTCGCCAAGCCAAGCGACGCGGACTCTCCGTTTCGTTTGCGCTATGTTGAACGTGCGCGCTTTGTGTGTTGCGTACAGTACCCTTAGCACGAACCAATATCGACTTCGTATCGTTTGCGAGTACGTTATGGCGCTGCTGTTCAAGTTTTCATACAAATTTTGGCATTGACATTTTGCACTCGTAAACTATTCGAATTCGGATAGTTTGCAAACCGAAATGTCAATGTCAAATTTTGTATGGAAACTTGAACAGCAGCGGCACAAAGTACGTAACGAGAATAAAAAATCAGTACACATCGGACTCGCAAACGATACGAATTCGATATTGGTTCGTGTTCGGGGTGCAGTACCCCTAGCACGAATCATTATCGAATTCTAATAGTTTGCAAACCGAAATGTCAATGTCAAATTTTGTATGGAAACTTGAACAGCAGCGGCACAAAGTACGTAACGAGAACTAAAAATCGGTACACATTTGACAATGACATTTCGGACTCGCAAACTATACGAATTCGATATTGGTTCGTGCTAGGGGTACAGTTCTGTCTCGCTCGCTCGATTGAATGTTTATCTACAGCAGTGTGCGTGCGTGAGAGTTGCTTATGTAGTTGAGTCGGAGCATATTTTATTTGATGCTAGTACGAGCGTACCGTATCTTCCCTTTTTGTTTTTATCAAAATTTATTTATTTTTAGCCTTTATTCAGGAAATCAATGTTGTTGAAAAACAGAATTTGTGTTAATTTTTATTATTCTGCTAACTGTGTGTACCTTTTGGCAAAAGCCTCTTCTAACTTTCCATTTTTTCTTCTCCCTGGCCAGCCTTGTCCAAGTTTTTCTTGCTAACTTAACTATGTCATCCTCCTATCTTTTGTGTGGTTTCCCTTTCCTTCTCTTTCCCTCTTGGGTACCAGAAGGTTACTGACTTGCTCCATTTTTCTTCACCTCTTATCATGTGGCCTTCCTATCTCCATTTAAAACTGCTTAAATGTCAATAAGATATCTCGAGCTTTTGTTACCTTCCTAATGGTGCTGTGTACTATATATGATACTGACTTAGTATATGCTCATAATAATGGTCACAGATTTATTTGAAAGCTACAGAAAAAAAGATTTTTAGCATGGTACTCCAACCTTATGAATTTTTTGTTTCTACAGAATCTCCTTTAAAACTACTGATACAGTTAAGTACATCTAAATTTTCGTCATAATATTCTGACATCTCAATGAAAGTACATACTAAGGTACGTGTTAATTTAAAATCGCCTTATTCCAAAACGCGGGCTAAAGTTAGTTTTGGCTTAAACCTGTTGTCTCCGTCTTCTCTTTAGCAAACAAAAGTGACAGCATCAGTTTTAGTCTAGGTTTAATATTAGTCTACGTTTTGTAATAAGGCTGAGAGTATGTGAATTTATTTTCTTTCAATCAGATTCACGGCCGAGGAAGCCCGCGACTTAATCCAGAGGTACTTGACTGAGCATCCTGATCCGAACAACGAGAACATCGTCGGTTACAACAACAAGAAATGCTGGCCGAGAGACGCCCGCATGCGACTCATGAAACACGATGTTAATCTGTAAGATTTTTTATTATTTACTCTTCTTCAGTATTATCTCGGTGCTCGATAAAACTGCAAATGCTGTGGGATTTGTTAATGTATCGGGTTAATATTATTTATTAAGCAATTTCAGGTTGTTTATTATGTGGGTGATGTATTTAGTATCTACAGTACTCTAGCGGTTATGTATGGTCCTTTACTTAGAATTTGCAGTAGGTTAAATTGGCTCTTTAGAAATAAGAATTGAAAGCACTATAAACATATAAGGTTGCAAGTGTATTCTTTTTTTAGAAGATTTAATACATAATATGTTTTTAGCGGCCGAGCTGTATTCTGGGATATAAAGAACCGTCTACCACGTTCAGTAACGACCATTCAATGGGAGAACAGCTTTGTTTCTGTGTATTCCAAGGATAATCCTAATCTTCTATTCAACATGGCTGGATTTGAATGCAGAATACTGCCGAAAGTAAGTGAAATTAATTCATCCATTTTTTTTTGTTTTGTCATATCTTTTTATTTAGTAAAAACACATCATCATCAGCAGCCTATTAATGTCCCCACTGCTGGGGCACAGGCCTTTCTTATGGATAGAATAGGGAGATTGGGTCATGACCCACCATGCGGGCTCAGTGCGGATTGGTGGGCGCTAACGACTGCAGATGCAGCTGGGACCAATGGCTTAACGTGCCTTACGAAGCACCGAGGAGCTGGAGATAGTAAATTTTTGGTCACCCATCCAATGACCGACCACTACGAAAGTTGCTTAACTTCAACGATCGCAGCCGAACGCGCTTACCACTTACGCCGTCGAGCTCCTCGAATAAAAACACACTGCCTTTTTATTACGTTAAAAAAGTTAAATCCGATCAAAAAGGTCACCTTTGTATGCTAAACGGAAGACATGCAGGTTTAAATCAAGTACGACTTTTGTCTATGTTTCGGAATAAAGCGGGTAGAGTTTAATCTTTAAATTGATGCTTATTACTTTTGTCACAGTGTCGTAGTCAACACGAAGAGCTATCGCATCGCGATGGCGTATGGAATCTACAGAACGAAGTGACCAAAGAGAGGACGGCTCAATGTTACTTGAGAGTAGACGATGAGTCTCTGGCGCGATTCCACAACAGAGTCAGACAGATCCTTATGGCGTCTGGCTCGACCACTTTCACCAAGATTGTCAATAAATGGAACACTGCGCTTATTGGTAAGCAATAGTAATAATATAAAGAATAGTTTTTTTGTCTAGGAAATAAACTCTGAAACTACTAAACAAAACAATGCAACATTTGTGTCGGAAATAAGAAATTATGGGGTTTTTTGTTATTAGGCGAAAATCGTATATTCTCAAACTTCATTCTTTTTTGGATTACATACATAAAATTTATAAACTGCATATCAGTCCAGGCTGTTACAAGCACTTGTAAGTCGGAATACATTGACCTGGCACCGACAAAAAAGCTAGGATTTTTCTCTCTTTATGTTTTATTTTATCAGAGTACAAGCTAAAAAGGCGACATCACTTCTTCAAAACATCAAACACACAAATTAATATAGAAAACGATTAACATATAAATATCGCCACTTAACCCCCACTACGCTTCATCTTGTAACTAAAATTCGTAAACGCAATTCAGTCAAGCTTCTTCTTTAAAATCTACTTTATCACCAGGCCTTATGACTTACTTCCGCGAGGCTGTCGTCAACACCCAAGAGCTTCTTGACTTACTCGTCAAATGCGAGAACAAGATACAGACCCGTATAAAGATTGGGTTGAATTCGAAGATGCCTTCGCGTTTCCCTCCCGTCGTGTTCTACACACCCAAAGAGTTGGGAGGGCTCGGCATGTTGTCTATGGGCCATGTGCTTATACCACAGGTAAGTGTTTTACAAGACTTAAATAATGAATGATGTTTAACAACCTATAAGTGATATTTTTTATAAAAAAATGAGATCTAATTGAGAACCTCCTTCTTTTTAAATTCATATGTGACTCCATAAAAAGTGAATTATTAAAATTCATTATTAAAAAAAGGAAATGAAATTTTTGTCTTCAAATATGCCGCGGCAATGATGTGCGAAAAGATCTAACAAATACTTTTCTATTTCATGATTTTTAGTGATATTATCAACACCTTTTTTTGTTAGAATAGTGAAACTGCTCCCAATATTCATCTTAGATACATGTGTATGCCAATAAATTGGCACTTACTTTTTCATGCTGTGAAATAGCCTATTGAGCTGGAATTACTGCCGGTTCCACTAGTAAAGTACATAAAATTAACAAGCTAGCTTTTCGTGTTCGAGATATCTTCTACGCTCACCAAATTCCATTTAGTTTTCATGATCCCTAATTTATCAACAATCACTTCATCAATTGTTCTCTTTCCCCATGCAGTCTGATCTCCGCTGGTCCAAACAAACGGACGTCGGCATCACTCATTTCCGTTCCGGAATGTCTCACGACGAAGACCAACTGATTCCCAATCTGTACCGCTACATTCAGCCGTGGGAGGCTGAGTTTGTGGACTCTCAGCGAGTATGGGCAGAGTACGCGCTCAAACGGCAAGAAGCTAACGCGCAAAACAGGTATTTAATGCTTTTTTGTAATAAATAGGCCAAATTCCAAGTATACACATACTCAAAATAAAATATTTTCAATTGTAAGGCATTTCTAATTTTAAATGTAGATCAAATTAGGTGTTTTTAAGCTTATATTTTTGTGTCATTCAATAAAAAAAATTCTGTGTCCTCTGTCTATAATATTTTCAGTTATTTCTTTGTATGCTGTTTAATTATTTACCTTAACAGGAACATAAGATTAAGGCATGCATATTATCAAATATACATACCTTGTATATCTATCGGTTTTTAAAACAACATAAAATTTACAGGTTACAGACACTTTGAAAGCAGCATAGTCTACTGTGAATTTAAGTTAAATGACTTAAAAACAAGCTTCAGTTAGCCAATTTGATTTTGTTTCAACATTGACATTGACTATTTGGAATGATGAATCGCGTAGGGGTCCTGAAACCAGAGAGCTATGTGCTCTGGGGGCGCGCGGTGACTGCGCGTACGTCGATCGCGATACTCGCGGCGCCGCGCGTCCGAAACTACGCTATCTGATACAATCCCAACCTTATTCTCTTAAACATAGTACTCAAACTTCATTGATACTGCTAACAATCCATCAAAAATTTGCCAACAGGCGGTTAACATTAGAAGACTTGGAAGATTCCTGGGACAGAGGCATTCCAAGAATTAACACACTTTTCCAGAAGGATAGACACACACTAGCTTACGACAAAGGCTGGCGCATCCGTACAGAGTTCAAACAGTACCAGGTAAGTAGTAAACTGAAACATGGAAACATGTAATAACTGTAGTGATCAAGATTTTCGCGTGCCTCAACGATATTAAAATCTCATTCCTTCGTTTATCAAGTTCATTTACGTTTGAATCAATGTTTTGGTTGCAGTATTTTAATGCATATACGGAATGCGTTTTTTTTTCTCATAAATATAACGGATAGTGTTTCAAGCGCATATAAATAATAAAAAAAAACTGATGCTCTAATATTCATCAGAAACAACACTATAATCAGCATTGTATACCTGAAAAGAATTTGAATAAATGGCAGCCCATCAACTACAAAAAAATCTGATCGTCAATAGGTTTATATTATCTGCGCAGACTTTTAAATCTGTATGTTATGCTGCCTTCTATAGTTTTTTTTATCGGTAAACTCACGGGTGTTTTTTACAGGTTTTGAAACAGAATCCGTTCTGGTGGACTCACCAACGCCACGACGGCAAACTGTGGAATCTCAACAATTATCGTACGGATATGATTCAAGCACTAGGCGGCGTAGAAGGAATACTAGAACATACGTTATTCAAGGGCACTTACTTCCCCACTTGGGAGGGTCTCTTTTGGTAAGTTCTGATTATATATTTTTTTTAAGTTTTATTTTTTCAAAAACTACACATTCTGTTTTCAATTACTTGAATATTTAAAAACATGGACAGAAGTTATAATGGTTTTTAACGTTTTTTTATCTCTGTCTTCTCCTACGTAAGTAAAAGTGACTGCATAATTTTTAGACCGGATTCAATTTAAGTAAACGGTATGTAGTTTCCTTTGTTTGTGTTTTTAAACATAAGGTCATTTCAGGGAGAAAGCTTCCGGTTTCGAAGAGTCTATGAAGTACAAGAAACTGACGAACGCCCAGCGTTCCGGTTTGAACCAAATCCCGAATCGTCGCTTCACACTCTGGTGGTCCCCCACCATCAACAGAGCCAATGTATACGTCGGTTTCCAGGTAAACAGGATTTTATTTTTAAATGGAGCCTTTAAATAAAGTTGTTTAAATTATTTTTAATAAATAATATTTTTGTAACTTAATTGTATAATTATTGCTCTTAACTATTCAAGTTTTTTTATTGACCTAACTCAACTACTTGATATTTCGGCGACTTGTTGGCGAAATCATATATATTCAATCTTTCAATTGTGAACACGTGTCAATAAATTTTAACAAAGGCCCATTTTATTTTTCTATAGGTGCAATTGGACTTAACAGGAATCTTCATGCATGGCAAAATTCCAACGCTGAAGATATCTCTGATTCAGATTTTCAGAGCTCACTTGTGGCAGAAAGTTCACGAGTCCATCGTAATGGACTTGTGTCAGGTAACACTGGCTACTTATTAAATTAAATGTATTTCATAAATCTGCTAACCTAACTAATTTCCTTTATCGATAGTGTGAGGTACTCACCATTAATGAAATGAAGTTGTGTAAGCTAAATAGATAGATTTAAAGATATCTTTTTATTTTTGGACTAACAGTATTATGTAGCAATATAACCTAGTAAGTGTTTGTGCTGTATTACAGAACGTTGAATTAAGTTAAGCCTGGTTTAAAATTGATGCTCTAGACAGAGACAGCATTAGGTTTAAACCACGACTAACTTTAGTTCACGTTTTGTAATAAGGGGGATAGTATTTAATAGAAATATTTCATTTTGTATTTTGATGTATAACAGGTATTTGACCAAGAGTTGGACGCTCTCGAGATTGAGACAGTGCAGAAAGAAACAATTCACCCGCGTAAATCTTACAAGATGAACTCTTCATGCGCTGACATTCTCCTGTTCTCTGCCTACAAATGGAATGTGTCCAGGCCGTCGCTACTCGCAGACACCAAGTAAGTTGATGAATAAAGTATTTTAAATGTTGATTGAATACCAACTCTCAATTAGGGTTGCCTAGATTATTTTCATTAAGAACAAAATAACTAATTTTAGTTTTGAGAACATTCCAATAAATATACTTACTACCAATATGGCTCATATTGTTACTTAATAAAAGACTGACAATATCTAATGGTATTCACAAGCTTACCTCAATTAGTAAAAAATATTTTGCAGATGGTTAGTTTCGCTACTCTAGCACCATATTTGCCTTTTCACACTAAACATCAAAATAATGCATTTACAAAATATATAAATAGCTGGAAGTATAATACCGAGTGCTGAAAATTAATTCAATAATTTTGAATTTTTAACCATACTTGGAGAAGTTCATCAAAATTAAATGTAAAGGTCTTATTAAATTGCTGCTATTAATTTTTATATGAGACTTTTACGGTGTTCAAGTGTGGGTATTAGCTGGGATCGACTATACAGATAAATGTTCTTATAGGAACATGCCTTCCTTGATTACGTAACGACGTAAAGAACTCTCATTACGCAATCTCAATGTGAATTCTTAATCAGTTATCCATTAACTTCCTCCACTAGAGACACAATGGACAACACGACTACACAGAAGTACTGGCTGGACATCCAGCTGCGTTGGGGCGACTACGATTCCCACGATGTGGAGCGATATGCCCGGGCCAAGTTCCTTGACTACACTACGGACAATATGTCTATATATCCATCGCCAACGGGGCTGCTCATTGCCATCGATCTAGCGTACAATCTGCACAGGTAACTACTGCAAATAAATAGATTGCCAATATAAGTTCAATGGCTTTAAATGTGGAGCGATATGCTCGAGCAAAGTTCTTGGATTAAACTAACGACAACAGGTCCAAATATCCATCGCCAACGGATACAGAATACAGATAATAGACAATCCTCTGGTTTAGTATATAATTAGTGAAAATGGCATCAAATTTAGAAATGATCTATTGTACATTTCTTAACACTAACCACTCTGATTTGTACTTCGCAGTGCTTACGGCAACTGGTTCCCTGGCTGCAAGCCTCTGATCCAGCAAGCAATGGCTAAGATAATGAAAGCCAACCCCGCGTTATACGTATTACGCGAACGCATTCGTAAGGCGCTGCAGCTGTACTCTTCAGAACCCACAGAACCTTACCTCTCCAGCCAGAACTACGGCGAGCTGTTCTCGAACCAGATTATTTGGTAAGTTAAACATCTATAACATTGAAAGAATAGACAAACCTCTAATAGAGCAAGCTATGGCGAAGAAAGCAAACCCCGCGTTGTATGTATTGCGTGAATTCTGTATTCTTCTCAACACACAGAACCTTACCAGTCCAGTCAGAACTATGGAGAGTTTGGTCATTTGGTAAATGGAATGTTTATAATATTGACTGAATAATAAAAACCCAAAATTCGCACAAATTCAAGTACAAACAACTAATAATAACAACACGTGACGACCTCCGTGGCCGAGTGGTTTTGTACGCTGGGTTTCATGGTGTCGCCGACTCGAGAGGTCCCGGGTTCCAATCCCGGTCCATCATATATTTGTGTGATGAACATGAGTATTTGTACTCCAGTCATGAATGTTTAATATGTATTTCTAAAAAAATATACCTATATATGTACAGTATATGTATTCTATCCGTTATCCTAGCATCCCTTAACACAAGCCTTATAGTGCTTACTTTGGGGCTAGGCTAATTGGTGTGTGTTGGAAATATTTATTTATTTAATAAAGAAACTACATAAAAATAACTGCACTCGCACATTCGATTGGTGCAGTATTTGTTATAACAGCTGAGTTTTATCATTCCCAGGACTTTTTAAAAAGAAAATCATCTTCAAACTTACTGATTAAATAAAAGACGCAAGTAATGCTCATTATGTAAAAATGTAATTTAAATACTATAACTTTTCAGATTACAATAAAATAGTTATATTTTTATGTCTGTCTCACAAACAGGTTCGTGGACGACACAAACGTATACCGTGTGACGATCCATAAGACATTCGAAGGCAACTTGACGACGAAGCCAATCAACGGTGCCATCTTTATATTCAACCCGCGAACGGGACAACTGTTCTTGAAGATCATCCATACTAGCGTGTGGGCGGGACAGAAGCGTCTAGGACAGGTGAGATAAAGAAAAAAAACCCCCAGAACTATAGGCATGGGTTAGGTGACCAAAAACTTATTGTCTGGAGCTCCTATGTTAAGACGTTGGTCCCATCTGCATTTGCAGTCGTTAGCACCCACCAATCCGCAATGGGCCCACGTGATGGGTCATGGCCCAATGGGAGATTGGGCCATCCATAGCGAAGACATGTGTCCAAGCAATCAAGTTGTAAAAGCCATAAAATTTCCAAAATAAGAAAGAATAATGTAAATACTTCTCCATCAGCTTGCCAAGTGGAAAACGGCCGAGGAAGTCGCTGCTCTGATTCGATCACTGCCTGTTGAAGAGCAGCCCAAACAGATTATAGTCACCAGGAAAGGAATGTTGGATCCTCTTGAGGTAAGTCAAGGCAAAAAGAGGCCACAATTTTCTGATATCCACTTCACCTTTACACATTTATCACATTACCGGAAAAGACTTATTTCTCGCTGTGTCATTCGTCCTAGTTTCGATCAATTGACAATACCTAAAAACATCTTTTTCCTTTCTCAGATTATTAAATTAGCTACCAGTATTCATTTTATATTGGCTCTTACTTGGCTATTCGTGTTTGCTATTTGTAAACTTGATAACAGTCTGTCCTTATCATGCTTTATTATGAATAAAAAGGACTGACTGATGTCTAGTTTACAAATAGTAAACATAAATAGCCAAGTAAAATGCCCTCATTAAATACAAGTGCCGATAATTGGTATTGAATTTTTATGACATTGCCAAATAGCATAACACCACATTACGAAATTCTATAACTTTTCCCTAATTTTTTATATCTCTTTTCCTTAGGTTCACTTGTTGGACTTCCCTAACATTGTGATCAAAGGTTCGGAGCTGCAGCTGCCGTTCCAGGCTTGCCTGAAGGTGGAGAAGTTCGGAGACCTCATCCTCAAGGCCACGGAGCCTCAGATGGTGCTTTTCAATTTGTATGATGACTGGCTGAAGACGATTTCCTCGTACACGGTGAGATTCTAGTGTTGAGGTTGTTGACAGTTACAACTTATTTTAGTTTATTTCCTAATTCAGACTTTATTAGTTGTTAGAACTATTATATAAATGCAAAAATTACAAAAAATATAAAAGATTATAATCTTAATAACTTGTGAACAATGTCTCTTTATTGTATTACTGAGACAGAAGAATTGTAATTTGACTTACAGTGCATACTTTGAATTTGAAGATATTTTAGTAGTTTTATTACTATTTAGTTGATTGAAATTCGCAATTTTATTATGTTTAGTTGTTTTAAAATTAGGGTTTCATAGCCACTATCCCACCAATTTTTTTTAAAACAAAATTCTAATAAAAGGTTAACGTGATGAATCGCGTAGGGGTCCTGAAACCAGAGAACTATGTGCTCTGGGGGCGCGTGGTGACTGCGCGTACGTCGATCGCGATACTCGCGGCGCCGCGCGTCCGAAACTACGCTATCTGATACAATCCCAACCTTATTGTCTTAAACATAATGTTCAAATTTTACTGGTACATAAAATTTGCTCTTTTTGTTTCCTAGGCATTCAGCCGTCTGATCCTCATCCTAAGAGCTCTCCACGTGAACACAGAGCGCACCAAAGTGTTACTCAAACCGGATAAAACGACGCTAACGGAACCTCATCACATCTGGCCCACGCTCACTGATGACGATTGGATCAAGGTTGAAGTTCAACTCAAAGACTTGATATTGGCAGACTATGGCAAGAAGAACAAGTGAGTTTTTTTTAATTTTATCCTTATCCAATTTATTCCTAGGCTGTGACTAAAGGTTTGGACATACTTTTAGATTGTTACTTTTCAACTTACCAATCTATATTGCTAAGATGATTACTGATACACCATATTAAATGGTTTCAATTTTACAATAAAACTTAAGAATCGAATTTTATCTTTTATATGTATTACTACTCTTATTTAAATACAAACTCAAAATAAATAGTATAAAAAATTAAGAATCTCATTATGAATTCAATTACTGCTGCCTAGCAATGAAGCCGTCTATATTGTGTATTTTATATCTGTCATGTTTTGTTTCTCTTGTATCCTGTGTGGTGTATTACAATAAAGAGTATTATTATTACAGTGTTAATGTTGCGTCACTAACGCAATCGGAGATCCGCGATATAATCCTCGGCATGGAGATATCAGCGCCTTCTGCCCAACGGCAGCAAATAGCAGAAATCGAGAAACAGAGCAAAGAACAGAGTCAACTCACCGCTACCACTACGCGTACTGTCAACAAACACGGAGACGAGATTATAACCTCAACTACTAGCAACTACGAGTCGCAGACATTCAGGTATTGGGGTTACTTACATAAAAGCCTTTATCGTCGGCCTATTAATGGCCCCACTGCGGGCACAGGCTTTCAAGAAGATGAAATAGTCAAAACGTGGCCAATGCTGATTGATGGGTCCTAAACGGGACCAACGGCTTTACGTGATATATTCCAATGCACAGTTGCTGCATATATAATAAAGTTTTGGTCGTCCAACCTACAACGGGTCATTGCGAAAGTTCTTAACTTCCATGATCGCAGAACGAACGCGCTAACACATTGTATGATTAAAAAATGCTATAATCTGAATTTCTAATGATAGTATAACATGATGAATCGCGTAGGGGTCCTGAAACCAGAGAGCTATGTGCTCTGGGGGCTCGCGGTGACTGCGCGTACGTCGATCGCGATACTCGCGGTACCGCGCGTCCGAAACTACGCTATCTGATACATTCTCGGATCATTTTAATAGTGATGATGATATTAATTTCTTCGTCTACCAGGTAGATTATCAAAAAGTATTGGACACGTATTTTTCCTTTTTTCACATATTCAAAACGTTACGAAGATAGATTGATTTGAAAATTTTGAAATGCTTCCTCACGTGCTGGTACAATTTTTACTTAGAAGTGCCGTAACGAGCCACCACTCCCAAACTTTGAAGCGCATTATCTTTGTAATTCTTAAGTTTCTCTGGAAAATAAACTCCTTCTGTACAAGTGTATACTAAAGCCGGTCTGGACTTATGGCGTACAATTATGGGGCACAGCCTTTATATCCAACATAGAGATACTTCAACATTTTCAATCAAAAGCCCTACGAATGATAACTGGAGCACCATGGTATATGACAAATAATCACTTGCACCATGATCTTAAAATCAAACCTGTTAGAGAAGAAATAAAGAACTCTTTACTTTCCTATTCCAAAAGAATACAAAATCATCCTAACCAAGAACTTTGATGGAAAAGCAACCAAACAATACATTTAAGAGACTAAAGAGACGTGCTCCTCAAGATCTTCTCTAACACAAACACAGAAAAGTCAAAATAGATGGGCATATCATTGGATCATGTACCATGCACGACATTTTAATTCTAAATTCATAAAATCCAGCTTCATGTCGACAAGACAGATCGCAGGAAAAAAAGGAGACTAAAAAAAATCTTTGTAATTGATTGACTGATTGACAAAAGAAAAAGTATGTGTCCGGTATTTTTTTATAATCTTACAGACGCACTAAATAGAATTTCGTTTACTTTTCCCCGTCATCATCCCTATTACAAAAATAAAGTGAACTATTTCTTATTATAAAAAAGTATTTTCGTTACATGGCATTGGTTTTTCATGAATCCTACGTTACACAGTTCGAAGACCGAGTGGCGAGTGAGGGCTATCTCTGCGACCAACCTCCATTTGCGCACAAATCACATCTACGTCAGTTCGGACGACATCAAGGAGAGCGGCTACACCTACATCCTGCCCAAGAACTTGCTCAAGAAATTCGTTACGATTTCCGATCTTCGAGCGCAGGTATGTATCATTAAATAGTTTTACATTTTCAGGGTTCCATACCTCAAAATAAAAAAAAGAGAACCCTTATAGTATCACTGTCAAGATCCTCAACCTCGGGAGCGCATGGAGGTATCGAATTGAAATTTAAACCACATGTTTAGGTCTATGGTCCCTTGAAGCTGTGAACTTAGGTCTATGGTCCCTTGAAGCTGTGAAAAACAATAACATAAAAAGGAGGTACGGCCGTTTATGTTGTGTATCTATAAAGTTGTACGGAACCTTCGGTGGGCGAGACCGACTCGCACTTGTCCGTTTTTTTTCCATGTCATTACTATTTATACAAACATAGTTTTACACTTGATTTTCTCTTGTAATTGAATAATACTTGTATAGTTAAACAAATGGGCAAAATTTTAGCCATATTGCCTGAATTCCTCCTACGCCGGCATCGGTCGCGTATGACAAAGAAAAGTCCCGCAGTGCGAAACCGATAGCTATGTGGAACAGTCGGTTGTAAAATTACATGGTGAATCTATAACGACACGAGCTGTATCCACATTTGCATTCATTTATCAATCACAATATTTGTCATCCAGATCGCGTGCTACCTATACGGAACTTCCCCCGCCGACAACCCAATGGTCCGCGAAGTAGTATGCGCCGTGATCCCCCCACAGTGGGGCACGCACCAGCAGACGCACCTGCCTCGCCAGCTGCCCAAGCACCCTGCGCTGCAGCACCTGCAGCCTCTCGGCTGGATGCACACGCAGCCCAACGAGCTGCCCCAGCTGTCCCCGCAGGTAAACTATGCTATACCCGCGCTGTATGGTGCGTCACCGTGACCCACCGCGGTTGTTAAGTTAGTAGTAGCCCAGCACCTCCGGCCGGTCGGCTAGCTAGATGCACACAAATTCTAACGAGCTGTCCCAGCTGTCGCCGCAGGTACACTACTATAACCGCTGTGATACAAACTTTACAGCGGATATGAAGTTAGCAGCCAGGATGAGAATGGACTGTGCGACACACTTGAAATTGAGTATTTATCGCTATACCACGCTAACGTCAAACGTCTCTGGTAAGGCGCAGCAAATACGTACATTTTATATCCAGGAACAGAAAAAACGACGATGCAGACAATAATTTTACGAAGTATTAGCCGCACGATCACTTCGTCTCACTTGCACAGTACTCCCTTATCTGCTCAGTTTTACTTACAGCTGGACACAACCCTAAATCCATTCTTTGTGACGCTACCATGCGGCCACAGTTTCGACCGAATCCGACCTAACCCAATCTTGTCTTGAATTGAAATTTCGCTAACTTCACCTTTCCACTTACAGGACATCACCACCCACGCTAAAATTATGGCTGAAAACCCCTCCTGGGATGGCGAGAAGACGATCATCATCACGTGTTCCTTCACACCTGGCTCATGTTCCCTCACCGCATACAAACTGACGCCTAGCGGATACGAATGGGGCTCGAGGAATACGGACCGAGGAAACAATCCTAAGGGATACCTGCCTAGTCACTACGAGAGAGTGCAGATGCTGTTGTCGGACAGGTTCTTGGGATACTTCATGGTTCCTTCGCAGGGCAGTTGGAACTACAATTTCATGGGTGAGTTGTTTTGTTTTGTTATATTTCTTTGCATACAAGCTCAAGCCTAGTTGGTATGTATGGGGCTCGAGGAAATAATCCTTTTTTTTTGAGTGTGTATGCTGTTGGTCGCAGATGACCTTTACAGCGTCACCGGGTTTGGGGACGGCGAGATCCTAAGGGGACCTCAAGCCGAGAATTGGCGTGTGCCTCTAGAGGTATTCCATTCGGATGGCATCTTCCCATGGGGGAGTCTCCTCTCCGTCTGGAGCCTTTAGACCACTCGAACCTGAGGGGCTTGCAATGACTACAATGAGAGACTGCAGATGCTGCTGTCTGACAGGTTCTTGGAGTACTTCATGGTACCTTCGCTCGGCAGTTGGAACTATAATTTCATGGTCGAGTTGTTTTGCTGTGTTTTGTTTCCCTGCACACAAACTCATGCCTAGCGGTTACGAATAGAGCTCTAGGAATACGGACCGAGGAAACGATCCTAAAGGATACCTGCCAAGCCATTACGAGAGAGTGCAGATGCTGGCGTCTGACAGCTTCGAGGGGCGAGTAAAATAAAAAAATGTAGTAACTTGGATGCGAGCTATTCACCGACTCATACATGATAGTAACTTGTATGATGCGGTCACACAATTCAAGTAACAACTATAGTAGCTGACTAGGCCAAATCGCACGCCAGCTCGCACTGTGTAACCAACTGCGGGGGGCTTGGGCAGCTGGCGCGTGCCCAACTGCGGGCTGAAGGGGGTCACGTAGCACCACTATAAAAGCATTAGCCGTGAAATTTTTGCAACCTATTTAAATATTTAGACGACCTCCGTGGCCGAGTGGTTTGTACGCCGTGTTTCATGGTGTCGCCGACTCGAGAGCTCCCGGGTTCGAATCCCGGTGGGGGCAGATGTTTGTGTGATGGATACGACATTTGTACTCCAGTCATGGATGTTTAATATGTATTTCTATATAAATATACTTATATATGTATAGTATATTTATTCTATCCGTTACCCTAGCATCCCATAACACAAGCCTTACTTTGGGGCTAGGCTAATTGGTGTAAGTGTTGGAAGGAAATATTTATTTATTTATTCTCGTATGTCTTGTCCATAGGCGTTCGACACGACCCCAACATGAAGTACGGCGTACAGCTAGGCAACCCGCGCGAGTTCTACCACGAGGTGCATCGACCCGCACACTTCATGAACTTCGCCGCCATGGAAGACGCTACGGCGCCCACACTAGCCGCCGATCGAGAAGACATGTTCGCCTAAACTAGAAGTTGCATACTTGTTAAATCGAGTTCTTTCAGAAACAAATTGACGTGTAGACCAAAATAAATTCTATTATTTTACTGACCTAAAGGATTTGCTGCCGGCGCGCTTTCCCTACGATAGTTATATGATGAGAAGACTCGTGTCTTTATTAATAATTTACGTCTCTGAATGCGAACGTAAATTCTACAATGTAGTTAGGTAGTCGTAATTGGATTTTCTAAATTTTCATTTTCATTGCTTTCTTTTTTTAAATTTTAAGTGACTTTATATAATTAATGTTAACTTGTTTCTGCAAGAACACAAGGAATGAGGATTGTAAATAGACTATAAGCGAAATAATAAATTTTAATACATTGTCTATCAGTGTTATTATTTTAAAAGTTTCTATCAAGGGTGTGCCGTGCCTGGGGGATAGCACAATGAATATATGGACACAGGACATATTATTTATTGGACTAAAAATATATTTCTTTATGAACCAATCATATTATGTGGCTTTACCATGGTTTGGTTTTTAATAGAGAAATATGTACCATCAATGGTACACTCAGCTTCATAAAAATATGAGGTATAATTATAATGAGGTGTCAAATCTAAGTTAAGAGCCAAGTTTATATTTTTGCATTTAGTCATCTAAATATTGAACACAACCAACCAGTTTTATATTTCTTCAGATCAAAAGTCTCCAAATACTTATACACCATTACAATGATCTTTAATATGTACGCGTCTTAACTGTTCATTGGTATCTAAGCGTCCAGAGTGCTCATAAATATCTTTGCTTACATGGATTATTTAATTTAAATAAAATTAAAAGTTCTAGGATACATCAACTTGGAAAGGCATCGTCACCGTATCAACTCGAGCCAATTAGTATTCTTTGTACAAATCGTCATACTGCAACGCATACTAATTGGAATCGTTACGTAATTGTCTCGACTCGGGACAAGCTCCCAAGCCGCGGTGCGTGGTCAACTTGCAATTTCCGCGTTTCCGTCCAACCCCCGTGCGGGCCAGTTGTATTCACTTGCAATGTTATCGAGTATTGAAACGCGAGTGACCAATAAGGGCAGGCCGAGGCCACCTTTGTCTCTGAGATCCTTAATGTTATTTTGGCGGCATTTCATTGAGTGCGGTCAACGCCTTATTTTAATTATTCTTATATTGTTCACAGTGGCTATTGTGAAATAAAATTGGTGTGTTTGTGTTACAACCGTCTGCGTACAATCTGTCTATAAAGTCGTGACATTAAATAATGGCGCCACTAGTATGCATGTAGCAACCCTGTACAGTCTGACCATAATGATTTTGATACTAGCAGTTCATTCAAGTAAAATAGGTAATTAATAAGACACACTATACAGTCGTATTTTGTTTTTGTTTTATATATAGTAGGTACCTATGCTTATAAAAAGTTTAGCCAAGCATATTTAATTGAATCAGAATAAAATTATTATAGATAAAATAGTACTTTATGGTGTAAAAGTGTGTAATGTTGGTGATTACCGCTGAGGTGCCATTGAGACCAGAGCCTTTAGGTAATCATCAATACATACAAGTATCATCATATGACGTTTTTTAACACACTTGTAAAGAAAAGAATACTAAAAATCATATTATAGTATATAAAAAATTTAATTAGAGAAACAATTTGTAAATGTGCAGTTAGTAAAATTAGTGATAGGTATCTTCACTAAAAGCATCTGGCCATGGTTCTTTATGTGACCATTTCTTTCTTTGGTCGGCCTTGCCTGTTTTCCCAGGAGTTTCAAACTTTCCATCATTCTTATAACCTTCGTTGACTATCCGACTCTCTGATTTTCCTGAAAAAAAAAGTAAAAAAATATGTAACGGAATAGAAACAATAACTTATTGACATGAAGCAATTAATTCAAAATTGGTAGAAAACCTGACCGAGTTGAACCATAATAACGTATCAAAAGAAATGGTTGTACTACAATATTACCTATTTACAATGTAAATCTAACCTAAAAATGTGCAATGCCTTTTTTGGTCTCAAAATCGTAAATTGAGTAAATTTGTAACTTCAGGCAGATTACAAACAAATAGTTACACGATTACATACCCGTTATAGATGCTGTTCGCCCATAAAACCATCCTAATCCCACAAAATTCATCCAGCTTGGTAGTCTTCGAAACATCGCTGGAAAACTTTAAAAATCACTTCCCGCGTGCCACTCCGATTTACTTATCTCATTTTTATACCTTTCTGCGTAGTTTCGTCTTAATTTATTACAGTTTAACCCTCTACTGCATGAATTATGAAGGAAACGATAAAAAAAATATTTGATGGTTATTGAGCCTTTATTTACTGATAAGATTTACTACAGAAATGAAATTTGAAAAAAAACGGTTACAGGAACTGAAAAAAAAATTAAGACCATATATGGGTTCATATGCATTCAAACAAATTATAATCAAAATTACTAGTGACATATATGGGTTTCTATGAAATAAAGAAATAATTTGAGCTTGTAGTATCTCGCAATAGTTTCAGTATTTATCATGAAAATCTGATAAACAGTTCCGTTTGTCGTTGTAACATAGAAAACCCATACATTTTTTACATTTTGTGTAAGTTTTTTGACCGCAACATTGACATTTTTGTTGGTTTTTCATCCATTCCGGCATATGGTCTATTTTGTCCGTTCTTACAGAGTTCAACGGCAGTTCTTGGTGTCTGACAGGAACTTTCCTTATTTTACTTGGACGATTGGGTGTTCCTGGATTAGATGAAGCAGGACTTCTGTGGCCAGTAAAACTTATAGGCGTTCCGTCTCTGCTTTGATTAGAGGGACGTCCTCTTTTTCGAATACTTACAGCTTTACCTGATTTGAGTAAGTGTTCTGAAACTGCTTGCTTAAAATCAAATAAAGGCATGTAATTGTTTGGATTATTTCTGCGCCAAAGAATCCAAGCATTCACAATACACATATCCACCATGTGGAAAAAACTTCGCTTATACCATTTTTTGGATCTCAAGTGTTAGCGGGCTTGTTTATGTTGTCTTGTACAGATGTCAATTTAGATTGATTGGTAATAGTTTCTAGCAAATCTTCAGAAAATAAAAACACAAAATAATCTGCCGGTGTTTCAAGTTTTTCAAAAAATTCCGGTAATTGTGCGATTCCAGTAAATTTGAAATTCTTTACATCATAAGCCTCTATTTTTTTTGTTTCCCATTTTATTACGGTAGCCTTATTTTTTTTGCCTTCCCTTTCTTTTGTGTGGTTGGTGCAGGGCTAGTTTCTTCATCAGAAGAATCGCTATCAGTTTCGAGGATAACAACAGATCTTCTGTGACGTTGGTATTGTCTAGGAGGAACATATTCGTTGTCGGAATCGGAAGCTAAGGCATCATCACTTATCATACCATCTCCAGGTAAGGGATTAACATGTTTATAAGAGCCATAAAAGCGAGCAGGATCCATTCTGCAACCAAGGAAAAGCCATCCAGCACATCACACAAAAACTGATAATGCATACGAAACCATATAAGGTTCACAGAAAAAAGGCAAAGTTTGGTAAGAATGCATGCGAAACCATATATGGTTTCGAAGAAAAAGTCCTTCAGTATGATAGAAATATGCAAAAAAGCTATAAAAAACTAAAACATTATTGAAATAGAATAGTAATAGCACCATATTTTATTTTTTTATCAAGCAAAACTTACCTTTATCATGTAGATAAACTTTTTTGAAAAATGAATTTGCAGACACTGTGTTGAACTTCGCACCCGCGCTGATACAAGTGTTAGTGAGGTTATAACGGAATTGACGTTTGACCACAGACAACAAAATATTATTTTTGTATTACCAACATATTAATCTTAAGGTAGACGATGCGTTTAGTTAATGTATTAGAATTATTACGAAGAAAAAAAAAACTAAAGTTGAAGAACCATATGTGGGTTTGTATGCGGTAGAGGGTTAATCCAAACAATAAAAAATACAAAAGGAAAACTGTTCCACAACTGAAACTCGATGACAGCTGATGTACATAAGTTTGGTGTTGCCAGACACATGAATAATGTTAGTTCCTCAAACATTAATGTCACGACTTTATAGACAAACTGTAACTGAAGAATTAATCTTTATAATATACGCTTTTCTGGTCAAATGGACGTGAGAACTTTATTGTAGTGTTGACTACCTCACAGAAGCTTATCGAAAAAGCCAACTCGATAATTCGTGTCAAATACTCCAAGAAACATTAGAATACGTCACACCGACATTCTAATGTAAAAAAGATTTTTATAACTAAAGATTAAGCTGCATGGGCATTGTCCTTTTGCTTTCCCTAAAAAAGGGAGAATCTTAAAAATGTATAAATACTAGACATGAGGCGGTATAGTATAGACTTAACATCCTTTGCCTTTCAATGAAGGAATAACATTACAAAAAAAAGTTTTTTTTTTTTAATTGTTTCCAAGATGTTGCCGGATTAGGTTTTTTCCAAATTTCGGGGAAAAATATCAATTTGGAGAAACATTTCAGGAAATGATACAACACATTGAATATGCCTCTTCTGTATGGAATCCACAGTATAATACATACATTGGTGTATACGTATTGAAAGAATTCAACGCAAATTTGTAAAGTACTTAGAAAACAGAATTAATATTAACTTGATTATTAATGATTGTGAAGCAAAGTTACAGGTTACATCCTTGCAACATCGCAGAACTGTTAGAGATCAATTATTTCTTTACAAACTTATTAATGACCTTGTAGATTCGCGGTTCCTTTTGCAGAGGATTGGTTTCCGTTGTCCAAATAGAACTAGGTCTGATAACACGTTTGTAATATAATTCAGCAGGACCAAGTTTGCTGCAAATAGTTTCATTTCTAGAGCATGTCACAGCTATAATAAATACTTCAGGGGATTGGATATATTTAGCCTTGCTTACAATCAATTTAGAAATGAATGCTATAAGGTCGTTTTACCCTAAACTTAGTAATTATTTTCTTACCATAAATTTTAAATATATCATGTTTAATATATTCACTAACTCTAAATATTGTACGTAATCTTAAGTAAATTATGTAAGTGTATGAATGTTCAGTCTGTGGAAACTTAACTGGTTTATGAAAAAGTAATAAGTGTTATTTAATTGAATTGTGTAAAACTGTATGTTTCCCAAATGAAAATAAATAAATAAATAAATTTTTGAAGGGGATCCCCCACTAAAATCACGCACGTAGTCCACTGTAATAAATAATGCCAACTTATTTTTTTTTTTTTTTTTTTTTTTTTTGTGTTACCGCTTTCTGCGATCAGTCTACACTATAAGCAGAACATTTCAATGACTTTTCGGGCGTGCGAGATGGCTTTTTCAACAAAAAGCTCTTCTCTCATTGTTCCACACTGATCTTCAGTTAATGCCTGTTTTCCAGCTCTCCGATAGTACATCTTTTGAGTCTTTTGGAGTGTTTGCTAACATCAGTGAGAGTCACCGCAAGTTTATTAACATGGTGAATAAGTCTGCCCTGATAGCGCTTAGCTATAGCGTTTATTTCGTCCTTGACAGTGTTGCTTTGCAAGTAGTCGTGCATTTCTGTGCTTTTCACAAACCATGGAGCATTCAGTATGGTGCGAAACACTGAGTTTTGGAATCGCTGCAGGATTTCTAGGTTCGAGTTACTCGCTGTACCCCAAAGTTCGATGCCGTAAGTCCAAATTGGTTTTAATACCGCGTTATAAATGAGAAGCTTGTTATTCAAACTGAGACGCGAGTGTCTTCCCATTATCCAAAGGAGTGAGCGAAAGCGAATATTTAGTTCATCCCTTTTCTTTTGAATATGGGTCTTCCATGTTTGCCTTCTATCAAGATGTATCCCCAAGTATTTAGCAACGTCACATTGCGGAAGCTGTTCTGTTCCAAGCTTAACTGGTGGACAAATTCCAGTCTTCAGCGTAAAAGTTACATGAGTGGATTTGGAGGCACTCGCCTTTATCTTCCATTTTTCCATCCACTGGCCAATGGTTGTGAGATGTGCTTGTAGCTTCTGAGAAGCAATTCTCGGATCCTTGTTGCAACTCAGTGCCACTGTATCATCTGCAAATGTGGCAGATAGTATTTCAGGTGAGTCAGGTAAATCTGCGGTAAACAGTATATAAAACATAGGCCCGAGCACAGATCCCTGCGGAACACCTGCTTTTATATCGTAGAATCCGGAAAGGTCTTCATTAACAACTACTCGGAACATTCTATCGTCTAAGTACGATTTGATGAGAGTGAAAAAGTTGTGAGGAAAGTGTCTCTTAATTTTGTATAGAAGGCCTTCGTGCCAAACTTTATCAAAAGCTTGTTGAACATCTATAAAGGCGGCAGAACAATACTGGCGCTGCTCCATGGCCGATCTTATCTGATTGACCACTCTGTGAACTTGTTCTACAGTAGAATGTCGCTCTCGAAACCCGAATTGGTGATCAGGTATTAGCTTTTTGTCTTGTACCAGTGTAATTAAGCGAGTGAGGAATACCTTTTCAAACAATTTAGATAGTATGGGCAGCAAGCTAATGGGTCGGTAGGATGACACCTCATAGTGGTCTTTGCCAGGTTTAGGTATCATAACGATATATGACACCTTCCATGATTTCGGGAAGTACGATAGACGAAGAATACCGTTAAAGAGAGCAGCAAGATATACAACAGCCTTTTTAGGTAGTTTTTTAAGTACTTCAGCTGTCAGTTCGTCATAGCCGGGAGCCTTTTTTGGTTTAAGTGTTCGAATGATTTTCCATAGCTCTCTGGTTGTGAAGTGTTTGATAGGTAGACTTAGCTGTAAATCGCTACTTAAATATTCTTTCACTTCCCTATGCATGTCTTTGGCGCTACTTTCGTTCGGTGTAAAAACTTCTTGTAGGAATTCTCCAAAAGCTGCAGCCTTCTCTGTATCAGTTTTAGCCCAGCCGCCGTTGCGAAGTCTCAATGGATATTCCAGATTTTGCGGTTTACACGATGATTTAATTGTGTTCCATAAGCAATGCTCCCGACCTCCAGCCGAAAGAGATTCAAGGCGTTGCTGAAGAGTTTCATTTTCAACTTCCTTCAGAAATTGTTTCAATTTTTCGGATGCTATATTAAAAGCAGTTTTATCTTCAGTTCTTCGGGTATTGTGCCAGGTTCTTCTAAGTTTTCTTTTATGTAGTAACATTTCTCTAACTGCAAGAGGTACATTGTGATATTTATTAGTTTTGTTTTGGTTAGCTGGTGTACTTAGCCAACACGCTGTCTGTATAATTTCGGTTATTGACATAGTTGCTTCTTCCAACTGATCTTCCGTCTTCAAAGGAACTCTAAGGTCTAGATTCTTGTCAATGTACTCTCTAAATGCTTCCCAATCTGTATTCGCGTTGTAAATATGTTGTCTTTGTTGCCTTTCGATTAATGTAGTGCTAACTGTGGCTATGATTGGTACATGATCAGAGGCACCATCACAACTTGTTTCAATTTTCATGTAGTGCTCTGTGATACCGCTGAAGACAAAGAAATCTATCAAGTCAGGGTTACGTAGTGGATCAGAAGGGTAATATGTTGGCTGTCTAGTCGTTAGTATGCCAAAATGTCTATTATCAATACAGCTCTTGAGTTCTCTACCCCTTGTTAGTGTCTTGCTGGATCCCCAGGCTACATGCTTTGCATTCCAGTCCCCTCCTACAATAAATCTTGGTCCTAAGGTAGAGAAGAAGGAAGTGAACGCCTCTGAGTTAATTTTTGGCCTAGGCGGACAATAGATTGAGGATATATTCAAGTCGTTGTGTTTGCATTGCACGCGTATTGTTGTGGCTTGCATATGTACTGTTTGATATTGCGGCAATACGTGGTGTTTCAACTTCTTCCTTACTATTATTGCAGAACCTGCGTGACCAGTTCCATCTGGATGGTTGGTTGAATAAATGCAATAATTGTTACTTATACTTAGTTTAGATCTATCAGTCAGGTGAGATTCCGATATTAATACTATATCAATCATGTTCATATTCATAATGTTAACTACTTCGTTTACATGGCCTGTTAGACCGTTAATGTTCCAGGCTGCTATTCTAAGGGAATCTATTTGTTTACTATGTGGGTAAGCATTGTTGTTAACAGACTCATCATCTCAGAGCGTCTAGCTTCTCAGCTTGTTTTGTGAGTAAGTCTTCTAGTTTATTGGTTAGACAGTCAGTTGATTCGTTTTGCTGTACTACCTGTGCGTAGGTTTTGTCAACTTATTTAAATGCACGGTTATCACCCTCCGCAGTCTCCACTAGTCGGGCGAAAGCTATAACCATATTTGGCTGAATAAGAACGCCTAACGATCATTCCTACCCATTCTTACGAGTGATTTTATGATTAAACTACTTAATGGATTTGGGTATCTGAAAAAGTATCTTTTTAGGGAAAAATAAAATCCGATCTAATATTTAGGAACTTACAAAATCATAGACAGGAAACCCCGGTAATGTCAATCAATGTCAAGTCAAATTTTATTTGGCTAGAATTCTAGTCTACTGCCATTGCCATTGTTCGAAAAAAATCCCAAGATTTTCCTCTATTTCTGTCTTTTTCTGTGTGTCTGAAACGATAATTAAAAGATCATTAAAAAAATGGCAGATACCGATGTTTTCGAAGACAATCAATATCCAGATAATGATGAATTCGTCCCATACGTGACTGCCGGCAATCTTGCACAGAAGAATGGCGCGAAAGTAACGCTTTGGGGTAAAGTCACCAAAGTTTCGGCTAGCGAAGGATTTTACGTAAAAACCGTTGATGACCAAGAAGTATTGATAAGGTTGAAGAGACCCTTGAGTGAGCCATTAGAAGGGTGGTACGAAATATATGGCGTTTCTCAAGGTAAAAGTGTGTTATGTGATGAGTATGTACCTTTTTCCGAAGAAATGTGCAAGAACATCGATACCGAAGGGCATAAAGGCCTTGCAAGATTGCTCGCTGCTTTAGATGATCCCTGGAATCTTGGAGAAGATGGCTCTAGTGATATGAATGGTGTCACACCCATGACATGAGTTAAAGAATTGAGCAACAGTACAAGTGTTTCAAAAATTAATGTACTCTTTTATCATGAACATTGAATGGTTAATTGTTATATGGATTTTCCATACATTCCTTACTAAAATGAAAACAGTAATTTGAGATCTTGCAATTTGTATAATAACTTTAGTGTCAAGTTTATTAGTAGGTTTATCAATAACATTGAAAATGTCTTTTCTTGTCTTTTAAAAAAAAGCATCCATTATTTGTCATCAAAGTTACAGAGATCTTTAAATTTGATACTACAGAGTTGGACATTCAGATCCATTTACATACATTGGCGTAGCTAGGGAGTTTTGTTAGGTGGGAAACAGTTGACCTTGAATTCATTTGTAATTTTCCAACACTCGAAGTTGCAACAACAACAACGCCTGTGACCATTAATTGTACAAAGTTATGTTTAGTATTTATATTGTAAGTATTAATATAGTCTATTTTGAAAGTAAAATGTATACTTCTTATTGCATTCACTTTATTAAATATATAAAGTTTAACCCTTAAGATTTGAGTTATGATCTATTTCAGGTAAATATTAATTTACAAAATATTTGAAATACTTTTATACTAGGGCAATAAGCACAACCTTTATTTTGACACAAACTTCAAGTTGAATCCATTATATTTTTTTAAACCTATTATGGGTGTACTATTTACTAGGCATGACAAGCATTGCAATCCATAAATCAATACAATATAATAAAAACAATATACTCTGGTCATTATGAACATATTAGGTACCTACTAGCGGGGCCTGTGACTTCCCCCGAGTGCAAATATGGATTTTCCATACAAACTTTCTCCCCTCTTTTCACACCCTCTTTTTTTAAAAGGATGATTTCTAACTATATCTTGCTTGTACTACATAAAGAAAATTTAACGAGAAAAAAATCCCAACCCGATAGCAGAAGATCGGGTTCAAATCCCATTTGAGACTGGACTAAGTACATTTTTTGTAGTAAAATTTTGTTTGGATTTAAACATATAGCAGTTAGGTAAATGCCAAAAAATATAAAAATCTTGCCTTATCTAAAGTTACAATATTTAAGTAGAAAATATTAAGAAGTCATCCAGCATTGCACGCGAGGGTACGCGCGCACATCTCCAATTTCTCTGTTCTTCTTTTCTAGAAACTTCATTCTCTTCTCGTGCTGTACAGCGTTGGAGAGAACTCCTTCAATGCAGGTCACGGGCCGGTTTCTGAATAAGCAGATCAATTTAGTTCAAAAAGCTTCAGTGTAAGTAGAGTTCATGAAAGTAAAACTTATAACATCGCTATAAATGTTTACGTTCATCTGATAGTATGTCGTATTACATTTTTGGTGGTATTTAAAAAATCTGATTTTATTTACAAGCATCTTAGAGAATTGGTATATGCTCAGACAAGCATCGGTGGTTCAGTGGTAGATAGAAAGATCGCCTGCTACGTGGGCGGCCCGGATACGAATCCCAGCCGAGGTCTTAATCTTTCAACGACTTCAAAAGAATCACTTGCATTTTTAAAAATCTAATTATCTATAGGAAACAATTTCACAGCGGTGATATAAAAATTAATGAACACCCAGACTCAATCTTAAACTCAAAAATCAAAATCAAACGCACCAGAATCAGGCCGGCCGGGTAGACTGCTTCCTACACGCAAGGATCCGTCCGTATTGGTGTGAATTTTTGAAAGGTTGAACGGAAATTATCTAAAACATGTTTCGCGTATACGAGGTCCTCATTTCTTATTCACTGTCTCTTATAAGCACCTACGTATTTAAAAGTTACAAGTCTCCTGCGCGTCCATATGTGTGTATATGGTTCGAGTCTCAGAGACGCCCTCTAGTTGAGTCGACCCCCTCAGGTTCGAGTGGTCTAGAGGATCCAGACGGAGACCCCCCGTGGGGAGATGCTATCCGCCTGGAATACCTCTAGAGGCACTCGCTAATTCTCGGCTTGAGGTCCCCTTAGGATCTCGCCGTCCCCAAACCCAGTGACGCTGTAAAGGTCATTTGCGACGAACAGCATACACACTCAAACAAAAATGTGTGTGTGTTTGGACGTTCAAGAGTAGAGTTAATAATAAAAATCAAGGAGGAATCAGTTGAGAACTTTTGTATGGAAAAAGCATTGCCGGCCTCCTCTCTTTACACTAGGTGCGATTGTGGACAAACGCATTCAAAATTAAGTATATAAAAAAAATTACCTAGAATCATTTTCGAAGATTAAGACTACGTACATAACTTTCCCATTAGCGTCTATCTTCTGTAGCTCCGATTGTATCTTCATACTCTGCGGGCGGTCCTTGCCACCTCGCAGCGCCAACTCTGTAAGGTACCTCTTGATGTACAGCTTGAGCTGAACGTTCTCCTTTGCAAGTTTAGCCTTCTCTGCCTTCAGACAGATGGTTTGAACCTTGACACGGTTCGCCTTTAATAAAAACTTGTCCATTTTGCTATACTCCTTGCACACGTTCTAGGAGAAAAGAGACGAATCTAAGTAGATCAGTGGATTATTACCTACCTAATAAGTATTAGGTAGGTAATAATCCACTGATTCTTTGCGCGAGTAACCGGTCCATCGTATGAGGTCGTGTGGCAGGGAGAGGACCTCAGAACCGTTTTATGAAGTTAATTTAATTAATTGGATAGAACGTAGGTACTATTTATATTAGCACATTAAAAGAGTGATAGACTGAATGGTGTGTACTGCCTGGCTCCCAAAAAGAAAATTAGGATAATTTAATATAATTATTGGGTATTTAATATATAAAATAAATATGTCATCCAGCCTCCTTTATTTATCTCGCTTCAACTCTATCACGTTATCTACTTAAGTTAATGTCTTTACTGATCCATATATGTACTACAGTGTAGATAGTTAACTTACGATCATAGTTCCATCCAAGTTTTCAAAATCTGTGGGGGCTCCATCCGTATCTGTATCCTTCAGAAAAGCTTCGTCTGTAAAGTGTTCGTATTTGCGGCAGATTTCGGCCATATGCATTATTTTATCAATCTTCTCTTTCACATCTTCTAGACGCTAAAACAAAGCACAATAGAGATGATGACTAACTTTTTTTCTTCATCTATCAGCTGTATTATCAAAAAGTATTGGATACGTATTTTTTGTTTTTGCACATAATCAAACTTTGCTTCGAAATATCGCATGGCGTCAAGCCTTGGTACAATTTTCACTTAGAAGTGACGTCACGAGCGCCCACTCCCAAACTTTGAAGCGCTCTATCTTTATTTAATTTTGGTTGATTAGCAAAAGAAAAAATAAGTGTTCATTATTTCAAAAAAAAACTAACCGACTCCTTAATAATTCCTTTTGTAAATATTGTTTTCTTCGAGAGCACAGTGGATTTCCCGTTCGTATTAGAGCAGCCTTGTGGGAAGTATTATCCTCAGTGCAAAAAAAACCCAGAGAAATTACGCTATAAGTACTGTGTTTCTGAACTAAAGTACCAACCAGTCTTCGCGACTGGATTCCACCTACACTTTACATGACATCAGGTGGGGTGGGGTAATTTTCTGCGCCTCGTATAAAAAAGTATGCGTTTCTTTAGGTATCCAAGGAGTAGGAGATGGGCTCGTGTAGGTTAAGCCCACAGAACATGGAAGTGGGCGGGGCAGGCGCGCAACAGTTATGTGTGAGCCAATGCTTATAACTTTAACAAAACTTGGTTCTGATTACGTCGTTGCTCTCGGCTGTGAGCTGTCTGTGGGCAGTGTTCGATTGTTTGATGTCGCGTCGTTTGATTGGCTATCATCTATTAGATGGAAGTGTAGTGGGGGCGAGCCGGCGGCATCGGTTCCCGTACTAACGGTACCGGTCTATGATCACCCTTGTAATCTCTTTCTGTGTTCTGTGGACGTCGCAAGTGGCTGTGGTGGTCTGGCTGGGCCATATGCCTATTAGTAACGTTTTTAAACAAAAAAATCTGGAGGGAAAGATGCATGTGTTAAGCCAATAAGAAATAAGGTAGCGGCCAAACCAATGACCGACAAGAACCAATGATCTACATTTTTTTGTGATCAATTAAAATAAGAGTAGGTAAACGATCACTAAATATGGTAACAAAACAATGAGCTATAGACGCTGGGTGTTACGGTTTGATCGGTCATTGGGGCCACTACCTTAGCTGTATAGTGGGGTTTACTTTGATAGCGTCTTGACTGGCATTGACCATGACAGTGAGCTGGCTATCTCCTGAACTTCTTTGCGTTTTGCTTTCCTTCTTGAGAAACCAGTATCGCTTCGTCAGCTCGTCTTTATGGTTGCTCATCTTCGTCAGCTTGTTGGTTATTGTGTTGGTCGTTCTCATCCATTCACGTTGGAGAGTCAGAAGCGTATCCTGGCAATGCATTTAAAAATCATAATTTACCAAACCACCAAAACAAACGGAGTATTAAAACTTGATTTCGTACCTAGTTACATGACTTGCCTTTTCAAATCACCTTGTGGGACAGGGTGCAAACAGCGCTGTTGTAGATTTCGTGAACGGTGTATCCGTTGCGAGGAGTTCGATGGCACAGAGGAGCTCAATGGCGCGGAGGAGCTCGATAAAGTTCGTTGAAGTTAAGCAACTTTCGCAGTGGTCGGTCATTGGATGGGTGACCAAAAAGCTTCTATCTCGAGTTCCTCCGTGCTTCGAAAGGCACGTTAAGCCGTTGGCCCCGGCTGCATCTGCAGTTGTTAGCACTCGTCAATCCGCACTGGGCCTGCGTGGCGGGTCATGTACCAAACTCCCTATTTCATCCACAGAGAAGGCCTGTGCCCCAGCAGTGGGGACATTAATAGGCTGATAACGATAACCGCTGCGTATACTAATCAAAGTAACGACGAGGCGTCAGTATTTATCCACAATAAGCTCCCCAGTCATATTGCTTCAAAGGTGGGGCAGATTACCGAATAGCTCTTACCCCAAGTCACTATACTTAATTGTGTAGAAACGGACTCCCGGACGATTTCGTAATACATCCAAGGTACCCAAAGAAGGTCATTGAAGGTATCTCTTGGATTTAGTATTTTTTATAGAATCCCCCCCCCCCCCCCTTAGTCACGATATGAAGAACTTCATGTAACTTTTTTACTTAGGGATTAGAGTATGGGGTTTTATAGAAAGAGCGTAAAAATATTAATTTTACAGCGCCAGTGATGCAACTGGGCATAACAATAGTCCATAGGCTGCGGTATGCGAACTGCTTACCATCCTACCTAGGCTATTCGAAGGATATTGTTCTCCACCTCAGTGGAATAAAAAAAAACGAGTGTGCTTATGACCATACGACTGGAGTGAAACTTCTTTAGCTCCATCTGTATATATATATATATATATATATATATATACAGATCAGTGGTGGGCACATAATTAAAAACACTCCCTAATTGACCACAAAAAAATTACTTATGGTACTAAATTAGCTAAAATTGTTATTTAATCTAGTGTAATTAAACTATTGTTGAAAATAATCGTCCTAGTGGACGAATCGCAACTCTTGTTCTTTCCCATCTTAATTATGTGACCACAACTGTATATATGTGTGTGTACAATATATACATGTATGTACATATAGGTATATATATTTCATTTACTAGCTATAAGAGAAAGAGAAAAAAAATGTGCGCGCACACTGCTTTCTCTCCTGTTCCCGTTCGCCTCGCCCGACGACACACTTTTTGTAACGCGTAATGCATTCGTCATCTTACCCCCCAAGTCAAGCGTGCGTAAAGAAATTTCACTTCAAAAGAATCATACCATAGCTCGTTGTATCTGCATGTCATTTCTTGCGATGTCCTTTGTATAGAAGTCGTCCTTCTCTCTGAGCGTTTGGTAGTGGCCCATAATGGGGTTGTGCTGCTCCAAATATGAATTGTAAACCTCTTTAAGCTTGGCCCAATATATCTCAATTTCTAGCTGCTTGGGCCGGCATAGCGACCGCATTTCTTCCTCATGCTGGTTTATAGAATGGGTAAAATATTATTAATAAAACTGGGGATAGTATTATTTTAGCATATGGTGGCCACTGAAAGTTCACCAGCATGTTGCTTGATCAAGTGGCTTGATCAAGCCAATTTTGATCCACTTAATCAAAAGGCTTAATTAATGAAGGCGTGTGGCCACCAATAGTACATTTCTTATAAACTATGACTATTTACTAATTATGTACCTATGATAAGAACATAGTTCAAGAATTTGTTATGAGCGCTATATAAAAACATCGAAATGACCTTATCGTGACTCATTCATTATCCAACACCCAATTTTATTTTGGGAACAATGTGATTTCCAATTGGTCATGTTTTATTAGCTGGCAATTACGAGGTTTTGCTGACTGCTCGCGAGTTTCCGCTGTTATGACGTCCGCATGTGACAGTTTGACAGCTGTGATGGATACGGTGAGTAACCGTGACCAGACCTTTGTGATCACGTTGATGATGGAACAGAGGTTGGCATAAGGTGGTTCAAAATATGCTCGATCGCTAAACGTATGTGCGAACCTAATATTACAACAGTCATGCTGAATTAGCAGTGCAGAAAAGAACGACCCAAAATGCGTCAGCGAAATGCTGCAGCCAGTATATAAAATATCAACCAGGATTTAATGGAAACTCAAATTTAACCTTAAAGTAGACCAAAATAGGTTGGTGTTTATGTTTCAAGGAGTAACAGATTGATATAGATAGATTGATAGTATGTATATACTATATATAGGTGATCGTTCATTGGCATCAAAGAATCCGTTATATGCCTAAATCCTCAACCATTAAATACGTTTTGGCATTGTCATCATTTATATCAAAATATTATTGTGCCTTTATGATTAAAAACGTGTATCAACGATTCAAGCTGTTTTACAGGAAAACTGAGTGTGTGAAAGTCAAATAAAAGAAAAGAAATTTAAGGAACAACTAATACAATTGTTTTCAGAATCAAAAAATTGAAAGCTCTTTATGACCTCACTCAATTCATTGACTCATTCAATGAGCAGATCGCTTGATCTGTTTTTAATACAAAACGATTAACAATGATAAATATTTCTTCAACTTTTACTTTTAAATAATTTGTCGCACTAGCTTGTTGGGTGTGTATCATCCAATAATTTTTTATAAGTATTTGATTCATGTCACTGTTTTGATCGTCCCTATTGTGCGACGGTTGGGTATTGAAGCGTGGTTACCATTATATATGGTATGGTACATTACAGCTTCCCAATAGATCAGTTATGAGGACAAAGCGAAAGTGAACACCATGTGTCATACGTTAACTTTATTTGTGATCCTTTTTTCAGTGATTTTGCAATGTTATGTGAGTATAGTTAAAAAGAAGGAAAAAAGTTATCGACAAACAATAAGTATTATTTTTAATCCAAAATTAGAAAAAATACTAGTTTAATGTCTTTGTTTGGAAGGTAAAAAGTAGGTACTGCCATAATAATAAAAATGTATTTGCAATAACAGGCCTTGACATGTCGATCAGAAGGAGGGCCTACGGAAGAGGAGTTAAAAGAGATGTATATGACATGCTTGAAAAAGCAGGAAGGAGAGAACTCCAACGAAACTACATACCCAGATGAACAAGACTGGAAAGATTCCCGTCGACGTTTCAACCCGAGACATCACGGAAGTAGAGATGAAGAGAGAGAAGAGAGAACGAGGAACAGAGGTGATAGGGAGGATAAAGAAGAAAGAGAAGACAGAATGAGGAACAGAGGTGATAGGGAAGATAAGGAAGAAAGAGAAGACAGAACGAGGAACAGAGGTGATAGAACTAGAGGTAGAGATAATACTATGGACAGAACAGATAATGATCGCCAAAAGGGAAACAGGAATGATAGGAATAATAGAGATAAAAACAGAATGGATGGCAGAGATGAGAGAAACGGCAAAGATAACGGTTATGAGAATAAGCATCGTGTAATTGGACGAAATGAAGATTTTGGTGATGATCCGTTTGATGATTTTTATAATAGCTTTCCGAAGAATTATGAATTTGTAAGTTGAATTTATATCACGTATTTGAATAGTTATTTTAATCTGAAAAAACGATTAAAAAGCCTTCTTATTCCTTGTAACGACACCTAAAGTAATACTGCTTCCTTGATTTTATACTCTAGAACGTACTCATTACTTTGTCATATTTTCGCATGTTTGTTACAGACCATATATAAGTAATCGTTTTTTTTTTGTGTGTTACAACATGTTAAATTTGTTGCTTTCAAAATTTGCGGTTATTAGCTCTGAAAAAAGCATATTTCTGTTATAAAGATAGCGAAAGTGTTTTTCAGGATATTTCACGGTACAACGTACTTCATTCCACTACACAATCGTCAAGGAGATTTAAGAGGAGTAAGAGAACGCAGATGAATTCAGGCCAAAGAAGCCAGTACAATCCAAACACGAAGAAGCCATCGGAGTATGATGATAACACTTCTAATGAAGACGACAAAAATTCAAGCTCTAATACAGACGTGGATAATCAAGCTTGTGCATTGCACTGTTTCTTAGAATCACTAGAAATGGTAAAGACTTTTATAAAATTAATTTAAATTTTATAGAAGTCCCATCGATACTTGGTTTTTGACTTTCTTAAAAGTGTCTAATTGATTGCGATTTTTGAAACAAGTTCTATTTATTTTTCTTTATAAGTAGCTCCACTTACTTAGACATGTCTAATGACAAAAGTTCCTTTAACATTATGTTGGTAACAATGACGATACCTCTTTTTATTTATTTATTTATCTTTAAGTCTATAAGTAAGAAGTATGAAATGATACGTGAAAAGTCATCCAATTTCATGACTCTAATATATTTATATTGATTTATAAATAAATACAGCTTCATAAAGTGTAAAATTACGATAAAAAAAATTTTTAGACAGATGACGAAGGCATGCCAGATAAATATTTAGTGACTCAAGTGATCACTAAAGACGTTCAAAATGAAGATTTGATGGATTTCTTACAAGAAGCGATCGAAGAATGCTTTCAATTACTTGAAAATGGTGAGTACCGAGGATTCTTATGTAATAGTTTCTGGAAAATAATCACAAAGTGAGCCCAAACAATGACGACTGTACTTTTCCAGAGAAACCCGAAGACAAATGCGAATATTCCAAAATGTTGATGACGTGTTTATCAGAAAAAGGAAAAGCCAATTGCGACGACTGGAAAGAGGATATGAAATTTTAAGCTACGGATTGTGATTGTATTAAGCTTTATAAATATAACTGATTTTAAGAAATGGCGCAGTGGTTTTTAATTCTGTAACGTTACAAGAACTTATGCAACTCAAAAAGAATGCTATCGTGTGTGTCCCAAATCTAAAGCAAAATTAGTATTTTTTTTATTTTATCTACTACTGAAAACTTATGTAGGAAGGACATATTTCAATTACGCAACAAGAAGTATACCTAGTCCAGCCATAAGTTCTGTTATAAATGAAAATGCATTTTTTCAAGAAGTAATGTAATATTATTAAAATTTATGCCTACATTTTTATTAAAGTCTCAGCAAAAAATAAAAAATAACTATTCGAAATAGCCACCTTTGGCTTTCATACAGGCCTTTATTCTGTTTGGCCACGAATGTATGGATTTACGCACTGTTTCCATGGGAAATTTTGCCACTGCTTGCTCCAAAGATTTTTTAAGAGACTCAATGTCACCGTGTCGTTTAGAGCAGGCCATGTCCTCTAATACTGACCATAATTTAAAGTCTAAAAGATTGAGGTCCGGGCTAGATCGGGGTGTCTGAAGACTGCTCTTATAAAGTCCGGAATGTTGGTTTCAAGCCTGGCTTGGGTAGTTCGTGCCTTGTGACCACGTGCAGAATCCTGCTGGAAAGTCCAGGGTATATTTTTAAAAAGTGTATTGCTGTGAGGTTCCACAACATGATCCAAGACTGTATCTTAACACACTTTGGCTGAAGTTTTCCCTTTTTTCTCAAAAATGTAGTTTTGTGACTCCTTGATAAGACACGCCCCACCAAACCATCACTGACGCAGGATAATGACCACGTTGTAGATTTCCGACCACTTGAGCAGCTTCTTTAGAACTGTGAGCGTACACTTTATCATTTTGCTGATTGTTGTGTTCTTCAATCGTGAAAATTCTTTCATCGGTAAAGAGGATATTTCTGTGCTTTTCAGCTGCGTATCGCGACAAAAGGCCTTTTTCTTTTCTCAAAGGGAATCTTCTTTTCTCGCGATAAGATTTTTTGCTTCCTAATGGGGTTTCTACGAATTCTGGCTTTAACAGCACAAAACAGCAAAATCGAAAGAAGTTTTTAAAATAATATACGTTTTCCAAATTCAAAATAATTAAAAAGATGAAAAAACAAACGTTTTTATGTAACAGTATTTATGGCCAGAGTAGTTAACACAACAAAATTAAACAAGAACATAATTCTCATCGAAATAGATCGGAACAATCTTATAAACAACATTTCAGTAACTATAGGATAACCTAATGTCAATTAAAGTAATGTAACTTTTGTTACTATAACACTAATACATTTTATTTTGAACATCATCTTTAAAACCAGGTAAAAACCAGGTTTAAAACCAAATTTAGGTACAACTTAATTTTGCTACATATCATGTCGATTCTGGCATGATCTTTATGAACTTAAAGTGCGTGATTCTTTAAACTTAAAAATAAATTTAACATGAGTCTCCCTTTTATTTCTATATAGAGAATGATAAAGATTGTTGTCAAATTTAAGTTTAGGTTTATAAAACCATGCCAGATTCGTCACCACTGCTGTCTTACCTCTAATCTCGAATCATTCTTCTCAGTTGCTCTTTTCTGACCCATCTCGTGTTTGTAAGACTTGAAATCTCGGTTCTGTATGTAAGTAATGAGTCTTAGTTTGAATTCGGCGCGCTCTTGTTTATCAGAAATGTCGCAATCTTCTTTGTCCCAGTTCTCGAGCAGAACGTTCTTCTGATAATCATACTCTACTTGCAGTTTGTCCAGGCGTTGGGTGCCAATGTCTTAAATATGCATAAAGGTGGATATCAAAGTAAATACAACAATAAACAACATTTCAAAAACAATGACATTCCTTATAGGTAAGGCGCGAGTGATAGCTTTGGTACCGCAAGCGTAGGCTCTGGTGGCCACTTAGCATCATGCTTATTTTACACCTGCATGACGAAGCTTTGGGTGGCGCTAAAGTTAGTATTCGAACTTTGAATGATGTACGTTACTTCAGCTGCACATATTTTATCGTTTTCCACAACCACTTTTAGCGTGTTTAATTATCGCCAGTCAAGCTTTTGTATAGTGGCCACGTGACCCACTAATGCATTACGACAGGACTAATTCAAATGGCGAACCATAATTTAGCGCATTTAGTACTGAAGCCACCCGAAGCTTCATCACGCATGTCTGGGATCGGTATCAGGCGGGCCTAGGGTTACCATCTATTTCAGGGAGGCTGCTTGTCTAGGATAGACAAATTAGCTGACTAATCAGAAAAAAAGACTCTCTTAAAAAATCTTTCAAGCCAACTAAATAAACTAATATTATTATCGTTATGTTTTTACTGTTTTAGCATTTAACTGCATAATTAACTATAATTGCTATTTCTTCTTCCAAATGTTTAATACTTCAAAAGGTATTCATGTGTCATTGTGGGTTACCTACAATGCGATGAGATGGCGCTGCCCTGCAACCTAAGGCTAGAGAAAATTTGACACGGCCGTCAGGGCCGCGGTAGCATATTGGTCAGTGCATTCGCCCGGATAGCGAAGGATGCGGGTTCGAGTCCCGTCTGCTGCCTGGTCCGCGTGGATATTTTTCTAGTAAACTTTTCTTTAATAATATTATCATTCGTTCGGTCCAAGTAAACAATGCATCCTGCCGCCCGCAGATCCTACCCGGCCGCAAATTTGCGCTATTTAGTTTTTCTTTACTGCATTGCGTGGGCCACGCACGATAGTGCATGCGTGTCATGATAGCGGGAGCGACACGCGAAATTAAAATATGCCTCTCTCAGCTGAGCGCCGGCCGCACACCTGTCTAAATCGTAAAATGCCTGTCAAATGCGGTGAAAGCTGGTAACCCTAGGCGGGCAGGGCCATATGCTGGTTTGCCGCCCTTTTAACATAAAAATAAACTACCCACACAAAAAGTTGCTTAGTGTCTCGGTGTGCGCCTGGAAAGCGCGCCGGTGTTGCTCGTCCGCGTCGTCTATGGCGCTGATCAGCGTTTGGATCAAGCGGTCTTTCCGGTCTAACAAGAAGTTGAAACTCGCCATCATTCCCTAAAGTGCAAGCGATTAAAGTATTAATGTGAATGTTTAAGGTCACAGCTCATTAGAGCCACCCTGCACCTGATCAGCATCGCCTCAACTCTTGTAGTTGACATTCTTTCTTTGTATGTATCTCAATGGGGATGCGCACACTACATCAACTCCGTACCGTTACCAGACCGGTTCGTTCGCAAGTTATGCGAGCGCGTGCTGCGGGTGGACAACTCGGTGACCACCCGTTGCACGCACGCTTGCCGTGTGCTGGCTGCTGGTTGTAAAGGCGCGGTTCTTGAGTAGACCGCACGTTGCCTGCGAGTTGAAAAAGCATTTTATTTTTTTCCTCATCAAGCGCGATTAAACTTTGTGAAAACACACGTGTAAACCCAGTGACGATCTTTAACACACTTCTTAATTTTCGCTGACGACGAGTGCTGGTTGACAACGAGGCGTCCACTCGTGGCCCAACCGATGTTAGCTGGATGTTAGCTTGTCACGCGGCGTCCACGTGAGTTTGCTCGGCGACCACGAGTAGACGTTGCGCGACGAGGCAGTGCCGGGCGGCTCTAATGAGCTGTGACCTTTATTCTTAGCGTTGATTATAAAAAAGGTGATCTATGAATTTTATTTCGAAAGATTCTAATTTTGCCACGGAAAAGGCATACATAGGACTGTAAAAAATCAAATAGTTACAGAACTTATTCAAATCGTTTTTGCTTAGCTGTAAGATTAAAAAGACATAGGTGTCGATTCTAGCATGATTCTCTAAACCTAAACTTAAATTTGACAGCAGTATATCCTTGTCATTCTCTATACAGAGTGAAAAGGAGGGACTGATGTTAAATTTAGATTTAAGTTTAGAGAATCACGCCAGAATTGGCACCATAGTGTTCCTACACTCTTAGATAGATTATGCCACAGGAAGTGAATGTCTCCCAACAATTTAAAAAGGCTCACTGAGATTAAACAAAATACAGATAAAATATCAGACAAAAGCAGGGTTTATTGTTGCTAAAAACAGATAGCTATGATGCAGAATAAGAAATAAAAAAAAAGCTGTAAGATTGTCTTGAATTTTTATCTCTTTGTAGGTTCTATCTATCTATCTATCTATGGATTTTTGTATTTTAAAATCCACGTACCTGCCTACTCTACTCAAAGTTGCGGACAAAATTTAAGTACATTAATGAAATCTGATTAGGTAAGCGTAACAAATGTCCCACCTGAATGTCAGCCTCCATTTGTTTGCATTTTATTCTTCGCAGTATGTAACGCCATTCTTGGTTAATCTTTGCTCTATTCATGCGACTGTACGCTTCTTCTTTATCTAATTTGTTCTGAAATAGAGATATTAATATTAATTTTAGTTAGTGGCTCTGATATCCATTTCGGCACTTATAAGTAAACTTGAGTGGAAATCGTAACATGGCGGGATAGAGGTTAACCTGCCCCGTAACTTATAGACCCATATGACCAGGGCCATATTTCTCCGAGTGGAAGTCCTGATGAAACAAAAGAATGGTTGAAATACGAGTACCTACTCCCTCATTCTGTCGCGAAGAGGTGCTCAATCGAGGGTCCTCACGTCACGAGTGAGAGCTCATCACTAATCAGCAGAACAAATAGCGTACTTTGACTTTTCTCCTGGCGAAAGTTAATATTTTATTTACCTTGATGAACCTGGCAATCAGTTCCCGTTTCCTTCGACGCGCCTCCTCCTCCATGTCGGCTCTGTGCTGGAGGTATCGCGCCCTCTCCTCGTCCGACATCTTTGCCAACTTGTTCACTCCTTTCTTTGGCATCTTGAATCCCTTGATAATAAGAAAAAAAAAATTACTCGACCGCAAATAAACCGGGCCATCAGCTATTACATTGGAACTCTAATTGGATTTTCCGAAAAAGTGCTTTCTATTAGAAAAACTTACAACTTTAAGTTATTCGTATAGAAAGCGCGTTTATAATGATAAAAAAAGGTTAATTTAAAAAATCAAAAAACCCGACTGCTTAATTATACTTCAAATAAAAACTGAAAAGAAAAAAACAAGCCCAGTAGTCTATAATTCTGTTAATAAGGAACAAAGCTACTTTAACAGTCGGGACCCATTAGATATTCAAGAATACATAATATTTTTCAACAGTGGGTCCCGACTGTTAAAGTAGCTTTGCTCCTTATTAACAGAATTATAGACTACTGGGCTTGTTTTTTTCTTTCCAGTTTTTATTTGAAGTATAATTAAGCAGTCGGGTTTTTTGATTTTTTAAATTTACCTTTTTTATTTCACACTTTTTAGTTAGTTAGTATTTTAAGACGGTATATACCGTGGTCTGGTTACTTCAGTAAGGGAATAAATATCGCGGGAATTATTAAGTACCTTGCGTCGATCTAAAAGATTGATTTATTATGACATATAAAGACTTTACCAGCGGGGTCAAGGCTACAGATGGGCCTCAATTTTCGCAAAAATGTGTGAAGTTAAATCAAGTCGTTACATAAATATCTCTAATGTATGTACATTTTATAGTAAACTAGCACTTACTCAAAAAGTCATCTTTTGTTTATGTTTTTTTAATAGTTTAGTAGTAAATATAAAATTCATTTACTTTTATTCGTCGACTATTTAAAATTGGCAGTAGCTGCATTGTCATGTCAATGCCGGACGTCTAAGATTGTGATATACACAAATTCAGTGTCAGTCCCTAGTCTCATAATTTGATATACCTACATAATTCACAGAAACCCAATATGTAGATGCCAGAAGTTAACTTCAAATGTTTTTAATCACTTTATATACAAAACCAATCAATGACGTTTATGTCGCAGGTTGAAGAAAGCAGTAATTTCCGTCTGTTGTTTTGGACAATGGTGGCAACTGCCTTAGATCACTAAATTAAATAATTATGCAATTACCAAAGCAAAGTTTATAAAATTTTATTAAACTAAAGGCGCATAATAAAATTTTCATAACGTTAGGTAGAGCACCATAGCAATCTCATTTATTATCAATTTATAGTTTTTAGTTTTTTTTTAGTTTTTTTTAGTTTTTTTTTAGTTCTCTTTGTAGTTTTCTTTTAAAGCGTTTACATTTAACATGTCAAAGACTTTGTGTTCGAACCTTTTTTATTGGTAGTGTAAAGCTCGAATAGTACTCCCAGTAGTGCAATCATGGCAATAATTTTCCAAATTTTTTTTTTGTTTAAAAAATACCGAATAACGTATCACTGTTAAGCACAAACTAGCAAACCAGTGAACCAAATGTTCACCAAAACCTGATTTCTCGAAAACCGGAAGTGCTACGTTACTCAAATCCGGTTTGTAGTCTTATCAGACTATTCTTAACTTATAACTTAAATATTCTCTTTGTCTATCTCTTACGGTTTGGCCGCTGAAACAGCACCACGGACAGACGGACTTGTCTAATAGATAAGAGATGCTAAGTAACTTTTACAAATATAATCAAATAAACCTATTACTTACTTTATTTTTAAATCTTTTTCATCAATTAAATACTAACTATCTATACTAATATTATAAAGAGACAAGATTTGTATGTTTGTAACAAATAATCTGTCAAACTACTGAACCGGTTTCAAATATTAATTCAACATAAGGTAGCTACATTATTTATTATAACATTTTTCTTTATTTAAATACATTTTGTCCGAGTGACATAGGCTATATTTTATCCCGATAAAGAAATTTCGCCCGTGCAATGCCCGGGTGGATCACTAGTAAGTATAATATAATATTATAGATGCGAAAGTGAGTTTGTTTGTTGCGCTTCCGTGCCCTAATAGCTAAATCGAATATAATGAAATTGAAGTAGATGGGAACTTGGTTCTTAGCTACAACATCGCAATACTTATAGGCGTAGGGTGATGAAAGGGATGATTTACCTATAAAAATCTACATTATTTACTTTGAATTTTGCAGAATTATTACAAAACCAATATTATCGGGAGCTGATTAATAAATACAGGGATTCCAATAAGTATGTATATTTACTTATTAGCGAAAAATGGGTTATTTGTCATTATATTAAGTAAACCTTTTTTGTAACATTAAGTAATATCGTTAAAAAAATGAAAAACAGTAAAATTCTGAATTTTTCATTAAAATTCAATAATCATAAATATCTATTATAATAATATATTTTTCATCATTTAATCAGAAGGAACTGTATCACAGTTTTATTGTTAGTACTTCGTATAGGATCAGATACTGCCAATACCCCATTTCTTTTCTTTTTTTTACATAGTACACCGCGTTATCACTTTGTCAGCGTTGTAACTTTTTAAATATTAGTCGAAATGACATAATGTAAAAAGCAAAGTTTATCGTCTTTAAATATCAAAAGCGACAAAAGTATTTGTTTTGATAAAAAATGATTTATAATTTTTATTATTTTTAAAGCATGTAACTGCTTGATGTTTAAATCTAAAGAAAATATAACTAGAAAAAATTCCACGCGGACCAGGCAGCAGACGGGACTCGAACCCGCACCCTTCGCAATCCGGGCGAATGCACTGACCAATTATGCTACCGCGGCCCTCACGGACCGCGTCGAAATTCCTTCTAGCTATTCTTAAGCTGCAAGGCAGCGCCATCTCTTCGCCCGGATTGGTCAGTGCATTCGCCCGGATTGCGAAGGGTGCGGGTTCGAGTCCCGTCTGCTGCCTGGTCCGCGTGGAATTTTTTCTAGTTATATTTTCTTTAGATTTAAACATCAAGCAGTTACATGCTTTAAAAATAATAAAAATTATAACTATAATTGCTATTTCTTCTTTCAAATGTTTAATACTTGTAAAAGTATTCATTTGACATTGTGGGTTTACCTATAATGCGAAGAGATGGCGCTGCCTTGCAGCTTAAGAATAGCTAGAAGGAATTTCGACGCGGTCCGTGAGGGCCGCGGTAGCATAATTGGTCAGTGCATTCGCCCGGATTGCGAAGGGTGCGGGTTCGAGTCCCGTCTGCTGCCTGGTCCGCGTGGAATTTTTTCTAGTTATATTTTCTTTAGATTTAAAAAATGATTTGTTAATACAAAATGTGCATTTTGGAAATAGATATCAAATAATATTTTAGTTTTGATTCATTATTTTAGCGGTAAAGGCTTACACATTAAATATATAGACTGTTAAACACATAACCCTGTCTGCGCGTCGCGCTTCGCGCTCTTGCATTGCGCAGCCGGGTAAAAATAGATATATGGTGTCACGGACTTTTTACTACTAACTGCTACTACTTTTAACTAACTTTAACTATTTAAGACATACATTTTAACTCTACATTACATTATTGTTTTTGCAGTGCAGGCCAAAATGGCTCGCAGATGGGAGATTTTTTTCCGTCTTATGTGACACTTATTGGCCAATTCACTCTATAACTACATAAATTATTATATATATGTAATTATCATATATGAGCTATATTACTGTTAAGTTTCATTAAAATCCATTCAGTGTTTTTTAAGGTGAAAGAGTAACAAAGCTCCATACAAACGTAAGATTGAAATTAAAAGCGTAAGTGGTTAATATACAACTTTAAAGCGTTGTAGATCCTAAACAATCATATAAAATGAAAAATAGTGTTAGGAACCTAAATATGATTTTTGATTATCTAGACAGTGATACCCCACTCGACATATTTTGTCAACTTATTTTTTTTACTTCGTCACAATATGGCGCCTAATTTTGCCCATATTGAATTTTGATTACTATCATATCTTTAGTAGCACTCCCATGATTGATACGAATCGATTGATGTATGAATCATCAAAATCGGTCCAGGCGTTTGGTCTCTAGTGTGCCACAAAGGAACAAACATACATATATAGACTGTTAAACACATAACCCTGTCTGCGCGTCGCGCTTCGCGCTCTTGCATTGCGCAGCCGGGTGTCTGCGCGTCGCGCTTCGCGCTCTTGCATTGCGCAGTCGGGTAAAAACACATAACCCTGTCTGCGCGTCGCGCTTCGCGCTCTTGCATTGCGCAGCCGGGTAAAAAGGCGTGTCATGCCACATGCAGTGTAGGGTTTAGTAGTTGCTCCTCGTCACCACAATATATTTTGGAAAAAAGTCTATATTTTAAATAATTACCTCGTCTAAGTCATTTTTAATGTTTTCTTATTTAAAGGATTTTTATTAGGTCAGTTTTGTGTCCAAAACAACAGACTGGAATTATGCTTTCGTAAACCTGCGACATTAACGTTATTGATTGGTATTGTATGTGTATATAGGGTGCTTAACAACGTTTGAAGTTTAAAGTTCGAGTTTTTATTTGAAGTTATATTTAGCAGTCGGGTTTTATGATTTTTTAAATACAACTTTTTATTCGAGGCGCATCTAATTTCCCACTCTGCCTGATGTTAAGTGTAAGTGGAGTTCACTTGCGAAGATAGATGATGCGGCAGAAGGTATGCCGCTCCAGCCATCGTCACTTTGCCGGCCTGAACCTAATCCCCTACCTCGCGGAGCCCTGGAACCCTGCTCACCAGCAAAAACACAACCCCACTAAAAGGTAGTGTTATTTTACTTTGCCTTCTGTAAGGTGGCGGTTGCTCCAATTCACACCATCAGTTAGGCTGATGATGAATATTCGTAAAACAAATATAACCATAGTTATAGTGCCGTCTTTGACCTATTGGAGGCCCTGGCTATATTAGGATAATGGGGCTCCTATGACCGTTTGGTTATCTAACAGGAACTAGGGACTTTGTATTTGATCTGAGGGAGGCCCCTATCGATCGCGGGGCCCTGGGCACTTGCCCAAAGTGCCCACTGGGAAAGAGGGGTCTGCATAGTTACAACTATCATATCTATGAACCTAATATTAAAGTGAACAATTTCCATAATAATTTCAAGTAATTCCATAAATCACTTACCTTTTATTATATTTATTACTTGTAGATTAAACTTAAAGTTGATTCAAAGTATAAAAGTTAACTTTTTTTTACTTTAAAAATATTACGTGAAATAGGAACTTTCAAAAAAATAAACTGGAAAAATACCGCCACTATAATAGTTATTACTTAAATTCGCCTTGGTAACAAATTTCTCGCGTCACAGGGTTCCGGCAACATTGAACTAACCAATAAATTACTGTCATGGTAACTAACGGGGGAATTAACTTACGTACGAGCACACGAGTAATACGACAATCGTTTCATACATCCGAACTATATAATAATATAAATGCGAAAGTAACTCTGTCTGTCTGTTACTCTTTCACGCCAAAACTACTGAACGGATTTGAATGAAATTTGGTATACAGATGGTCTACACCCTGAGAAAGGACATAGGCTACTTTTTATTGCGAAAAGGGGGTTGTAAGGGGTTAAAAAGGGGGGGTGAAAAGTTGTATGGGATTGGGAACTACGTAGACATGGGCGTTTTTGGTTTTGAACGCAAACGGATATTTATCGGATTTCAGATTTCAAAATCGATTTTAAAATCCGTTTTTAGATATCCGATTTCAGATGTGCCGAACTTAGCCAATTCACTAGTTTGTGTTATGATTTGGTTTTATTAGCTAACGACAATCACAAACAATTAATTGTACGAAGCAAGGATACTCGTAGATATGCACGATTTTCCTTTATGCTTTAAATCTAGGCTTAGGCAAGAGTATACATATATTCTGTGGCTTAGGACTAGCAGAAAAGTTATCTTTACGGTTAAAAGTAAAACTTTTGCGGCGCATTTAAAAATCGGCTTATATACAATGATTTCTTTTTACATATTTTTTTAGTATTTTTTTTTTGTTTTTCTGTTTGTTTTTATTATTTTTCAAACCATTTACAAAATCAAACCTAATTACTTCAGGTTAGCGTTCAAAAAAATGTCCGTTGCTCGACTTTTGATGTTTTTAGACGACATCTTTTTCAGTAATAAATAATCCCGCCTTAGAGAAGAACAATAGATTTCCGTAAACAGCAAACCGAAATCGGACTTCCGAGCACGAAATCGGACTTCCGAAAACGAAAGCACGAATTTCGAATCCGATTTACATTTGGATACTTGTGGTGGTATTAGATCGTTTTGGTTCGGTTAGATTTCTGAAATCGGATTTTCTTGTTGAGAAATCGTTCGGTATCGATTTGTGTTTGAAATCGGATTTTGGATTCGTTTTGATATATCGGACGCATGCCTAGAACTACGAAGCCAAACTTTTTGTATACAAAATTTTAACCACTGAACCTAGGAACATGATATTTAGAAGTTTTGGGTGTATCAAGTTAAAAAAAAATTGGCTTTTGAAGTTAAAGTTCCTTTTAACGAATACTCTGCATCGCCGCCGCTGCCGTCGGTCGTCGGTCGTCGTCGCGCACATTCGCCGAAGTGTGGCGGCAGGCAACGGCGCTGTCGTATGGTGGGGGAATTTGAATTTGAATTTGGGAATTTTGCGAATCTCTGCCACTAAATATACTATTTTAAAATGCTACCCAAAGATACTATTCCACGCGAACGAAGTCGCGGGTAACAGCTAGTTTTGCTATATAGCTAGGGAGCTGGTGGCAATTTAGGTGTATGATTTCATCGTCGTTGATACCAAGACGTAATGTAGTCTGCTGCACCTATGATAACTAGAAAAATTAAGTGGCAAACTTAGGTATAGCTCTGTTTTATTTTCTTAGTAATTTCGAAATTGTCAAGAAAAGAACGCCAGAAACTATATTATCGTTTCAATGTCAATTTTATCCAATACATTTTGTAAGTTTCAAACAAAACAACAAATTCATATCGAAAGTATAATATCTGAAATAAAAAAAACTCTACCACAATTTTACTTTTGAACTTTACTATGCTACGCCCACGTAGCTATATCATCATCAGCCTATTAATGTCAGTGAATTATTCTCTGTAGGGTCGTACCCTTCCCTATGGATGGAATGGGAAAACTAGGGCTTGACCCACCTACTATGCGCCCCCTGCGATTTGGTGGGTGGGTCACTAATGACTGCAGATTCAGGCGGGAACAACGTGCCTTTCGAAGCACGGAGGAGCTTGAGACAATACATTTTTGGCCACCCATCCAATGACCGACCAGTGCGAAAGTTGCTTAACTTTTACGATCGTAGACCGAATACGCGAACCGCCTGCGCCATCGAGCGCCTCGTAGCCATGTAGCGTAGCAAAATCGTCGAAATCAAGCTACGCCGCTTAATTTTACATAAAACTTGAAGAATACTGATTGTTACATTCTTTCATTTACACTGCATAGACAACGAGTATCTTTACAAGTATAAATCACTATTTACTTCACATATTTTATGTATTCAACAAGTTTGATGCAAGTATTGTATACTATACATGTTTTATACATGTATATAAGTGTAAACAAGAAATAAAGTAAATCGTGTATTTTTTTATATACATACATGTGTTACATATTTATTACATACCTTGGTGTAAACGAGGGGTTAAGCTGTTACCATGACAACAATATTTGTTTATGGTCTGTCATCAGAATGAATTAAAAATTCAGTAGATGGGTTTGATATCTATACCGACGCGGATTTCAAAACCTAAAGCCTTTAATAAAATCACTGCAAAACAAAATAAACATTTTAAAACAAATTCTAATAAAAATTAAAGTAATTGGTGATCAGTGAACAGCTCCTATGTCTTCTGGGACATTATTATCGCCTTCTACATTCTCCGAAAGTTCGAAGACAGGGAGCAGCAGGTCAGCGGCCAGCGGTACAGAGAAAGACAGAGAAGAAGACCTAACCAAGGACAATGGTATTTATGGTTTTTAACAGTTTTAAAGAAGTTTAATAAAGTTTATTAAACTGTTGTGTGTAGTAAAATAATCACTAAGGCTAGACTTTTTAAACACTGAATGAAACAAATATTTCTTCCTAGAGTTCTGTAACATCATATGTTTTTATTATTATTGAAGGTTGGCAAACAACCGTATGACCGGCTTGATCGTATGCTTGCGAAACCAAAAAATCACTCGCACCGTTGCCTACCCTGATACAATCCCCTACCGCGTGGATCCTTAAAACCTTACTCCCCGACAGAAAAACGACACCACTGAAAGGCAGAGTTAAACTGTGATCATCTGTGAGGTGGATGTTACTTCACGGCTGCTATGCCCTACCTCTCGTGTTGTGAAAAAGGTTGCCAAACTACATATATTTCCAATTTCCTTACTTGTTGTCATCTCGTCATTTACTCCTTTTATCAGGTTAATACATTTATTTTTTCTGCGATCCACTTTAAATAAAGTTCAGATTTATGTACATTACTACAGCTGCTTCACCCATCGACCTGGAGTGCCACATCCAAGCGGAGCGCATCACTAAGATATTGGACGAAGCGGTCTACAAGACGAAGTTAGCCATCTGTCTTCCTAAACTGGTGCAGGAGTACGATACCCTCAGCTCTATCCTCTCAGCACATCATATGGATGACCTAATCTTCATTTTCGAGCAGTACGACAACCCACTGTTCTCAACCAGCTTACTAAATATGGCAGCGATGGAGGACATTAAAGCGGTAAGTAGATTTCAGCCTTTTTTTATTCATTTCTGGAAAAGGCTTGAAGCCTTCTTTGGTCACCGGGAGCGTACGAAGAGAATATATGTAGTCTCTTCTCCACTCCCGATGATCGCTAGAAAGCTCGATGAAATGATGAGCAGGGCTCTACCCAGTAAAAACCAGAAAATGCTCACCTTTGTCACCTGACACGCTGTCTGAGGAGCAAGGTATGCCTCAATGTGTGTAGGAAGTCCGGGCTGAAACCGCGGAAAACTCTGCGCCAAACGCCAACGTAAATGAAATTATTAAAAGGCTCCCTGCCTCATAAATCAACTAAATGTAAGGCTAGTATTATAAAGTCCTAGATAATGTTTTCTATTTTTCTCATATGAGCAAGGCGAGTTCTACGTGACGCGATTTTGTAAAAACAAACAAATATAAACTTAAGTATGTCGGTGGCCGTACTGCAGAAACGTCTCCATCTTTATTGAAGAGCTGCGCTTCACACATTCCTTTAAAAACAACAACAACATAAAAGAGAAAAGAAAAATAAAACGGTGATTTTCCTAGCTTAAAACTACATAGATATGTAGTAGCTACGTTTTGGAATTTCGGTTGAAATCTGATAAGTTTCCGATTTAAGGAACTCATCGGTAACAAAGAAGACCTTTGTGTTTTTATTTCCCACAGTAAATGTAGTTATTAATGTGTCATTAACTCTTAATAGCCTGTGACTATACATAAGAAAACATTGCCACTCTCAAAAATGGAATGTTTTTATTTTTAATTTTGTGGCGTTAATTTGTTGGTATATTCCAGGGTGACTTATCAATGAAGAACAGGCTGAACCCTGAGCTCGGACATCTTCTTTATATTATGAACAGCTACCCCGCACTCCGACCTAAGGTGGAGGAAATGATACAAGAGGTACTGAAAGTCTAAAAATATTAAATTGCTACCAGTATAAGTTTTTATCCATTTGCTATTCACCCTGGCAAACTGCTTGAGCAACAACCATAGACAAGGAAGCCTGCCTAGTAATAATAATATAAAAACGTCTACTGTGCAAGCCTTTTTGTCTGTAGTTTTGCTTAAGAAGTTTGCTGCTACTATAATAACATAACTTTATTGAAGGTGCTGTGGAAATAACATTTGAGAAGCTGGCGAACAAAATGTTATAATTACATAAAATTAAATTTTACAGGAGCTGTATAAAACTGAATGACATACCTACAGTGAGCTTTTGCCATGGTTTTAATTTATAAATTTAGTAATATTAACACTGTTTAAGACGGTTTTGACTGAAAATTATTTGAGATTCAAATTCAACGAACCCGAAACCTCCGACCAAAAATAAAAGAGTAGTTTGTCCAGATGCGTAATTACCTATACCGTTTTATTCGCCAGCTCCTCATTTATTTTCGGAACACATTTTCAGGACTTTTTGTAGCTGTAAAGGAAATAGGAAGGATAATCTCCTCATTAAAAAATTAATTAAGGAATTTAAACTCAGTAATATTTTTTATAGTATACTCACTTCCGTTTTTTTGATAGTTTTTAATGTTTGTCAATTTCAGATGGAAGAAGAAGGCCCTAGCGACAAGGAAGGCGTAAGTAGATTTAGTTAGAATACTATTGATTTATAAAGTCTACTCTTAGCTATCGTAGTAGCTAAGATAACCGTGCACTACACTACACATATTTTGATGACTATGGGGTTTGTGGTACTTACCACTGTACCGACGAACAAGTAAAGCTCGCGCGAAGCTGCTGGCTGCGGAATGCGTAGAACCGTTCGGTAACTAGAACTATGGGAAAGGCCTTTGACCAACAGTAAGGCCCCCTGTGCACTAGATGGTCACGACCAGATTAAGTGTCTCACAGACAGAGGCAGCCTGCGGCCGCGGCCAATCCTTATTGGTTGGTTATGGTTGGACACTCCTTTATATTGCAAGCGAATACAACTGGCTGCCACCCCGGCCTCAGCCGCAGGTCGGGTCTGTCTCTGAGATACTTAACAAAAGTGGGCCGTTGTGGTCAAATGCGCGACGTTCGTATTGTTTTTATCAGGGATGTAACGGAGGTAAAATCGGAACCGAAGTCGGAGTTTTTAAATTTGATTTATCGGAGTCGGAACCGGAGTCGGAGGCAGAGTCAGAAGTGGTCACAAGATCGCTATTTTTAATTTAAGAACAAATAAAAACATCATTCCGTCAACCTTTTTTCGTTTTAATTATAAAATAACCATTTTTCATTTAAATTTACTTATTATTAACAGACTTAACAGAATTAAGACCACTTAATATCAGGTGGGGTGGGGTAGAGTCATTTGCTTACCTCGCTATAAAAAAAGACTCCCAACGCGACGGTTATGAACCAATTCGTAACGGTCGACGCAGGCCGCCGTCGCTATTTTCTATGTTTCGACCTCCGACCAAAACCTCCGATTTAAAAGTTTCGGAGCCAAAAGGATGTCAGAAAATCGGAACCGAAGGTGTAATAAATATCGGAAGTTCCGACTTATCGGAATCGGAGTCGAAGTTCCTTAACATCCCTGGTTTTTATAGTAAATCTGGTCGTTGCGGCCACTGGCCGTGATCGTGGCCGTCTAGTGCGCGAGATGCTTTAGCATGCTAGTGTCGTACGGCCTCCGTGATCCGCGATAATGATGATTGATAACACCAAGAACATGGATAACCTAATTAGACTCTTTTATATTCTTTATTTTTCATACAAAGTGATACACGCCACTGACTACAGGATAAACGTTTGTACAGTACAAAATAAGCGGCATTTCCGGGCTGGGCTATTTGCGGACGCTACAGCAGTTCCGAGAGCTGATGATAAGGCAGCTTCATACTACCGCCGCTGAAGAGCTGGCCACTAAGATCAACACCAGGAAACTGGAGGCGTCTAACGAGAAACTCATCGCCAAAATTAAAGGTTATAATGATGCCTTTTGTGAGATGATAGGATCATTTTATTGATTTGGGAAAATTATTTGTTAAATAAGTAACTACAACGATATTATTAAATTATAGACGAACATTCACCTAAATGTTGACGAGAGCAATCTTTCGGTTGGTTGGTTTAGTCTGTGATTTTTATGAGTTTGAAAATAATTAGTTTATTCGACAGATAAACTATGTTGAAAAATAATACTATGTTGACAGAATACACGGCAACTCTGAAGGAGGAGAACGACCGTTTCGAAGAGACTATGGCGCTTAAAACCGATATCATCAAGAAACTCGAATACGAACTGATGGTGCTCAACCACGATGCCTCGATAAAGTTGAAAAAGAAAATGTGAGAAGAACTACATCATAATAATTTATTTTTCAAAATCCTTAATGAGATATTAAAACATACAACCATCTTCATATTATTATTATTCTCCATCGTATTGAAGAATACAGAGAATAATAATGGCACTAATAAGAAATGTGTGTGTTCATGCAGTGATGGATGCTAAAGTTACTTTTGAACCCTCACAATTATTTTGAGAATCATATTACACAGATTCCATAAAAAATACACTATGATAAAGTGTTTACTTTATCAATATTTTTCAAATCGTTTTAGTTTGGACTCGGACCGCCAGATGGTGTTAGCGTCACGTGCGCACGCGGTGAAGAGCGAGATGCTGAAAGAGGAGGAGATCGAAACCCGCGAGAGTTATGAGACCTTGTTGCGGCAACACCTTATCGAAGAGAAAAATCAAAGGGCCCGAAGGTATGAAGGTATATTGTTAAGGTATTTACCATCATAATGTCTTATCTCAAGTGAGCTTGTTAAAGTAGTGTAGGTATGGTAACGCACTGCAACTAATTTGCGAACAAAGAAATAGCAATGCGTGATCCTGCGTAGAACATTGTACCTATGAGCGATGCTGGATGCTGGACTTTTCTAGACGCCCATCATCTATAATGTTGGCTACCCAAAAGGATGTAAGCTGTCCTAAAATCGGACGTGACCTCGAATATCCGGTAGGATTCTCACTATTCGTTACACTCGATCATCTAGCCGGACTGAACACTATATTGTAGATTTCTGGTATATTTTAGGACTTTTCTGTGAAAGAAATATCGCAAAAATCTGTAACGGAATATGCTTTCTCGAGTGAATACTCTGAGCTTATATAACCATTCTATTTCTGACCTACCTCTCTTCTCTTTTGTGACCCGGCAGGTTCAAAGTGGAAACTCAGCTAATGTCGTGGCTACAGAAGTACGACGTTGAAATGGGGGACAAGCAGGTGGAGCTGGACGAGTTCACAGAGAAATACGATGATGAGGTGCAACAGTGCGAGAAATTGGAGGTACGTTCCCGGTGGTCTTAAAATTATTTTCATCGTCTTTAGCATATGCCAAAGACTATAGGGTCTCACAACCAGGGGTAAAGGATTGGTTTAGTTCAGTAATAAGTTTTGGTCAGGGTCGTAGTGTATTTAAGATAATTACAGGTAGGGCACAAGCAGGGGCGTGTGTCGCCATTCGCAGCATGACGCCGCGGTTTAAGGTAGGGCAACGGTATTTTAAGGTGGGACATTGCCCCATAATGCCCATAAGCCAAACTACGGCTCTGTTTGTGGTTCGCTAATGTAGAGCATTGCGCCAAAATGCGCTTATTTTGAAGTAAAGTTAAAATTGTGACTGCTTACTATAGGTAGACCGCTTAACTGAGTCCTCGCCTGCGTTGTAAAGGGTGTGGGGGAGGACGACGGGATGAGAGGTGCGGTCGGCAGGCACAATCTTGTAACAATTATAAGTGCCCGTCGCCCATACCTCTCACGGTCCCCGTGAGAGGTGCGGGCGGCGGCGGTTGATTTTGGCTCGTACCTACTAGAGAATGTTTTTAACGCAAACCCTTAATTTTTTTAGGAGGAATTAGCGGAACAAGACAAGCAATACATTCCCCTCATGGCAGAGCGTGAGGCGGAGTATCAGCAGGAGATGGTGGAGAAGATGAACAAGTTCCTGATGGAACATGCCGCCCGAGTGATCCAGAACGCTTGGCGAGAGGTGTTGGCCAACCGTGCTGAGAAAAAGAGGGTGAGAGTTCATACTTATACCGTCAGCTATTTAATGGGGATATTAATGTGGCTTATGATTTAAGCTGCCGGGGCACATGCCAAATGTTTGCTCTCTGATTACGCACCGCTTATAGGAAGAGTTGTCAGAACTTTCAGATTGAAAGGGGGGGGGGGGGGGGGGGGTCATTCACCTAGGACTGTGTCTTTATAGATAGAATGGGCGATGATATGACTCACCTCGCGAGCCTAATGCAGATTGGTGGATACTAACGACTCAGTACCGAGATACTCGAGATAATAAATGTTTGGTCACTCATCCCATGTCTGTCCATTGCGAAAGTTGATTATGAATTTATAGCTTTTCATAAATACATTCACTCAGAGCTGCACTTTAGCTCTGAGTGAATGTATTTATGAAAAGAAAGGGTGATATTTTAGAAAATAAATACTTATATCAATCTGTTGCCACACTTCAAGGAGGCAACATTTGGGTTTAATTATGTCTAAAATCATTATCTGGAAATAATAAAGGCAAAATTGTGACATGTTGCCCTGAAGTATCCTGTACATAGTCCTGTTCAATGACAATGGCTACTTTAGCTTTAATTTTTAACCGATATCTAAAAGGAGATTCTCATTCGTCAGAATATTATTTTTCATAACATTAAAACTTCAAGAAGAGCTAAAATGTACCCACAGAGCTTTGATGTAATCTTAGTAATCAAAATGTTTTATCATTTTAACATGCAGCAAAAAGGAAAAGGGAAAAAAGGAAAGAAGAAAGCGTAAGGATAAATTGTAACACTTATTGCTAAATCCTAACCTTATAATTTCTATAAGATCCGTCACATCAAATTTCATTATATTTATTAATGATTCCTTTACCTACACTTAAGTATTAGAGGTCGCATTAAGATTCATCGCTTAAATTTAATGCATTTCAAAGTGTATTGATGACTTATTTGCTATCTTAATCATAAAGAGATAGTATAAAAGTATTACTTTAAGTTTAGTATTACTGATTTAATAATTATAAGCAAAGTTATTCCTTGCCATATACAGGCGTCCCACGGGCACGGCTACCTCACACGGAGGGAAAGTATATTAAATATTGAAGATAGAATATTTTACTGAAAGAAGACATCATTTTATTTTTAATAATCACTAGAACTGCATGCACAGAATTTTAAAAATCGTCTGCTACAACAGGGAATCAAACTCGTGAAATTTCGAAAAAAAACACGACATATTTTATGATAGCCCTCGAAAGGGTTAATCATAAAGATTATTTTTGCTCAATAACATAGCATTAAATGAAAGGTAGCCGTGGGACACCCTGTATATGTATGAAATTTTACTTCATATTTTTTTAACGTTATTTATTACAGCTGAAAAAACTTCAAAAGAAGATGCAAGCGGCCGCCGCTGCAGCGGAGAAAAAAGGAGGGAAAAAATGAAATATACATTTTGTTATGTATATTTTTTGTTTATATTAATACAATACACACTTTTCAATTCTTAAAACGAGTCTTTTTATTTGACAAAAAAATATATAACGAAGCCGTTGTTAATCCTCGTTTACACCAAGGTACTCGTATAATACATGTTTTCGACAAATTTTATACAAAGTTTTTATTTTTTGTTCACACTAATATACATGTATAAAAAAATAAGTGTATCAATACCTGCATCAAACTTGTTGGATAAACAAAATATGTGAAGTGAACAGTGATTTATACTTGTAAAGATACTAGTTATAATTTTTATTATTTTTAAAGCATGTAACTGCTTGATGTTTAAATCTAAAGAAAATATAACTAGAAAAAATTCCACGCGGACCAGGCAGCAGACGGGACTCGAACCCGCACCCTTCGCAATCCGGGCGAATGCACTGACCAATTATGCTACCGCGGCCCTTACGGACCGCGTCGAAATTCTTTCTAGCTATTCTTATAGGTAAACCCACAATGTGGGTATAGCAGATAGAATAGCTAGAAAGAATTTCGACGCGGTCCGTAAGGGCCGCGGTAGCATAATTGGTCAGTGCATTCGCCCGGATTGCGAAGGGTGCGGGTTCGAGTCCCGTCTGCTGCCTGGTCCGCGTGGAATTTTTTCTAGTTATATTTTCTTTAGATTTAAACATCAAGCAGTTACATGCTTTAAAAATAATAAAAATTATAACTATAATTGCTATTTCTTCTTTCAAATGTTTAATACTTGTAAAAGTATTCATTTGACATTGTGGGTTTACCTATAATGCGAAGAGATGGCGCTGCCTTGCAGCTTAAGAATAGCTAGAAAGAATTTCGACGCGGTCCGTAAGGGCCGCGGTAGCATAATTGGTCAGTGCATTCGCCCGAAGATACTAGTTGTCTACGCAGTGTAAATGAAACAATGTTTTAAACAGTCACAACATGTATTCTAGAAGTTTTGTGTAAAACTAGTAGGACTAGGACTTGTTTCTTGGTGTAAACGGGGGGTTATACGTTTCATACACGTAGGTGCGATAGTTTTATTCTGTTTAAATTTTTATAAAAAGGATAATAAAAAATAATTTTACTCGTAATAATGTCGAAAATATCGAAACAGATGCATATTAAAGTACCAAAGTATTACATTTAAATTGAAAAGTCTCTATGAAAATCTATCACAGAATCAGTTTAGCTAGTTCTATCGAAGTCGATAGTTTTTCCGTTTACAATCGTTCTGTTTCATACTATTTTAATGTGGTAAAGTTCATAATTTATTTGAATCTTCGTGAAAAAATTGTGGTCTACAATCGTAGATATATATTATAAATCTATGTCTGCAATACTCTACCGATCTTTATTAAGACTAGCAAATACTAGTACATATTCAGTACTCACTGACTACTGATGATGCAATATCAAATTTCAAGCCCCTGCCCACATTTCAGAAAGTATGGACACATAACAGGTATTTTTATATACGGTCCCCATCCCGAGGATATTGTAGCCAGGAGGCAAATGTAACTCGTTACTTTTTGGTTTTTAAAATAAATTACATCTGTGGCTCTGTAGAGTAACTTTATTGTTCTACGCATACTCTTAGAAACATCTATCGGCTCACCCAGCATTTTAAGTTTTGGTCTAAGTGGTTCTGGCGGTCCCTAGCTAAAAATAAATGATACATTGACCAAAAAGTTTTTACGCAGTTTTGAAGCTCATATCACCCAGCATTTTAAGTTTTGGTCTAAGTGGTTCTGGCGGTCCTAGCTAAAAATAAATGATACATACCAAAAAGTTTTTACGCAGTCTTGAAACTCATATATAAACCATCTTATTTGTGTGTTTAAAAAAAATTTCGCCAAAAACACGAAACAGTAACGAGTTATTTGAAACAGCTTCATGCTACTTTTTGGTTTTTAAAATAAATTACATCTGTGGCTCTGTAGAGTAACTTTATTGTTCTACACATACTCTTGGAAACATCTATCGGCTCACCCAGCATTTTAAGTTTTGGTCTAAGTGGTTCTGGCGGTCCCTAGCTAAAAATAAATGATACATTGACCAAAAAGTTTTTACGCAGTTTTGAAGCTCATATCACCCAGCATTTTAAGTTTTGGTCTAAGTGGTTCTGGCGGTCCTAGCTAAAAATAAATGATACATACCAAAAAGTTTTTACGCAGTTTTGAAACTCATATATAAACCATCTTATTTGTGTGTTTAAAAAAAATTTCGCCAAAAACACGAAACAGTAACGAGTTATTTGAAACAGCTACATTTGCCCCGTGGCTACAACAGCCCCGGGTACTTTAGGTGCTTATAGTATAGACTAGTTAAGCAGGGACTATCCAAAAGCTACAGCGAAACAAATGCACATCATAATTATAATAAATGTAAACTCTTCCGATTCATTTATTTTTTCAAATTTCAAATTTCATAACTTTCCGTCATCGTCTAAAACCTTGAGGTGTCTGATCGCTCTAACATCGATGAGGGTGTCTGATGAACTCTTCGTAGTGGGAACGAAAGAGATGGCACGTCTCGCTCTTTCGCCATTCCTCAGACCAGGGGCCATGTCCTGTGGAGTGAATGATGGGTAAGGAAAGGGTATTACAGCTCATGCAGCGGTCAGTCAATTCCGTTAGTCATGATGGTCTTGAATGAAAATACGGATGGGGACTAAAAAGTCATTAGTCACATATTAGACGAAAGATTATTCATCATTCATAGCCTTGACTACCAGCAAACTGTTAGTAAAACCTATCCCCTCATGGACGCCTTAAAAGCCTCTATTGAATTTCCAATATATCGCCATGTGTTGGATGAAACAACATAAATACTTATGGGAAATAGTCATCGGTCAAGTCTTTTTAGGGGCCAAGTTTTTGAACCAGTATATTATAATTTATGTTTTCGAGGGTACTGAATCCTAATATAAGGTCAGAATTTAATTTCGACTATGGCGCTTTGAGTAATAAGCCAATATATGGCGTCCCAAAGTAGCCGACTTCAGGTTTTAATTTTTGTTTGAATTTTTTTTTGTTTTACGAATCGCTGGTATTTTTTAGTCTTTTTCAAAGGAAATTTTGATCTTCTTGATATTTGCAAAGAGGGAACTGCAAACTCATATTAAAAGAAAATCTTAATTTGGCGATTGCGGTGCAAAATATGGATGTACGGAGAGAAACCAAAATGCAAATTGAAGCTATTGATGCCTTCTTCTCCTTGCAAATATAAAAAAAATCTAAACCGACTAAAGAAATACTAGCGATATATTAGGCTCGACTATAAAGTTAAGTTTTCATTATTATATGTCCGTACTCGGACAAGTTAATTAGTTTTTAAGTTTGATTAAAGCTATTGTTGTCACTATTTTTTTATTTTTTAGTGTAAAGACATGTGACGTTAAATGATGTATTTATTTGACGTCTCTGAGTACCTACTTTATTTCCATGAAATGAAGTATTTAAGGACTGTGAGTGGATTAAAATCATACCCTTAGCTGCACATGTAAGGCTTGTGCCGTCACTTCCGTTTTGGTGATTTTCTCTTGCGCAGCTCTCAGCTCTTCATCTAGTCGTTGTTTTTCTCGTTCAAGTTCTTTAAGGCGTTTTTCGGCTTCTGCAAAACAAGTTTATGGAGGTACTTGTGTAAATATGTTGTTTAAATAGTATTCTTCTTGTAAGCCTACTAAACTTAATCGCTTAATGCCCATTGCACCGATACGTAATTTTAGATTCTCGAATGAAAGTGTTTAAGGTAATCTAAACTCGTTAACTACGGGTATAATTAATTATCGATTTTCAAAGACATGTTCATAAAAAAGGAGCCACTACCGCAAACCTCTGAATTGTGCTTCTTTTTCAGCTTGTAATATTTCGAACTGCTTTCTTTTCAATCGTTCCTCTTCCAGCATTCTGTTTTGTTCTTCCTGCAGTCTTTCAAGTTCTTCCCGCCTTTCCCATTCCTCAGCTAATACTCTAAAATTATACGAAGAATTAACTTAACTATCAAAACTTGGATTAGGTAAAGTATATTACCATTTTACAAAATTTAATTACCTTGCTTGTAGAGCTCTAACAATTTCCTCATCTCGTTTAGCTTGAGTTTCCTCTTGTAGTAGTTTTTCTAATTCAACTTGCGTATGTTTAAGTTCTTCTAGCTTTTTATTATCCTGTTCAGCCATTTCTGCTAGTTCCTGTAATTACGTCAACAAACATACATTTTCATAAAGTATTACTTAGCGTGCTAAACTCCACTGATATTAAATAAAATAATATTAATACTGAAATATTATGAGAAAAAATTTTTTTTTAGAATTCGAAACTCCAGTAACTTCTTAACGTAAGCGTCCGAGCTTCATAGTAGACAGTACTGTCATCACCTGCGCCTGTGCCTCGGTCGCTAGCCTGGCGCATACTTCATTCTTCAGTCTCGCTTTGGTCTCGCGTGCTTCTTTCTCTCGCCTCATGGCTGCTCCGCACGTGCTCGACGTAGCTAACTCAGAAGACAGTACATATGTTACCAGCCCCTACGCCTCAGCCGCTTGCCTGGCGCGTATTTTATGCTGCAGCCGTCTGGTATAGCACCAACATTCATTGCATATAGGATAGTACAGTCGTTACCTGCGCTTGCGCCTCAGCCGCTAGCCTGGCGCGTACTTCATGCTGCAGTCTCGCTTTGGTCTCGCGTGCCTCTCGCTCTCTTCTCGCGCCCGCCCCGCGTCGCCCCGCGCGTGCTCGACGTTGGTAACCTTCTGCTCCACCTGATACTAACGCCGCTTGGCGTAGCGCCGATATCCACTGTAGTCTACTCCTGTGGGGACAGTTCGTTGATATATATACATATACTAGCTGACCCAGCGAACTTCGTACCGCCATAAAAAATAGGGGTTGGTGGCAGAAGGGTAAAAATTTAGGGTTGCATGTATTTTTTTATGATGTATCATAAAAAAATAAAAACAAAATTATTTATCCAAAAAAAAAATTAAGCGTGGACCCTTAACATTTGGGGGGATGAAAAAAAAGATGTTGTCCGATTCTCAGACCTACTGATTATGCATTTAAAATTTCACAAAAATCGGTCGAGCCGTTTCGGAGTAGTTCAATTACGCACACCGTGACACGAGAATTTTATATACCTACTAGCGGACCCGAAAGACGTTGTCCTGTCTACACGTCTTTGTGAATCTAAACCATTCTCAGATCCCCTTGAACACACACAAAAAATTGCATCAAAATCGGTCCAGTCGTTTAAGAGAAGTTCAGTGACATACACACTCACAGAAGAATTATATATATAAAGATATTGAGCCATCGTAATATTTATTGTTACTGCTATTGGCACTGGTGTATGGTGATATTGGGTACTGCTGTTGCATTTAAATTTTAAAGCATTGCTAGATTTCATCACCAGCCTTTAATTTCTTCAATGGGGCACAGGCCTGCTCTATGAATGGAATAGGGAAATTGGACCATCCAAAATACGGGCCTAGTGCGGATTGGTGGATGCTAACGATTGCAGATGCAGCCGGGAAAAACGGCTTAACGTGCTTCCCGAAGCAAAGAGCTCGAAATATTAAGTTTTTGATCCCAACTCCATTCAAACAACAGCAATTGCGAAAGTTGCTTATCTTCCACGTTTGCAGTCAGAATGCACTAGAACTAAGCAGGATGCAATTCTTAGAGCTACCAAAGCTAGACCGGTCAAACTTAATTATGATCCTAACTGCCTAACCCGAATTGCTATCGGGCGTGATGAGTTGGAACCGCTGTAAATTCCTCTCCCCGGTGGCTGCTTCAAAGGAACAGTATCGCTTTTAGCGATAAGGCCGCCCATTGTAACACTCGATTTAAATAACTCTATATTTATTGTAATATTTTCTGTGGTGTTTGCAAACCACACACAAAGTGTTTTGTATTGTATTGTAACAGTATACATCGATGGCGATTCGTCTGCTCTGCTCCGGCTGCGACGAGTTCTTGTAGTACGTAAGCGCACAAGGTACAAAGGTAAGGTAAGGTACGCACCGTAGGCAGTAGATAGCCTCTTAGGTAGGTCCATCAATCAACTCACTTATGATCCTGAGAGCCGAACTCGAAGGTTCTATCGGGCGTGATGAGCTGGAACCGCTGCAGTTTACCCTCCCCCGCGGCCGCTTCCACGGAGCAGTACTCGTCGATGGCAATCCGGCCGCACTGCTCCCGCTGCGACGAGCTCTTGTAGTAGGTCAGCGCGCAAGGCTGAAGAACGCACCAGTACTCGCGCATCGTAGGCAGGAGATAGCCTCTTTTGTAAAGATAACCCTGAGAAAATTATTGAATAATTAAAGTTTTTCAGTGTGTCTTACTTATTTCTGTCAAAAATGATAATTGAGTTCACTTCTTTATTTAAATTAACTTATTAGAGAAATTCTGAACAACAGACTACGCTGTGTCGATATCATTGCTCTCGAATGTACTCAGCCTGTCATGTGGGCTCAGCTATGTTACTGATAATCTTTATCGACACGCGAACGGTATTTGAAGTAAAGAATGTACCATTTTCAAGCTCGAAAGTATTAATGATTCTGATGTCATTGTGAAAGCTTTGATAGTGAGAATTAAGTTATAATATTTCAAAGCACAGTGGCCGATATTACTAAAACCACACTTTGGATTGTAAAACCGTGTTGAAATAGTGGTAAAACTAAATAATGTCATAAAAGTTAGTCTGAAAAGAAATCTTCAAAGTGAAAATCTAACTTTTTTAATTATATCTTCAATGAAAACATCGTAGACTTCATCGACCGCTTCCACTAGTGCCTTGGAGTGGATTTGCTGGTCGCAGCAATACTTGGCTTCGAGGACAGCCAAGAAGGCAGCCCATTTGAAGTGTCCTATCGAGGAACCCAGCGCCTCCCAATCAGCTGCGTCCCATCGGAGGCCTAAGCAGTGGACCAGCTGCTCGGCTACTATACCAGCTTCTGATGGCTGTAAGACCACCTGGTAATACGAAATAAATATTTAACGGTTTAAATAAAGAGTGGAGTCGATTCTGGCATGATTGTCTAAACTTAAAACTTAATTAAATATTAGCCTCTCCTTTTCATTCTGCATAGACAATGACAAGGATACACTGTTGTTAAATTAAAGTTTAGGTTTAGAGAATAATGCCAGAACCAACATCAATGTATGTTTAAGAACCAGGAACTTTAGAGATCAATTCATGAAACAATTATCAAACAAAATACTTAGATGTTCTAGTAACTTCTGGGTTCCATGATTAATGAGGAATGGTGCTCACTTAGTTGCAGAATATCTAATCAACATTTAACATTGTTTTTCACGCTCGGATCCGATGCGCGATCCGCGAGTTTCACATATAGATTGGTGCGGAACTGCATCGGATCCGCGCGTGAAAATGTTATAGAATGTAGGCCCAGAAGAGGGGTGAGCACAAACAACCGGCAAGAGAGTATTCGCTGTATTGCTACAAACGTGCGTTGACGATAGCGATACGAATGCTTTTTCAATAATTGATCCCCCTGATACTTATTTAAGTCGACAACCTGTTGCAAGGTGTAACCAACTTATGAAGCGATTGTTCTCGATAGCAAATTTCCTTTGAAATTACTTTGTTTTATGCTTCATAATACAACTTTGATCTTTCATACAATCAGTGCACTCCTCGAACTGTTCGAAGGAAAATCTGATCGGAACCTGCCTTCTTTTATATTGAATGGGCGTGCATTTGACTACGACCGGCTGAAGGCGATGACGCGGCTAAGGTGAAGTACGTTTACCTATAAAGGAGTAACTTATTAACTCGCGATTTGAATAGACGTAGTTAGATTTGACGTTTAAGGACCAGTTCTTTATTGACCTTTTTCTAGTAATGACCTTCAGGATTCAACAACTTCTTACATATGGACCATTTTCGGTTTAGACCACTTCCTTATTTGACTATCTTTATTACGGTGTGCAAAAATACGCAACTTTATTTGATGTCTTCGCCTGGCCGTAGCGTAACTCGACAAGAAGTAACCCATAAAATAAAAACAACTGAAATTCTTTTAATAAAACATACTCCCAGACATATCTATCGGCCCACTTAGTTGTTATAAGTGAGGAGCTGGCGAACAAAACGGTATAATTATGCATATGGTTTTGATCATATATTACTTTTGAAGTGAAAACTTCTTTAGCGGCGTTGTACACTTTTTTTGTATGGGTAAAAATTTTTAAACTCGCGTCAGGTTAAACACGTGGGCTGATCGCATCATGACACAATAAAATTGGAAAGGTTGTTGACTTTCAATATATTGGACGAAACATAGTAATATTTTATTTTACCGTATTATAATAATAAGTCTCTATCTGGGACGTCCACGTGGCAGCTTTATTGCGAAGATAATGCATTTTTTTGACAATAGATATCGCTAGGTGCGCTTAAATGTGATTCATGTAAGTTGATTTCTTTACAATAGATGTCACTAAGTGCGTTTAAACGTGATTCATGTAAGTTCATTTTTCTAAGAGATAAACTTTTTTAATGTAATATAAATTGTCATGTTTGTGTACGATAGCGCAATAAATAAATATTGTATTCTACCACATACATGATAGTACTTTTATACTGATAATTAAAGCAATTCGTGCAAAATTATTCCCTAACCATTCCAAAATATCAAAAATGCACAACGTTAATATTCAAGTTTTCATTTCTGCCGGCACTCCCGGAGTGCAACCCGTCGTTTTTTTTTTCAGCCCGGAGGTTTTGGGTCAGCTGAATTTGAATTTCAACTCATGTCATTCAAAACCGCCTAAAATAGTGTTAAAATTACTAAATTATAAATCACGCCAAAAGCTCTCACTGTAGTTATGTCATTCAGTTTTTTTCTACTCCTCTAAAATTTAATTTTATGTAATTTTACCGTTTTGTTCGCCAGCTCCTCGAGTTTCAACGGTCTGTTGCAAAAATATTTATATGTATATGGTTGAGCTGAAAGACCAATCTACGTGGATTTGACAATCCACTTCTTGAAATGACTATTCTCTGTATACGATCATTTCTGGTTTAAAACTTATACTGTTACTGATGTGATGATAATTACACTTTTGGACACATCTATCGGCCCACTTAGCATTTTAAGTTTTGACGGTTCCTTGCTACAAATTAATAATTTTAAAACACACGAAAAGATAACTTAATAATTTTAAAACACACGAAAAGATGGTTAATAAATGAGCTTCAAAACTGAGTGTAGGTAGTAACTTTTTGCTCAATATAACTGTACTTAATGTCAAAACTTAAAATGCTAGGTGGGCCGATAGATGTGTTCAGAAGTGTAATTATCATCACATCAGTAACAGCATAAGTTTTAAACCAGAAATAGTCGTATGCAGAGACAGTCATTTCAAGAAGTGGATTGTCAAACCCACGTAGATTGGCCTTTCAGTCGATCTTGGGTTTCTCCGGGCGTCATGCGTCATCTAAATCGGCTATCTAAGAAGACTGCAACTGTTGTCCAGAAGGATGGAAGATAACCCTTCCCATGGAAATATAACACACACCCACCGCATTCAATACTGTTATATTATGTAATAGGAGAAAAATCTGTTTCGAGTTGTTAGAGAAAAATGAAAATATTTTAATGACCACGAATTATTTAGCTAATTAGACCTGCTATTTGTTTTCCATACTCAACGACTACTTTAGTATTATGAAGATTATTATAATTGTACTTAATGAAACGTACACGAACCTTGTTTTAATCTAATACCAGTGCCTACCTAGGTAAGTACAATTTGTATTGCATGTATTGCCAAGTAGTAAAAAAAAACAACTTCTGTATTCAATTGTTTTTTATTACTTTAAGTTTTGTGTCAATGACCCGTGCTGTTGTATGGTAATCTGTGACGACATGTGGCGTGCATATGGTTCAATGGGCTGAATCAGACGGGGAACATTTTAATTAGTGACGTCAGCAGTTACGAACTTACGAGGAGGTCTTTGTTATGAAGCGGTAATTGTGTGTTAATTCGTCCGGTCCATCTAGCGGTCAGCTCTGTCCTAATTAAGAAACTCAGCGCAACGTCTGGGTTTAAGAGTTGTGGTGTCATTATTTGCCAAAATTTTCTTATTGCTGAGAGCGTATATAGATCTTCTCTATTGCAAAGTCCTTGCGTCGTATTCCTCATTACAACGGGTCGTGAATGTAAATTCTCCTTATGGTAAGAATTTTCCTTGACAATGTTCTATATTGTCTATATCTATGAAAGTCATACTGGTCCCCCCCCTATGGGCCATAAATGAAATTTGTGGGAAGGTATTGTAGAAACAAAAGATTCTATTATTAGAAGACTAGCGGCCGCCCGCGACATCTTCCGCGTTTACTTCAGTTTTTTGAAAATCACTCAGTTACTTTATTTTTTACCGGGATAAAAAGTGTGTCTGAATCCAGGTAATAAACTGTATCTGCGCCACATTTCATGCAAAAACTGTTCTTTCGTGATTAAGTTACAAATATACAAAAGGACATTGTTCTGCGTCCATACATTGTTAGCCTAAGAACCAACAATCATGAAATATTATTTTCTAGGTTCGAAATTGCAAGTAAATGACTATAAAAGCAAAGATTATTGACGGACACTTCTGAGAACTTAAATTATCAGCAAAACTTAATATTTTTTGAGGTTATGTTTAATATTAAATGAAACATAGGTCAACCTATGAACTTAGTATGAATTGAATTAATATTACAACTAATTCATTTTTATTCGATGCGATTTTAAAGAATAACTATTAGGAAAAACTTGGTAAGGTAGGAATCATAAATAAAAAAAAACTGTAGTTTTGCTTCTTATTTTTAACTATTTTTCACATAATTGTATCATATTGTATATTGTATTTATTTGTTTATCACATGTATATTGTATAAATATGCAGCGTGAATGTGTATCAGCTGCTCTTGAATAATTTGCCACTATGTATGATCCTCTCAGGATGTTATGGCACAGGTTCTCTAGCACTTGCTAATAAGGGGTCTGCTATTTGATAACATCGATGGCATATTAGATAGCCGAAATAGTTAAATTAAAGAAAAAACAATCACAAATAAACACACACAACAGGAAATCCGAAACGAGAATCTACGAATGCCACCAATTATTTACGAATGCAAACTGCCTGCCAGCCTGCACCACAACCACAGAGTATCGATTTTTATGCCGGCCCTTCACTTGACAACAATCTGTCATTGGTAGTTTTCCAATAGGCTAGTTGACCCTTTTTGGAAAAAGGTTTTAAATGGTTAATAAATGTTCTATTAGACCGAAAAAAATGTATTGTATTTTTTGAGACCTAGAAAGCTACAAATCTTTAATTTTAAAATAGACTTTTCATGGACATACAAAAACGCTGCCGGCCATTTTAGTCTATAGATTATCTATGCTATGACGTTGACAGTAGTAAACAAAAACTCGTAAGCACGTAGAAAATAACGCATCTGAGTTTATAATAAAAAGAAAACATGATTTCTAATAGATACCACGAAAAATATAGTAATTATTATTATTGTATTGTACGAGAATGTAAAAAAAAATCTTTGAAGACTCCAGGAAAGTTGTGGATTAAAGTGCCGAAAGAAATTAACCTTCGCAATATCTGGTTAGAACTTGCTAAAAGGGATCCTGCAACTTTAACGACTCATAGTAAAATTTATTTTTGCGAAGATCACTTTGATGTAAATACTCATTGAATAATATTTTAAGTCTCTTCATTTATTATCAGTTTTAATAATACAAGTTTTAAAGTTATGTATGAATGACATTTAGTTTTTTACTAAAACAGACGTCACAATCATGGCGGATGTGGCGAACAGCGTTTTTAGTGTTTAAAAAGTATAGACTAAAAATTGTTTTTTTAAATTAAATTTCTACAGCAATCTTCTGCTTTTATGAAGTGAAATCGATATATTTAGGTTCCTTAGACAAAATACTTTAAGAAATAAACATTTATTTAATACAATTCGACATGAGTCAACTAGCCTATTACAGCACTACAGCGCATTATGCGGCATAATGCCTATCGTTAAATGTTTCATCTACAGCAACGCTTCGCACAATCGAGTACTCTCAAAAGTAATTTTCGTGTGATGCGTGCAATCGTACCAACTCAGTGACAGAAAATCAACAAGTGTTTTTGTTTAAGTTGGCATTGATCGAAATGTTTTATTTATTAAATATCGTTTGTAATATTATTTAATGTTGAATTTTTTTTAAGTTTTCGTTTCACTGTAGTTTTTTTAAAATAATCATAGTTAATTTAAACTATGTTAAAAAATAAATATAACTATGGATGAAGGTACAAACATCGACTTTTTTTCAACACTGATCTAAGCGCACTCTGCTGGTGCATTTGAAAACTAATTCACGTTCCAATTAAGCATCAGCATAATTATGCTCTGTAATTGGAAAACTACCCTTGTCATGCTTAATATGGAATAAAAAGGACAGACTGATTTCAAGTTTTCAATAAGCAAACACGAATAGCTAAGTGAAGTGCCGGCATTAGGAAGAAAGAGTGTTTTGTTTGCAGCGCTGCCATAGATTATACACATAAAATGGTAGACTCAGATTATTTTTTAACTTTTTAATCTAGCTTACTTAACTGGAAGAGTCCGTCACAATCTAAATACTGATAATTATCGCAAAAAATAAACTAAGAATTATCATAAATGCCAATTTGGTGTTGGTTCTTAGGCCAAATTTAACATTGTCCTTTCACTTTTATAATTTAAGGAGGATTAGAAAGATAAGAAGTGCGTTTCGTAGCCTCTGATATTATTACAATAAGAATCACCTGTTAATTTGGATTTTATTATTATAACTTTTTAAATATATAAATTAACAACTAACAACAGACACGCACACACGCACGTGCGTACGCCTTTGTTTTTTCTATTGTTAGGAAGATGCGTGAGTCATACCCCGCCCCTGGGTAAGAGACGAGGTTATGTGGGACTCCTCCTACCCCAAATCCCGCCCACCCCCTTAGCCAAACTGGCTCAGCGGCTGCTCTAGTGGCCCTACCCACTAAAAACCCAACAGTGCTTCCTGGCCTGCCGGAACGGGTTTCGTGGGATCCTGGTGACTCTCCACGTAAATAAGTGACAGAAATCATGAAATTAGAGTCCCTGTAGCCTGTTACAGATTATCCTACCACGGGCTAAAAGAGTCACCTTTTACTTTCAATACTTGAGCTACTAAGTGCCTATTGTCACTAAATTTGCCACATCTATTTTAAATACTGTATACAGTAACTTGCTTAATTTCAATAACATTTTCATTTTTTATTAATATTATTAGAAAAAGAAGTGGGTATTTCATTTCAAGCATACTTAAGAATAATAAATTACCACATAATGCTTCGAGTCGTCAGCATCTTGCACCAGGTCTGCTAGGAGGCAGAAGATCCTGAACAGCTTGAAGACAGAGTCGTCGCTGAATATTGGCTTGTCCCGGGAAACCAAGTTCTTCCGGCACACCAACCAGCAAACCTAGAAAGGCGTAAAGCAGTCTCTTTTTTATTTATATTTTCAACACTCAAACCAATTAGCCTCTCTCCAAAGTAAGCACTGAAAGGCTTATGTTATGGGATACTAGGGTAAGAGATAGAGTATTTAAATTGATATAATATATATGTACTGACAAATGTTCGTTTTCATTTTCATCATACTAAAGCCTCGATGACACGGGGTGAGTTACAAGCTACAAGCCAGCGAGTTCGTTAGTAGCTTGTAAACTCGCCCTATATCATCGAGAAGCAGATGGTAAAAAAGCCGATGACACGGGGCGAGTTTACAAGCTGCTAGCGAACTCGCCGGCTTATAGCTTGCAAACTCGCCCCGTGTCATCGAGGCTTTACATTTATTTTGCCCTACCGGGATTCGGACCTCACGAGTAGTTAACACCTTGAAACCTGGTGTACATACCACTCGGCCACGGAGGTCGTTAGATTAAAAGGAAACTGCAATGGCAGTTAAATTAAGTTAACGTCTTAATTAATTTATCTCGATGTTTGTTAAGAAAACCGAGCTAGTGACGCATCCTTTAGTACCAGCTTTTTTCTTATTTTTTTTACATGCCTCAATCGTTATAATTGTAACCGATCTGATTGACGTAGAGTCCATATCTATTGAGTTAATAACCCCAAAATAAAACAAAAACTGAAACATGATATATACATTTAACTTAAGTATAGGAAGAATCTTTTTTTTTTCAGTACGTATAAAAAGAACTAAGAAGACGTTGAAAATGATAATAATGTAATTTTAACTGGCTTCCAAAAGGAGGAGGTTCTGGTTTGAAGTTAGAAGTTACAGTCCTTCAGAGGACCACGCGCGCTGGCCTTTGTTGTCACCGTCTAACAGTGGCCACAATTCCAACGCGTACAAAGAAATTTGGTGGCTCATTTCTTTGTCGCAGTATCCGTAAATGGAATGCTCTGCCTGCTCACGTGTTCCCTTCTTCTGACAACCTTTAAAAGAGGCGTGTAGAAACATCATGCAGGCCGGCAAATTGAGGATGGCTGGTGTGGCAAAAACTGCTGTACCAGCTATCTTCACGTCTGAACTTCACTGTCACTTAACTTCAGGTGGGGTGGAGTCATTTATCGGACCCACCTATAAAAAAAAGTTTTTGCTTTTGTTTGTTCGCGAATATTTAGGAGGTGCGTAGACTGATGTTTATGATTCTTTTTTTGTTAGAATCAGTTCTTTGTTCGCGAATAAAAGAATTACAACTTGTATATTTTGTAGTAAGTTTTAATAAAAAAAAAACAATAGTCGGTTATTTAGATTTTTCTCAGATATTTTTCGGTTATGTGAAAAGATGTAATACAGAAGTTGTAGATCCTTTAATAACTTGTAATTTTGGCATTTTTTTTCTTTGAAAGAAGTTTAGTTTTCCCTAGAATCGCGATAAACCGATTTCCCCCTTAAAAGTCTCAAATCGCCCGTAATGTATTTTTCCTTTTTTTTAATATGTTCTCTTCTTTTTGGCATAGGTTTCGATTGGTCCCGTTATTTTATAAACCTTAGGATGAACCAATATCGAATTCGTAACGCGCGTATGCGACTACGAAATGTCATTGTCAAATGTGTACTGATGTTTAGTTCTCGTTACGTCCGTAATGGCGCCGCTGTTCAAGTTTCCATACAAAATTTGACAATGACATTTTGGACTAGCAAACTATTCGAATTCGATAATGGTTCGTGCTAAGGGAACTGGTCTATCAATACTGTGAACATTTCCACTATCTAGCTATCACGGTTCACAGACAGACGGTCAATAGAGTTTCAGTGATAGTTTTTACCCTTTATATACGGAATTCTAAAAAAAAACAATATTCAAAACTCAAATTCATCTCATCTCCTAAAATACATAAGTATATAAAAATATCCTATGTAGCGGAACCCTCATAACATTGTTCGTCGTTTACTTGACGCTGGCTATACCTATACATTTCAAAACCATTTTTTGATATGCCACTTAAATCACAGAATAACTTTTATGTGACTTATATTATGGCCAAGGGCATTTTTTGTATCAATAATTAACGGTAGAGGTCTCTCGTTCTCACAAAAACATTCCTTTAACCGAATCGACTTCAGAAACGTATATAGGTAATTTTTTCATCATTATATAGAATATGTAGGCTTAATTTATATTAGTATAGTATGAACAAATTGTAAGGAGCATTAGTTAGTCCTTCACAATACCTTAAGTAATATTAACAATATTTGGAGTCGGTGCCAGCCAGCTACCCAACATCAGATCTTTCAGAAGTATTTGTTTGTTCGCTTTAATACTTAGGGTAGGAGTCACCTTAAATATAAGAATGAGTTTAGGAAGCTCCTACTAATGTGAGGTGTAAGGGTTCGTTTGTCATTGTGAGATACGAAACTCTAAAAATATATAAATGCCCCGCGGTGTTACCCGAGGTTTATTAGGGATATTTTCCCGCAGTAAAACGTAGCCTATGTGTTAATCCAGGGTGTCAGCTAACTCCATACCAAATTTTATAAAATCACTCCAGCTATTTAGACGTGAAGAAGTAACAACAAACAAAAAAGAGCTCGATGGCGCTAGTGGTTAGCGCGATCGTTGAAGTTAAGCAACTTTCGCAGTGGTCGGTCATTGGATGGATGACCAAAAATTTACCATCTCGAGCTCCTCCGTGCTTCGGAAGGCACGTTAATCCGTTGGTCTCGGCTGCATCTGCAGTCATTAGCACCCATCAATTTCCACTGGGCCCGCGTGGTCTGAGCACCAGCAAGACACTAATAGGCTGATGATGATGATGAAGTTACAAACATAGACACACACACACAAACTTTCGCCTTTATAATATAAGTGTGACTAGTGTCGATTCTGGCATGATTCTCTAAACTTATACCTAAGGGGGCGTCCATAAATTACGTGCGGTGTTATTTTGAATTTTCTGCTCGACCCCCTCCTAAAGCCGACTATAGTATTTGCCGATTAACCGACTAGCCGACTAATCGGTTTACGAATTGTCGACTAGTCGGCCGACTATTCTGCAATGCAGATCATTCTCATAGCTATCTTAGGAAGATGTCCGGAATATTACGTCACTACTCGGTTTGCTCACGCACGACAGAGTCTCCCAAATTAAGCCGAAATATTAACGTTCCAACATCACAATTTGCCTCTAAGGAAAAAAATATACGTCTATCTAGCACTTAATTACTTAAGTTTTTACTCAATTAATACATACTTACTTCCCATTGCTATTTTGTTATGTGTGATATACATTGTGTAAAGTTATATCTGTATTACTGACAGATGCCTAAGTTCATAATTCTTATTAAGTTACCTTACCTGTATGTGCCTATTAAAATCGGCATGTTATGCCGAATAGTCGTCTTTCCCGACTAGTCGGCCCATCTCTACTTCTTACTCATCTAATGATAACATTTATGTATCACAAGCTTGTAAATATATATATATATATATACTCAGTTATAAATGGTCAGTAGAATGGTGGAACCAGTGTGAGTGGGTAGGTACTTGTTAAGATGTAAAACCGTTTGGTACATTACTATCAGTTCCAGTTATATCATAATAACCTACTTACTTGTTAACGACCGAATAACTGAATACGTTATTGTACATCGCATATTCTCTTATGTTATCACTTTATCATGCTTTGGTAACAAAAGCGACCAATAACTTATTTGTAACTTACTTATACACAGTCAGGTCCTAAGTATTGTCACACAGTAAAAACTTTTCTTTTAGAATGCTGGTCACAAAAAAGTTTATTGAATTCGAATTTCGAATTGTTCATGAAAATAAACACCGCCCTCGGTCTGTTAGGACTCGAGCAGTGATAAAAGCTGTGAAGGCACGAATTCAAAGAAATCCCAAACCTAAGCAGAAACTGTTGGCCCTTCAGATGGGGTTAACCAGAACCACGGTTAAAAGGGTGTTAAATGAAGACTTATGGCTTCGGACATATCGAAGAAAAACAGGACTTCGTTTGAATGCTCGTCTAATGGACCTGAAGAGATGCCGCGCTTTGTTGAAGCGGTATGCGGGAATAAAATATAGGGATATTCTTTTTTCGGATGAAAAAATTGTTACCGTAGAAGAGAGCTACAACAAACAAAATGATAAGGTGTACGCACACAGTAGTGAAGAAGCGAGCAACCGTATTCCGCGTGTTCGACGAGGTCATTTTCCATCCACGCTCATGGTATGGTTGAGAGTTTCTTATTGGGGCTTAACAGAGGTACATTTTTGTGAGAAAGGTGTAAAAACGAATACAGTTGTGTATAAAAAAACAGTCCTGACGAACCTTGTGGAACCTGTTTCTCATATATGTTCAATAACAGGCACTGGGTATTCCAACAAGATTCGGTGTCAGCTCATAGAGCGAAGAGCACACAAGACTGGCTGGCGGCGCGTGAAATGGACTTCATTCGGCACGAAGACTGGCCCTCCTCCAGTCCAGATTTGACTCCGTTAGATTACAAGATATGGCAACACTTGGAGGAAAAAAGCCTCATCCCAATTTGGACCCACTCAAGACATCCTTGATTAAGGCAGCCGCCGATATTGACATTGACCTCGTTCGTGCTGCGATAGACGATTGGCCGAGCAGATTGAAGGCCTGTATTCAAAATCACGGAGGTCATTTTGAATAAACTTTATTGTCATAAGAATCTGTGTTTTTTTAAGTTCATTTTGGTATATAAATGGTTACAGAATGAATAAAATTTTTTCAATTATTTTATATTAAACATGTGACATAATTTATGACCTGACTAGGTATAAAAAAATTGCGACACACCCTGACCGCACCTAGACTTAGCTCTAGAGTTCAGGAAGTTTTGTATGTCTATGTAGGTATATCATGTATATGTATTCCCGTTTTTATTTGATTGAAACTGTCCTCCGACTATAAGTGTTAACGAATATTGTATACGTTCATTGTACACACTAATACTACTCGATTATTAATTTTTTGTCCAACAGAAAATAAGTAAGGTCTGGCGGGCTTGGGATCTTACTCTATTAGGAAGTTAATTACGGTCGCATTCAGAGACGTTAAGTAAATATGTCTCAATCTTCTGTAATAATGAAACCTCTCTCGCCTTTTTTAAGAATAAGTCTTTCAATGACTTAGGCAATAGAATTATAAAAGCTGTACCTCATTTATTTTTTTCTCATAGTCTCTGATTATGTGCAGCGTCACAGCCTTAGGTAGAGAGCTGAACACCTCGTGTTGAAGGTAGTAGCGGAACTCGTCGAAGGTCAACTCCTGCGAAGACCTGAAGTGGTCCAAGCCCTTCTCTACGCCGTACAGGTCCAACAGAGTGCCCAGATTTGCTGTCAGAACCTGAAAAAGATTTATGAACTGTAACCAGGGGTTCAATTGCCTAACGGGATTGCTATGGCTATCGCTATCGTTTACAATTTCGGTTTGTTATTTCTGACCACTGGTGGTTTTGAAATACCTCACTCTCATTTACTTTAATATTGTTATTACCAATGCAAAAGAAAAAAATGGAGCGCGAGGCATTTGAAAACCTTCGGCGGTCAGAATTATAAAAATGAAATCGTAAGTAATAGCGATTGTTACATTGTCATCAGTCCGTTGGAAAATTTTGTTTGCTCTATAAATGGCATATTCTGTATACATAAGCTGAAGCAAAATATTTGCATTGCTAACAACACAGAGGCGTGTAGTGTGGTGAGGGCGAGGCTACGCTTAGATAAAAAGAAAGTCTTCTGTTGATCTACTTCAACTTATAAATGCCTATAAGGAAAATTTAAAGGATTACCTTTTGAAAAATAAAAATAAATTTATATCAACTCTAAAAATATTAATACCAAGCTTTTGTGTTGATCATTTATACCGAACCATACAGTCAAATCCTACAAAGTCGCGAAAACTACTGAATGAATTTGGATGAACATAATTAAGTACTTAATTTATGATCTAGATTGAAACATAGGGTACTTTTTATTAGGCAAAAGGTTCGTCTTTGGCTTTATTTTTATTTTTTTGAGAATGCCACAGGAAATTAACATTTTTCCGGAATAAAAAGTATCCTTTGTTTCAATCCAGGTCACAAATTATATGCGTACCAAATTTTGTCCAAATCCGTCCAGTAGTTGTTGCGTTATTAAGTAAGAAACTTTCTCGTTTTGTATACATATACACAATATATTTTATACTTAAGGACACATAATATAAACTTACTCAAGTTTAACTTGACGCTGTTTCTTTTTCTAAGGGGAGCGTGGACTAAGAAACCCTGTTTTAAAGTGTGACACAGGCCCGTTTTACAGAATGACAACTAAAAGTGTTGATCTTTACTTGAGTACAGTTAGAAAAGGATATCGCTATGTGCTATATATAGCGACATCCCTTTCTTAGATCAATCACTGAGAATCTTTCTATAATACGGGCCTTAATTTCATGTAGCAACAATTCTGTTTGCGTTCGTAATAAGCACGATCTCAGTATTGTATTACAATCATCTCCCTGCAGGATGACTAAGATGACACGTATGTGTAATCTTATATTAATCACTGTTCCATTTCATTGGGAAGGAGAAATTTTAGCCAATGACCTAAGGAACAATGATTAATTTCTCTAAAAACAAGTACTTAGTCTACTTGTAGCTGCTGATGTATGGATTGTAAAATGTACCTATGCGTCGGAGAGGTATTTTTTTATTGCCTCCGAAGGTAAAAGAGCGGACGGGCCGCCTGATGTTATGTGTGTACAACTTAATATTCTATGAATATTACCAGCACTTACCTGTTGCCGTTATTAATATAGAGCATAAAATGTCAAAAAACACGGCTGTTGTTTGGGAGCCCCCATTAGATATTTATTTTATTCTGTTTTTAGTACTTGTAGTTATAGCGGCAACAGAAATACATCATCTTCGAAAATTTCAACTGTCTAGCTATCACCGACTATGAGATACAGCCTGGTGACAGACGGACAGTGGAGTCTTAGTAATCGCTTCCTGTTGTTATCTTTTATCCTTTGGGTACGGAACCCAATACCCGTAAAAAGTAACAAGCCTATGGATCGTTAGTTAAACATATCTACTATTTTCTAAATATATATAGTACAAAGTCCACAAAGCGATTAAGCAATTATCTAAGTGGTTCCGACTGTAGGCGTAGATACTGTAAGTTATTTTGTTTAGTTCTGACTCATGCGTACGTAGGGTTGTCAAGAGATAGCTAACAACAAAGTTTAAAAAAGACTACATAGATTACCTCAAATTGTGTTACTACAAACTAAACGTCAAAAAGATCTTTGCTTTACTAAAATAAACTCTCTCAATAGTTTAAACAAATATGTTTGAAATGGCTATAATTTTTATAAATTCGTTCTTTTGCTAATTTACAACTAAATACCAACACCAAACAACAACAACAACTAATTTACAAAAATTATCTAAGGCACGTTACAATTACGCATAGACTCATGTACAATAATATCAATTGGAGCACACGCAGTCCTTAAGAATGACGTGTCAAACATTAGTATGTTCTCAACACAATCGCTTACAAAAGAAAACGATACAAAAATGCGTCACACGAGAAAGGGGGCTGTGTTTATAGCAAGTTGTTTAGTCATTTCTCCCGCTGACGATGGCAGAAAAGTTACCGTAAAAAGAGAATCGTAAAGTTAGTGTGTGACAACCCTGTATCCAGGCTTCTCTTGCCTCATCCAACTAGATATATCTAAAAAGGTGTCTAATGTTTGCAGCGAAGAATGACCTTACGCCTACAATGTCTCTAGAGCATCGCTTTGATCTTGAAACAAAGCTTTTATGTGCCAATTTCAACTACTGAAAAGGAGAATGTGTGAGTTGCATAACAGAGCCAGTTAGTTAAATTTCACTATAACTTTAATTGGCCTCGCTTCAACAGTTTTTTGTCACTATCCAATTATGACCTCATTTTGACGATCGTCAAATGGTGCAACCAATTTTTATGTATTCATAATAAAGATCGAACCAAATACAGATTTTATTGAAATTGTCGTTTTACGCACTGGTCATACGAATGAAAATAATAAAAAGTAAGTATCTGCTGCTTAAATGGCGTCAATTATTATTTCAGAGCCGAAGTTTTTCGCACGAAATACGTACATAAAAGGAACTAAATAAATTCAAACAATAATATGACATTCGATTGTTTGACTCTCAATTATTTTTACTTAAAAAAATGTCCGGTATAGAGAAAGTCAGAGTAATTTTGGAATACGAGTTTTGGCAGACGCAGGACTAAAGGCGCTTTTCTACGGGCACAGTTTTAAACCGTGTCTGCGTCCGGGTCATTTTAGGTTTGGGTATCTATGGAAGTTTTTTAACAACACCGGCGCTAGCGACGCAAGTGCCTTAAAGCAAAAAAACAGAAATTGAACGTAACGTAATGTCAATGACTTAGAGAAGTGCCAATGATGTTTTTGGTTAGGACACCTGTACGGTACGGCTTTTACGGTACTTTTGACCACTTTCGTAGTGTCATTTTATTCCCTTTTTTCACAATAAAACTCTTTACATTTTATAGATATAGGCAGGTAGATTGATCCATGGTAGCGGCAAAGTTCTTGAGCAAAACCGCAGACAAACTTGCGTAGTAGACGTTTTTGTATGTAAAATTGCTACTGCGCAGGCTTTCTGTCTATGTCTAATACTCAAGAAAAAGAAGTTTGACTGGGTGTGTACCTACGACTGCGACCTTTGGTTTATAATACATAATACCAAAGATCTAACTCGTCAGGTTATAGACTAGATAATAGAGACTTACTTCACGTGTGATAATGATGAACTCAGGATTTCGCAAGGTCATAGTCTAATCGCACATCAATCTATAGAGGATCTTGTACAAACCTATGCAGTCGATACTACGGCTATGATAATAAATAAAGTATCTGACACCATTAAAATCAAAGGATTTCTACGTCCCTGTGGCATTATCTCTATCTTCTTTGTTTTTTTATATCTTTGTTGTGGATAGCGTTGCCAGGCGTCCGTATAATGCCGGACATAGTTAGCCTTTTTGGTTGCGTATCTGGCCAAAATAAACGGTGTCCGGTTTGCCCGACTTTTGTTAGGCTTTATGCATTTCACAAACGAGCGAGCGCCGAGCATGGGCGAGCGCAAGCGAATTGACTGTCTGTCGCTTTTAGGGATGTCGAAAGTTGAAAAAAATATCGATATATCGATACATCGATATTTTAAAAAAAAACAATATCGGCTTCGATATATCGCGAAAAAAACATCGATAAATCGATATATCGGACCAATTTTCCCAAAAATATCGTACACGAACGTACGAGCTCACGAAATATGACACGCGGAATAATAATGGAACGAAAATTTTCTCCCTAAAAATAGACCCTATTTTCCAATGATGACATAGACAATACTAAATACAGCACAGATCATAGATATATTGAATATCATTAATCTGAGATCCAGTTACCATTTTTCCAGATACGAATTTAGTTAGATCGTGATATGCCGCTAATAATTAAAAAAAATATCGTTTTTGATACGAATTTCGATATTGGTTATTTTGTATCGATGTATCGATATATCGAATCAAAATATATCGGCAAAAAATATCGATATATCGAACAAAAAATATCGATATATCGATACATCGAAATATTTTCAACAAGCCTAGTCGCTTTTACATTAAAAATTTTGTCGTACCTAATATTACTGAACCACAAGATTTTTACCCAAATGTTCGGACAAACATGCTGGTCTTGCCGGCGATTAGGTTTGGCGACCAATTGTAGAGGTTTCCCTTTCTTGTGGGGGCCACCGCCTTAAATCCGGCATAGCCTTGTACCAACTGCGATTAATATGCGTTTATAGCCATGGTAATCCTCTTTTATTAAGATGTTACGATGCAACTATGTTAATGATAATGATGACGTAAAGTTCAGTACTTCTTCGAATATTATAAACTTCATATTTTCAACGAACCAAATCAACGGCATGTTAACTTATCTGATGCCTGGCGTTTATTACTTTCGTTTAAGTACCAATAAATGTAACAACGTCGTATTTCAAGCAATTTATTTTAAATTTATTACGTCCAGACCGGTAAGTACCTGTGAGAGGACCAATTTGGGTTTTATAATTGAAATAATAGCCGAGGAAAATATTTAATTCGAGCTCTTGTAGGTACGTACCTGATATAATTTTCAAGGTTTAATAATTCATAATTAATGAAACGTTACAGCTACCACTTACGTAATCATTAATTTAACACTGCTATGAATACGAATGTCGGTTTAATTTGTTTTTAAATCGTGATAATCGGCCAGCACAGAATGATAATAAATTT